AGCCAGAGGGAATGGACAGCTGCTTTTAGCCAGGACTTGCTCAGACATCACGCCCTGGTGCACCCAGATCCGTGGGTTTGGCAGAAAGCCCCACCCCATCCGCCAAGGCCAAAAGAATGCAGCACTCCTGCACGTTAATAATAAATTGGTCTAGCAAGTCTGGCCTCAGAAACCCCGCTGTGGGGTAAGTAATTGTTAACCCTGTTTCACAGGCATCCGAACCCTCCAACGTTTGACAGATGCCACATCAAGCAAGGGCGAAAAGCAGCATGCTTTATCGAGCATGGAAAACCACCTTTTAAATGCTGCTGTTGCCGTTAGTCTGAAACACCAGCCATGTATCTGGTAAGTTATTGTAGAAATGTTGAATTTAAGAAACGAAGGCTGAAAGTGAGTTCACTGGGGGCATTGCTGGATGGTGAAGCGGGGGTGGCTGAGCCTCTGGCCTTCTGTGCCAAGCCCTGAATTTCCTGCCTCGCTTTTAGAAACCTTTACAATTTTGCTTAAAGGGCAGGGGCAGCTGGTGGCAGTGAACAGTGAGTGCTGTGGGTGAGACCCCCCAGCTATCCATCTTCTCAATTTGCCCAGAGGGACATATATGTGTACATTATAAGATGCAAATGTTATGTCAATTTGTACCAGGAGCATGTGCTCCAAACCCTTTAAGTACTGAGCGATGCCCCTGGGGCTCATGGTATCAAATGGCCTGACAATATAGGGTGCTGAATTACATTTCCAGAACTGTAAAAATGTAAAAGACGGAGGGCTAAACCCCTGCAAAGTCATGATGCTCACTGGGTAGCTCTGAGGATGCGGGTGGCGTGCCCAGATCCAGCTGTCATTTTAGGCAATAACCACACAAAACATTTGATGAGGATGAACATCACATCAAAAAGATGCCAGCCAGTTGAAGAGGGATTGGACAAGTGTCAATCTATAATGGCAACAGTCTTAGAAATTTCTTCACTCACACAGATCTGCTGCCTCTGCTGTACTTCAGGCTTCCTCAACCTCGGCCCTCCAGATGCTTTGAGACTACAATTCCCATCATCCCTGACCACTGGTCCTGCTAGCTAGGGATCATGGGAGCTGTAGGCCAAAAACATCTGGAGGGCCGACGTTGAGGAAGCCTGCTCTACTTGGTTGGGGTAACTGTCTCAGTCTCAGCTTGACCTCCCTGTTGTGAAGATAAAAATCGGACAGTCTGATACACAATATACACTGTCCTAAACTTATTAGCAGAAGAGTGGGACACAAACGTGACATACAAAATATGAGTTAACTAGAGAGAAGATGGACCAAGGAATGGCTCATAGGGAAAGTCAGGGGGCAATGGCATGCAATTTTAGTAAAAGATCTTGAACTCCAGATCATTTTTAGAGAAAAGTGGATTTATAGGGATGCCACCCATTTCAGGCAGGACTCCTCTGCATGAGACACAGAATTCAAGAGGTGAAGCTTCCCTTGATCGCTGCATCTCCATGCTGAGAAAATGCTGATTTGATCCTGGCACTCAGTCAATAACTTTTCCCAAAGTGATAGCAGGGAGAGAAGAAAGGAGGCATGCAAGCCAACGTGAAGCAACAGAACCAAGGAAGGATCTGAAAGAGACTTAACAGCTACTATCTTTCACAGAACATTATGATACTTTCATAGTTGGCGTTTCCTCCAGAACAGCCACTCCAGTTCCTTCACTATTTACAGGGCACCTGCATGAAGCCATCCGCTCCTGTGCTTTCCCTGTGTTTAAAGGCACCTCTGCCCCACTTTGCCTTTAGATAGGTTCCACTTCTCTTGCTAGGAGGAGGAGCCAACTGCAATGTACCTTGGGATTTGGTGCTAGAGACCATGGGTAGCCCTCAGCATCCCATGCTCTACTGCTGCTGCACAATGGAGCAAGAATCAGCCTATACCAAGTTATTCCAAAGGCAGAATACATGAGCTTCCTTAATGCCCAGTGCGCCTCCTCCTCATGGGTGTGGGGAAGGAGGAAGCTGTGTCATCAACACAGCTTTCTGAGTTTCTGACACACAGGATCATGCTTTCTAGCCTCAAGGACATGAATGCAAAGCCCAGGTTCCTGATTCCAGCACCATCACTGCTGCTGCCAGTGCCATCACTTAGAATCATAGAATTATAGAACTGTAGAGTTGGAACGGACCATGAGGGTTCTCTAGGCTGACCCCCTGCAATGCAGGAATATTTTGCCCAACTTGGGGCTCAAACCCACGACTCTGAGATTAAGTCTCATGCTCTACCAACTGAGTTCTCCCAGCTGCTAGATCTCCCCAGTCAACCATGAGCCCAGTGGAGGGTAGCATCAGGGATGTTTCCTGAGTCCTCAGGCCTGTGTTATCATCCAGTCTGCCTGCATTCTGCATTTACACAGCCTGTCATTATTAGGCTGTGTAACTTTGAGGAAAAGTAGAGACATCACCTTGCCAACAAAGGTCCGTATAGTAAAAGCTATGGTTTTCCCAGTAGTGATGTATGGAAGTGAGAGCTGGACCATAAAGAAGGCTGATCGCCAAAGAATTGATGCATTTGAATTATGGTGCTGGAGGAGACTCTTGAGAGTCCCATGGACTTCAAGAAGATCAAACCTATCCATTCTTAAGGAAATCAGCCCTGAGTGCTCACTGGAAGGACAGATTGTGAAGCTGAGGCTCCAATACTTTGGCCACCTCATGAGAAGAGAAGACTCCCTGGAAAAGACCCTGATGTTGGGAAAGATGGAGGGCACAAGGAGAAGGGGACAACAGAGGACGAGATGGTTGGATAGTGTTCTCGAAGCTACCAGCATGAGTTTGACTAAACTGCGGGATGCAGTGGAAGACAGAAGTGCCTGGCATGATCTGGTCCATGGGGCCACGAAGAGTCGGACACGACTAAAAGACTAAACAACAACAAACTTTGAGGAAGTCAATGCAGCACATACATGAATCCTTCCCCCCCCTTAATCCCCACTTGTCTGAGAAATAATTATCTTGTTATAGCATTGATTATAGGGACCCTCAGGCTCAGAGGGGCCAATGTGGCCCTCTAGTCCTCTCTATGCGGTCCTTGAGACTTGCCCAATTCATCCCCCCACACTGTCCTGCCTCTGCACCTTCCTCTAGTGATCTTACCTGGCTGGAATATATCCTTGAGTTGTGGTAAGACTTCTTGCTTGGTTGCCTGGATGGATGGGCATATGAGCCACGGAGTGCGGGGTGTGTCCTGGCCACACCCACTACTGATATGTGGCCCCCTTCTGGTTGCCCACAAGTAAATGTGGCCCTCAGGTTGCAAAAGGTTCCCCACCTCTGCCGATGTAGCCTGACCTAAATTACAGGGCTTTTGTGAATGGTCCCGCCCAGTGCTGGCTCTGACTATCGACACTGGTTTGCAGCACCTGCCCCCAACACCAACCCATTGCTACATCTGGCCAAATGTCCCCTGCTTCTGTCCCTACTGACTGCATCAAGGACTCAGTAACTGCTCCAGCTGAGAGTCTCCCATGAACTTACCAGCAGTCACTGCATGGGTGTGTTTGCCCGGGGAACTTTATCTCAAGACTCAGCAAACTGTTTTCGCACATGGAACCTGGTCGTACCATGGTAGGATTTGCATATTTCCCGGATAAGACTTGCAGCAGAAAGTATGTTTTCTGAACTACCTTAAAATGCCTGTACAGGATGCCAGTGTTAGAAAAGAATCAAGGACAAGATAGCAAAGATCTGTGTTTGGGTTGAACCGAGTCCAGAAACAACTTGCTAACCAGTTTTGCTAGAAGAGAATAGTTGTAGTATTATCTCATCTACTGACTCCAGACCGAAACCTGGTAGCTGCAGTCCCATCCGGAGCTCATTATGGCAATCTGTTCTGGAAGTAACTAGACTCACTACAGCAGGGATGTGGAACTTGTGGCCCTCCAAAGGTGGTGGAGCCCAGCTCCCATTAGCCCCAGTCAGCATGGCCAATATAGACTCAACTGTAAAGGATGGAAAGGTAGGGAGGAGAGGTGACAAGACAAGATTTTACTGTGTGCTGCACAGCTGAAGGTCCGCGGTGTAAGGCTTATTGAGCATTCATTCTGATTTGCTTGCCCAAAGTTTACACAGAAGTTAGGTGATGCCTGGCTTTCTTTGAGCATTTGTTCTGATTTGATTGTGGGCTGGTTACACATTCATCCTGATTTGCTTCTGGGCTGTTGTTTATCTATGCCTTCCACTTACTTGCTGGTGCATCCCATGCATAGGAGCCAACTTCTAGCGGTCGAGGTCTCTTTGGGGGCCCCTAAAAATATTTGAGGTGGGTCCAGCGCCCGCCCCCCCAAGTTGATGGACATTGCCATTCAAATGGTGCACACACACCACGTCATGCGATTAATTATGCTGGGCAGGGCCTACTTGCCTCCCCACCATATTTTATTCAAGTTGGCACCCCTGATCCCACATTTTTCAGTGCAACCCCCGGCGCTTTCCTATCCTAAGCACAAGAAGTCAAAATGGATTTGTCACGCTAGGGCAACAGAGCGCTTGAAGACACTTCGATGGCGCGCGGACTTAAAACTCTCCAGTATGCGCTTGAATCCCTCCCTCCCATAAAATAAGGACGGTGGGTGTCGAAAAGGACCCCGCTGCGCCACTGCCTGCGATCCACGCTCTCACGTCCCATGCGCGCTGCTGCTCTTTGCGCGCGTGGCGCACCGTCTAGTTTCCCCCCTCGAGTTTTGGGCGAAAAGAAGGTCTTGTTGGGAGCGCGCGGGAAGAGGCTGGCCCTCCATTCCACTTCGCGAGGGGGGAGCAGCCAGAATGCCAGACGCTTCGTGAGGCGGAAGTCTCATGTGGAAAGACGGGGGGGGGGAGGATGGGGCTCAGGAGTTCCTGAATTTCCCCCCGGCCGGACTTTTGAAATCCATTCCTCCGGACTTCGTTCCCTGACGGCTCCGGATTGGTCAGGGCGGGCTGAAACTCCGCCCCGCGCTCTCCACATCCCTCTCGTGCCTCCTCCAGCGGCTCCAGTGCTGGATGCCCGCGGTGAGGGAACGGAGGGCGAAGGATTTGGGGGTCTCTCACGTCACTGGCATCCCTCACCAGGCTGTGTGGGGCGAGGGGGACCGCTTTCCCCGTGTTGTGGGCGTGCCGGCAAGTTTGCTGTGGGGGGAAAAAAGAATCCAAGCTCTCCAGAAAGTCTTCTCTTTTTTTGTCCCCTCAAGATAAGGTAAAGTCCAAAAGTTTTTGGTATTTGTATGCGTATCACACATGAGGGGTGTGAGGCAGACTGGGCTGGCAAGGGGAAAGTGGAGCTGTGGGGTGGGGAGTGACATCGGGGGCCTTAAAGGAAATAGAGCTCTATGGCAACTGCTAATAAAATCCTCATCATCATCATATGAGAAGCAGGGAATAACGGAGGGAAGCTGTAATAGGAAAATGTGAATTTAAAGAGGCCAGGAGGAGAAATGGAAAGCAAGTTGTTTGCGGGATGGGCACTGGAAGAAGGGGAGAGACAATGTCAGAAAAGAGAAATGTAAGTAAGTTGAAAGGGGCTTTGTAGATGGGGAGGAATGAGCAGAGAGGGAAGAAGAGATAGCAGGGTTGAGAAAGGTCTAAGGAGTCAAGAGGGAGCCATGTCACAGAGGAAAATGGTCACCGAAGCAGAAGTTGTGATGTGCATGCGCCAGGTGAAAGTAGTTTGGATCATCTTTTCTTTGAAGGGTTAAGCAGGCCACTTTGCTTTTTCAGACAGGAAAGGGAATTAGGGGGGGGGGGAGTGTGTATATGTGAAGTATCTAGGAAGTACTTTGATCAAAGTCTTGTGGCTCCTTAAAAACTAACAAATGTATTATGGCGTAAGTTTTCATGACTACTGTTCACTTCATCAGGTGCATCTGAAGTACTTTGACATTTAAGATCAGATAAAACACACACACACACACGTCACTTTGCTTTCAAGGCTTATGAGGTTGACCTTCCAGACTATTCTCCTGATCTGGGCAGGAAAACTGTCTCCAGCGGAAGGATCTTCTAGACTTTTGCTGGTTCCAGTTCCACATGGCTCAGCTGATACGGCTTTAAGTTTTGCCTAGCAAGGGGAAATGGGCAAGGACTCATTGCGCTCAAAAGTGTGACTCCAAACAGTTCTAGTTCTGTTCTCAGACCACCTTGAACCATCTCTTTCTGCTTTTGGTGTGCCTACCTTTAGGGAAGCCAATTTGGGTTCTAGCTGCTCCAAGCAAAGAGACATCTGGATCGGTTCCCTTTCACTCTTATTTGGAAGAGAACTATCTCTGGTGACTTCTTTGAACTTTACCGGGTCAAAACTGAAAGCCTAATGGGCAACTAACATGATACATTGATTAAGTTATGGTGGGCTGCACAACAGCAAGCCAGAAGAATCCCCTAAAATAAGAGGCGTCATGAAGATGGTGGCCATTTCATGTTGTTCACTCTCTTCTTTCTTTGGGGTTCTTATAATAGGCAGGACTGGGGTGAAGGAAAGCTGGGTATCCAACCTGAGAGATACTAGAAAAGTAGGGGGAAAGCACCTGTGCCAACCTGATGTCATACAGATACGTTGGACTACAACTCCCATCAGCAGGGGCATGCAGGGAGTAGTGGCCCAAAACATCTGGAGGGCCCCAGGCTGGGAAAGCCTGTTCTAGACAGATGACCAGGGTGGCAAATGCTGTAAAGCAATGGCTGCAATCCTATCCACCCATATTTGGGAGTATGCAACTGTTGAACTCATTTGGACGAGCCAAGTAAATACGCTTAGGAGTCCGCTGCACATGTGACAGATGAAATACATAGACTGAGGAGCAGAACAAAAGCCATTGTTCATCTGTTGACCACGGGAGCTTTCCTCAAACAAAGGCATAACTGGATGTTTGGCCTGTGAATTCTAGTGAGTGGGAAAGATTTTTGTTGTTTTCGTTCCAGACTAATTTGGTAGTCTCAGCAGCAGCAGCCTAGGTTGGCTGGAAGGAGAAAGAACGAAAGAGGGAGCAGAGCCAAAGATGGAAGATAAGGAGCTCTGTGGAGCCAGTGGCACATTGTGGTTTGGGCATTAGACCAAGGCCTTCTGGCTGCAGGGGAAGGGCACTGCTTGGCATTTGCCACCCGGGGCAGCAAGGACTCAGAGTTAGAGTTTGAGCTCGTTGTATGTGTCAGGAATTATTTATTGGCTTACAGGGTACTTCCCCTCACAACAACCCTGTGAGGTAGGTTTGGTTGAGAGAAAGTGACTGGACTAAGGTCACCCACTGAGCTTCACTAGGAATGCAGGCCTCCTAGCCCAACACTCTAGACCAGGGATAGGGAAGCTGTGGCCTCCTAGATGTTCGCCCTCAGTGTTAAACCATGGTTTAATGTGATGTGTCAACCAGGCCATTGTACACAAATAAAATGAATAGGTTCCTACACTCAAACTCACTAATGGACTGAAGTACGAGGGACCTGGAGGGAAAGGGAGAGGACAGAAGAGTCAGTGCTTATCCTGACTGTACAGTTGTAGAGATATCCCAGGAACATGTTTAGGCTACTGTGCAAGAAATGAGAACATACACACCCAGCTTCCTGCAAAAGCTGCCATGTCGGTCAGCATGATGTAGGGAGTAATAAAGATATAATATCTGCCAACTACAGTACATTCAGGCCTGCTCACTGGCTCCGCTTGAATGTGACGTAACGAAAAGCCTGAATGGGCAGCTCTAGACTGACTGGATGCAAGAGATGCCTGGTGCTTTGTACTTGATAATAGTTTGTGGAACAGGGAACTGCAGCAGGTGCATCTTTTCTCAAACATGCCACACTGTGACAAGACCAGCTGCAAAAATTACATTTTCTTCACTGTTGTCAAAGTTACAGGAGATCCCGTTCTTCCTTGGTTCTGGTCACTCCATGTGTCTACCTTAACCAGCACATATTTTTTCTTAAAATGGTGTATATTACAATTCTGTACATTCCCAGTTTCTGCTTGTAGCCTGCAAAGAGAGAAGGCTCTAGAGGAAACCAGGCTCAGGAATGCATCCCCTTCTTCTGGAGCTTTTCAGGCAATGTGGTCCACTGATGGCTCTAGACTCCATCATTCCTGAACCTGGTGCCTTCCAGATGTTTTGTACACCAGCTCCCATCAGTCCCAGCTAACGTGGCCAAAGGTCTGGGATAATGGCAGTTGTAGTCTAAAACACCAGCACCAGATTTATGAAGGCTGCTCTAGGCAGTGGATTGTATCTCTGTGGTATATAAGGAATGGGAGAATTAAAAGCAAGATAAATTTTCATCAACAGTCCCTTCTTTTTTTCCTGAAAGGGCTCCTGTGCCTTTCATAGCTGCATGACACACAGAAAATCCAGCTGGAAATATTCTCAGCATGGAGATACGTTGATAAGAAATGCCTGGGACTCTTGAATTTGTGCTTGTTGTGCAGCTGTGAAATGTACAGAAACACTGCCAGAAAAAAGTTGGCAACTGTTATTTACAATAACTGTATTTTAGGTTGCCACTATTTGTTACTGGCAGGGCTTTGGGGCCTTTAACAGCTGCATGGTGGGAAGAATTCAACTACTGCATCTCTGTTCTTGGATAAAACTATACCTATTGAATTTTGGCCCCTGCAGCTGTTAAAGATAGGAGACCCTTGCCATAAAGAAGGTGGCAAAACTGCTAGTACTTCTGATGATTTTTAAAAAAATATTATTTTTATATTTGATTATTATTGATACATATTATCTATTTGTCCTGGATTTCTTTTTTGGAAAAAGGAAGGTGGGCTACACATATTAAAAAATAAACACTGCATCTTGCATTCCTCACTAGCTCCTGTCATGTGTGTGAGAGAGTATGTTTGAATAAAGCACATGTATTACCTCCCAGATTGGGCAGGGGGGAGTGGGGAGAGCCAGCCATCTTCTCCTGCCCCTGAAGCGTTACAACACTTTGGCTTTTGACATGGAGGGTTCTGCTCCATTCCCTGATGCTGGAGAATATGTCTCCCAAAATGCAGGGTGTACAACCTTTTCAGGGTTAAGAGCCATATTCCCTTGGGGGAAGGTGCTTGGGAGGTGGTGACAGGTGGATTAAAAAGAAAAAGAAATGGACATCGCTTCTCTCTCTCTACCTGTCTCCTCATAAGTCATGTATCATCCATTCAGTCTCTCTCCACACACACAACACCTATTATCTCTCTCACTTCATTCATACCTCTTTCTTCTTCATCCATCCATCCATCATTCATTCTTTCTTTCTCTCTCCCTGCCCCATTCCGAGTTTGGGCGCTGCGCCAAAGATGGTGAAGGGCTGCATGGAGCTCAGGTGGGGTGTGGGTGGCCCACCTGTGTACAAAGTTATCAGTAAAGGCAAGCAAGCTATTTCTTCCATAGTGATGGAAGCCATAGTTTATTGGAGAGTGTACATGGTAGAAGAAGGTCTCAGGCAGAAGGCAGCACCATGTGCTTAAGACTAACTCCTTCCATTATTTAATAAGAAGGCTATAGCACTGCTGGCACTGAATGCAAGTAGCAAATAGCAAATCCACTGGGGAGAGGGAGTTGTTGTTACTACTACTACTACTGCAATCCATCTTGTGAATTTTTCATGCTGCCTTCACCCCCATGGGTGACCACCACTTCTGTGTCCTTTTGTAGACCGACAAGTGACACTGGCTGCCCAAGGGATGAAGGGCAGAGGGTCACTGTTTTCTCCCCCTCCTGGGGTGGGGGGAGGGCCGTCAACATCTATCATAAATCCCAGTTTGAGGTTTTTAATCTTTCATTTGCCAGCTGCGTAGATAAGAGGGGCCCTGAGTGAGCAAACAAGAGCCAGGGCTCGGAAGGAGACGTGGCCCTGGCACACAGCATGGCATTCTAGCCTGCCTTGGCACCTGTGCTTTCCAAGGTGATCCGCAAGAGAGGGAACAAATGGAGACGGGGGTGGGATGGAGCTCCTGGAAAGGCTAAGGGCAGGGCCGGCACAAGTCAACAGGCTTAAAAAAAAAAAGGTATTCAGCTGAGAAATGGGCACAAGAGCATTTCTTGGGAGCCAGCTCAATGAAAGGAAATTTTGTACTGAAATCTGGCAACATGTCAAACCTGTGAACTTTTCGTCATTGTTGAAATTTCAAACCCTGAAATTTCAAACCCTGAATACCATTCAGAGCTGCTTCCAAAACATTTTAAAAATTATGGTTTTCTGTTTTTTGGTTGTTGTTTTTTTTTTAAAGAAGTCAGGGCAATGAGATATGGTGAACAGTTGAAGTCAAAACAAAAAAGTGTTATCTGCTACATGCAGTGAGAACCCGCCAGAATAAGAGTGCACAACAAGCAGTAAAAAACAAGTGAGTGGAGAAGCCAACCCACCACACTTCGCAGGGCAAGGTCAGGTGTGCCTTCATCTGGGTGCTGCTCCTTTGGAAGGCCCTCCCACCCCACTGAAGCAGGCTTCCCACCCTCCATGAGATGCAGAGAAGGGCCTCTCTGGATCTTAAGAAGCAGGCAGGGTGCTATGGAAGGAGATGGTCCCTAAGGTATCCTGGACTTAAGCCATGCCAGGTTTTAAAGGTAATCACTGGTAACCAATGAAACTTAGGCAGATATAATAAATTAGGACAACTTCCACCCACCATCAAATTTTGTTTCAGACTATCTTGTTGGCCATCCTGAGCCTTGCTAGCAGAGTGGGGAGATTAGGGGGGAAGTTATTCTTGCCTGCTTATTGGAAGACCTTGTGCCTTCTCCACAACTGCTTGACCAACAATATTGCACTAAATATAAACCATGAGAGCACTAAAGCATAACAGGCAGAAAACCTCACCCACCTGGTGGGGCATCTCAGAAGAAGTCCTATTTAATCGGCCCTGTAGAGCACAATGCAAAAAGTGCACTTTTGCTACACAAGTTGGCAACAAGAAGCAGTTGAGCAAAGTCTCACTTCTGAGGTTTTCCGTTTCAGACCATCTCAGCTCAGGAGCCTCACCTTCCTTTCTGTCTTTTTTTCAGAACCTCTTACAGCAGGAATCCAGGATCAAGGCATTTGACTCTGGCTCTGGCGACCTGCTGTCCCATCTGTTAGCCAGCTCCCATACCGGTGGGAGGTGGAATAAGAGAAGCTGGGAGAGAGAAAGAGCAGGCGGAAGAAGAGTTAGCGGATTAACATTAATCCTCCAGCTTTGCACACTTGCAGCCAGACAGGAACAACGACCGGTGTAACAACAGCCTCCTTGATCACTGCTTCTCCTCCCTCTGTCCAAGGAGAGAGAGACAGGGGTTCCAGTCTACACACATCCTCTCTGCATTCCTGAAGGCCCAAACTTGGAAGAAATAAATTAGCCTGGTGGCTGCCTTAAAGCTGTGAAGAGACGCTATCTAGGGGATCTACAGAGGTGGGTGGAAATCAGGTGCCCACACCCAGCTGGAAACCTAGAAGTTCCACAACAGGTTGGTCTTGAATAGGCTGGAAGAAAGACCTCTGAAGCAAGAAAGAAAGCAGGACAAGTGATGGCAGGATCCTGGACTGTGACAGGTCACTGAGACACAAACACCTCCAGAGTTGTGCCCACCTCTCTTGAACGGCACTTCGCTGTATTTCTGAGACAGTGTTTCGATAAACGGGCTAGAAGATGAGTCTTGGGAAGCTGCCGGTGATTGGTTGGGTGTCTGGCTCCCACAGCAAGCGCCGTCTCAAAGTGGAGCTGACCCCGGACATGATCAGCCCACCACTGGGGGACTTCCGCCATACCATGCATGTGGGTCGTGGCGGCGATGCCTTTGGGGACACTTCCTTCCTCAGGAACCATGGCGGCGAGGAAGCCAAGCCCAACAACTTCTTTGCTCGGACACTGTGGCACGTGAGGAGGAGCCCACTAAGGAGCCGAGGAAGCAGGAACAAGGACGAGGCCTCTCCTACGCCCCCTGCCATCTCACCCATCATCAAGAACGCCGTATCACTGCCGCAGCTCAATGAAGGAAGCTACGGGAGTGATGGCTTTGGAGTTCCCTTTGCCTTCAAGAGCACTCCCAACAGCTTCTCTGGCTATGGTAGGTGGCATCTGGTGGTGGATTGGTTTGCCTTGCTTCACTCTTAGGTGTGCAATCAAAACCATCCTACACATATGCAAATGCTTCTTTACTGAATACTTTTGAGATTTCTGTTTATTTAGGAGTGCTGTGCATGTTTAAGGGCAGCATGCTGAACTTGGCCTTTTCCATAATAGTACAACTATTTCTCATTGCTCTTTCTCTATCTGCTCCATTAAATCTCTTTTCTTCAGTTGTTTTACTTGTTACAACACAAGTCTGCAGCTTGCTGTACTAACAAATCAGTACTTTCTCCTGAGTCATTGCAACGTGTCCAATAAACAACATTAAATGACAGGCTTGCATTTAAGTTGTTCCACGGGCATCACCGGCAAACATGACTGTACATATGTTTAGGTCTAGAGGAATTTTAAGTGAGTAACATAATATAAAATAAAAGCTAAGGAGATAGAAAGTTTTTGGTTGGGACGTAGCTCTCCAGGACTCTGAGCGTTTTCATAAACCCCCCCCCCCAAGCAAATGGTAGCAAAGCATTTAAGTATGCGCCATAGATCGCATCCATTTCCTTGTGATGGCTTTCCCAATATACTTCCACCAGTGTACAAGCAGTGATATTTCTGCCAAGTCATGCAATCCCAGAATGCACTGCACATACTCCTGGCACCATTAAGAAGAGGCTAGAAATAGCTACGTATGTTTTCTGGTCTACCCAGTTCTCCACAGAAGTCTGAAAGACTGATGGGAAACATGGTTCGGGGAAAAAACAAGGGAAAAGAAAAAGAAGGGGCAGGGTAAATCTCTCATTGCAACTATACATGCTGTTAGTGAATATTACAGGAAAGCAAAGCAAAGGCCCTGGATATTTTCAGGAATGACTAATGTTTCAGAGACGTCTTATTTTCCTCAGAGTAAACATTAGGTCAGTCCAGTGCATAGGGTCTTCTATAAAACAGCTACTGATTCTTTCTTGTTTGCTTGCATACCTCCACTACCCTGGCTTATTGACTTGCTTATTACTTTTCTCTCTCATCTGTTTCTTCATTGTTTACTTTAGATCAAAGTGCTATTCTCTGAAGTCCTTTGCTGATTTTCTTTCTTTCTTTCTTTCTTTCTTTCTTTCTTTCTTTCTTTCTTTACCATGTTACTAGCAAATAAGCAAGCTTAACTTTGCAAGAGCTAAACTGGTAGAAATTAGAGCAAAATAATCAAGAGCAACAAGATCAGCTTTGCAGACATCATGAGCAAGTCAAATTAGATTAAAATGTACAAGCAAACCAGGAGAGAAAAATAATTGATGTCTGCTGAACTGTGAACAGTAGCAGACAGAGTTGTGTGTGGCACCATGGCTCACCTGACCTCTGGTTGGTCACATTGCTGCTGCTTACCAGGAAGTAATGGAGGAAGGGAGAAGTGGGTGGGTGCAAACACACCAGCAGGAGTGCTGGATTGTCCCTGCCAGTGTGTTTGCACCATGTTGGCCTTGCCACTGCCTCACGTCTCTATGGTAAGCAGCAGCAGTGCAAGCAACTGGAAGTAAGGTGAACAGCAACACCCAACCCCACCATCTGCTGCTGACTGCAAATGATGACAGTATGGAGCATCCTAAGGGGAGGATAGTGCTATTGCTGTCCTTGCTAGAGTTGCCAGGTCAGGTCAAGAGCATCCCAGACCCTGAAATTTCAGGGCCCAAACCAGAGTCCTTGTGGTGGCCCTTGGTGGTGTCATGGAGATGGGTCCTGGAGACAAAGGTTAATTGGGAGAGGAGAGGAGAGGAGAGTAGGGCAGATGCACACACAGAGCGTGTCTATGCTATAATTTGCAGCCAGCTCATGCCAGACTGAAAGCTGCATGCACCATCTTCTAAATATTATTATTATTATTATTATTATTATTATTATTATTATTATTAAATGCAGCCTTGCCCACTTGGAGATTCAAGCCTTTCACAAGCCCTTCAAGTCTGGAAACTCTAGACCTCACTTCTGCCTCATCTGCATGCTCAGTGTTATTTGTGAAAAACCCTGCACATTTACAAATTGTACCTCTGGAAAAGACAGGTTACCCCCAACTGGCATACAGGACATATGTGTGTATCATTTGCATAGCATAGCTTTTCACAACTTATGCTGAATGTGTGCAGTGCATGTGAGTGAAGATAGCATTAACACTTTTGCTTTTAAAATATATTTGATTTGTGATTGGAATCAAGATATGTAACGAGTCTTGCTTGTCATTGTTCCCATGTAAGCCATACTGGTAGCCTTTTCAGCTTAGAATTTTTTTTAAAAAAATAATAATAATATGTGAGACAAAAACTGGCTGGTATTTTACAGTACTGGCATTACTTTAGGGATTAGTAAGTGTGGAAGAGAAGGAAATAAAAGATGGAGAAAGAAATCTAAGGCTTCAGTCCTGTGCCCAATTGTTTTAGAAGTCTTAAATGTGCAAATGCAGTGGAGATAATTTCACTGTCACATAACCTAGGATTGGGCTGTACATTGGTTTCCTGGTTTGTCCAGTATTGTCAGATAGTCATAGTCATAGGTGATAGTTAAATAATTTGGGAGCAGCCTTGTCAGAAGCTCTGGAAAAGCCTGTCTTTTTTGTCTCGAGTCTGGATGTTTGTCTCAGGCAACAAATGCCGAACATGCAGCTGTTAGGAAATAGGACTGCGTGTGTGTTTTGGGTAAGGAATTTACAGCATGTTTGGCAGAGGAGAAAGGAAGAGAGGAGGATATGGGGGAAAGGTGACAGTAACATGGGCCCTGGAACAGAGAGTATTGAATGGAGGGAGAAGCAGACAGACAGGGTGCAATAGGGCAACCATTTCTCCATTGGCAAAACGCATTGCCTGGTTCACCTAAAAGGGGGAACCTAGACCCTCCACTAACCAGCATAACTAAAGCTTCTAGCCCTGTGGTGATTTGAGCTCAAAGCTTTGCATAGCAGCTAGCTTGACTTTCACTGCTTAAACAGAGCCGCTGCTTGCTCTGTCTAGACTCTGCATGCCCAATACGAAATGTCCACACTGCAGCATTTGCACTGAGGTGGGACTAGCAGGGAGGTGAATAACGGTCTCTGTTCTGAGCTCCTGTTGCTGCAGAATGGCTTTTCCCCAGCTGCCTGGCCCCCTCTAGCATTGCTGGCGCCTGCCTGGCTTTCATCAAGGCGGAGAGCAGGGCAACGCTGCCCTCTGTCGAACATTGCAAGCCATGCAGCAGTTGCCGCGCACACGTCCTTCCGCCCCCAGATTTCTTTATATCGCCTTTTCTTTTCACCCAGATTAATTCCAGCTTTATGAGTAAAGGGGAAGCCTGGGTCAGTCATTCAAATGTAGACCTGGTTCCCCATTCTCTCCAATTCATCCAGCTAATATTGCAGTGCAATCAAGCCTGCAATCCCATTGCTTGCTATTTATTTGCGGCGCAGCCAACCCTACGATTTCATCACTTAGGCCAAATGTCCCTGGTGCAGAATTCGCCCTGCTCTTATCATAACGGTGTACACAAAAGACTAAAGGTTATTCACAAACGCTATTAACTTAAAAGTGATCAGCATCTACATCAAAGTATCTTTAAACCAATGAGCCCCACACTACTTGTTGTAGCACTTGAGAGGGACTGGAGAGTGCCTTGAGTTATTAGGCAGTTATTGGATCGCCCATCAGTTTATGCCCAATGGATCAAGCAAGGCAGCATCGATCCCCCTCTTTCTGCCTCTGTATGGAAAGTGATAATATCCTGATAGGGTACACAGCCCACCCTACAGCTGAAAGGCATAGAGGCAGGGGTAGCCAATGCTGTGGTTGGACTCGCAGCTCCCATCAGCCCCAGCCAGCATGGCCAGTGGCTGGAGTTTATGGGAGATGGAGTCCAGCAACAGCTGGAGGGAACCACCTTGGATACCCTTGGTTTGGGGTGATGTAAGAAGCATCCTTCTTACCCCAAAATCTTGGTATTTCACCCCTGAGCCATGACTGATTGGGCAAAGGCAAAGTATTAACTAGCCTGCCCCCTAACTCCAAGGTAAACACCTTCCTCCTACCATTCTGGGAGCTGACTGAGTAAATGATGTGTTTTTGTGAAAGTACATTGTGCCTCCAAGGTGGAAAAACACCCTCTGCCCTGGTTTTCGAAAGTTTGGGAAGCTCAGGCCACTGAGCTTTATTTGCCAGAGGATGGAAAAGACAAGGAAGAAAAGCGGTGTGCCATTATCATACTGAGATGTCACATATTTCCTCTACTCTCTACATCTGATAGAGACTCTGTTGGAGGAAGGGAGGATACCGGGTGAGCTCAGGGATGAACCATTTGCTCTTAGCATCGAGAGCTGCTCATTGGAAATAGCTCATAAGCCACTGAGCTGTGGCTAATTTGCATATTTTAGTTGCATGCTATTAACACAACGTGCATGAGCATAGCAAATGTAAATCAACATTAGCTTGACACAGTGCGCTCCTTCTGCGATAACCTCATCCTGAAATTGCCATCCTCTGATGCAAAGAAACCTTGACTAAGCACTTGAAAAGCAGCAAAACTGGGTCTTAGAAGCCATATCAGTTGTCAAATGTAATAAATGTGGTCTTCATTCTGACACGCTTGCTTAGTTTTCACCCTTCTTTTGCTATCACATCTGTTAACATCTCTCCAATTGTGAGGGACAGAGACTCGCATGGTTTTAAAAAGAAGGATTGGGCCACACAAAACAGCTTTCCCTTTCCCTGGGATACCTGGAGACTAATGCTGACCCATCCATATGTTTTGCATCATATATGGATAACAGGATTGCCATCCTACACCAGCCTTCCCCAACCTGATTCTCCCTAGAAGTTGTTAGATTACAATTCCCATCCTAATGGATGTGGGGGTGATGGGTGTTACGTTCGAAAACATCTGAAGGACACCACATTGGAGAAGGCTGCCCTGTGCTCTCGTGTGGACTGCAAAGGACAGGTTCTCCCATGCTTTGTTCTGACCATTGCTTTCACTGTCTTTTCAGGAGTGGAATCTGGATTCTGCACCATCCCTCGTGTTCCTCGCCCAGAGAAGACCCAGGAAAGCTCCCACCGTGCCGAATCAGCGCTGAATCGCTCAGACTCCTTGCTGTCTTTTCGCCTTGACCTTGACCTTGGCCCCTCCCTGATGAGCGAACTCCTCCATGTCATCAGCTTCCCGGGAGATCACGGCCGCAGCAACACGGAAGAGGAGGAAAGAGGGGAGGGCAAAATTTCAGCCTGCAGTGACACTGCCTCACCACTTTGCCCAGAGGACACCAGTGGGGAGGACTCATTGCCCTGGAGACCAGGGTCTCTTCATGCTAAAAGTGAAGAGAGCAAAACTGCATCAAGCTTTTGGGTTCGCTCCGAGGCCAGTTCACCACTGGTGCAATCCGTTTGTGCCAATGGGGATTTTCATTCCAGAGAGTCATCGCAGGAAGGGTCGCCCTGCTCTAGGGGAAAGCCCTCCGAGTTGGGAGCAGTGCCGAAAGAAACCCACTGGCAAGAGCACCAGAATGGCTGTGACATGGAAGCAAGAGAATTCAACCGGGCAGCCCAGGTTTTAGCTTCCTACCGCAGCCTGCAGCAGCGAGAAGAGCCAAGAAACCAAGCCTCGTGGGAAAGCCCAGATGCCAACATGTGGCGACTGAAGGCTGAACAGCAGGAACGCAAGGCCAGATGGCACCACAGAGTAGAGGAGGAGGAAGACGAGGAGGAGGAAGAAGAGTTCTACAGAGATGGAGCAAGCATTGCTAGGGAGAGGCACAGTGATTCCTTTGACTATGTTGATGAGGAGGACGATGAAGTTAAGGTTTGAACAGCTGTAGATGCTCTCTTGTGACCTCCCATCACACTCCCAGGAGAGACCAGTGTTAAAGGGAACTATGCACCTTGCAGGCCGACTGGTGTGTGAACTCACAGGGTTAGCCTTCTTTGGAGATGTTCTAGATGGTGATAGGCCGGTGAAGAAGGGAGCTCAATTACCTGCTTTGCTCTCCTGCTCCTCCTTCTGGCTTTGGTGGTCTAAAGAAAGGGACAGAAGTAAAGCAGAACCATACAAAGGAGACAGCCAGCCTTTGTTGGCTCTTTCATTGAGGTCATGGCTCTGCGATGCAGCCAGCATTTACAGGTGTTAATGAGTTCACATTTCCCTTTAACCCCATTGGCTGAGTGATTCTGTCACTGAAAATTGTGGCATGACCCCTCCATGGCCCGGTAAAAAGAATTTATCCTTAAGGAAAGAGGGGGAAAACCAAGGAGACCCTGCACACCACTGTCAAACAATTATAAGAAGGGAAGTTTTTTGAAAAAGGAGCAAACCTGAGGTCTAGGTGGAACAGGAAAAGCCACAAGATGCTAGGCTTCCTTCAGTCCCAATGCAACATTATGTCTTCTGCTTGAGGTAAAGATCACAGTTACTAATCTTCCAGTCCGATATTCGAACATCAAACTATCCAAGATGTCCTCTCTCCTCTGCTTATAAGGAACACCAGACTTGGATTGGATTTGACCTCAAATTGGCTGTTTGGTGCTCCATCCATTTCTTCATTTACTGAAACCTGGATTGGACCTGGTCTGTTTATCCTTCCTTTTGCATTCTAGTGAGGAAATGTACATTTTGGTCTTCTTTGAGGTATCACTCTGAGCTCATTCCAGGGAAGCCTATCTATGAAGTTGTTATTCACACTGCTTCCAGGGATTGCGCAGGAAGTGAGTTCAGGGTCCTCCATTTTGTGTAAGTGTAGGAATCCAATTCACAAAATGGGAGACAGAGGGAGACTTTTCACCCTGCTCCCTGGGTCTCCTAGAGCAGGAATAGGGCATGTAAGGCCCATAAGCCATACCTGTTGTTGTTTTTTAACTGTGTCCCCAGCACTCACAGCCTCACTGCCATTGTGGTAGCTCACCCACAGGCTGCTTGTTCTGGAAGAAAAGCACTTCTCAGGGTATAGCTGGGTGGAGCCCCTCAGTCTGCCTTAACATGCCTAACTTGTCCCACATGGGGAACATGTGGCGCTCCAGATGTTGGAACCAAATTCTCACCAGCCTTAGCCAACATGGCCAATGAGCAGGATGATGGGAGATGGAATCTAAAAACATCTGGTTTTCCCCATCCCTGTCCTCAAAGATGTGGCCTCAGGGGCCATTCAGACAAGCATAACGGTATTATCGAGTCCTCAAAGACTGTACCCCACCTCAAGTTTCACTAACAAAGTGGAGAGAAGTACATTTGAAATGTACCTCACGGGAAATATTCTCCCACAGCAACAATTTCCCACCCCAGAAAGAGTGAATATGGTTAAGCGTTCTCTTTGAGCTGGTAAATTACACATAGGGATGCTTTTGGCGGGGAAACACCTCATGTGAAACATGAGGTGGGTCACTCTGAATCCTCTCATGAGGCACATTTTGAAGAGGTCGTCACAAAAAAGGCTGGGGGTTGTTGTCATCTTCTCCTAGCATAGTAACAACATAAGAATCAGGCTCCTAAGTCCAACTCTCCCCTTGCCCCCCACTCTGCATATTTTAGGAGATACTCATACACAGCCTTTTTCCAGCCCTGTCTGCATTTTTCTGTGGTCAAATCACTCTGCTCTCAAGAAACTATTTAGATGATAAACAAAAGGGATGAGGCGGATGCCAAAGAGCAAACGCTTGGTATTCAGAGGACATACCAGCCATGAGGAAGAAGTCATTGTACAGCATCTGATATGGCTGCCAGTAAGAATCAGAATGCATCACACAACATGATTTCCCATAGAAATCATGTTTAGAAAGACCCAAGAAGATGCATTTTTGTTCCTCTCCCTCCCTGACCCTGTTACTGCAAAAAGATTCCATAAAGTTTGTTCTCTTGGTGTCTAGCTCGGTTGACTCAAGCAAACACCAGTCCACAGTAGGGTCTCACTGCCCTTCTACCCAGTGTTTGGGAGGGACAGATAAGGCAAAGGAGTCTTTTCTTTCCCATAATATATACACCCTTCAGGAAGTCTTTTCCCCACAATTCTGTCCAGCAAGGTCCAGTATTGTATACTGTTTGTATACAGCTAGTTCTGTCTAAGAGCGTTAATGATTAGAGCACACAGTTTCTCCAAGGGCTTGGGGAACCCTTGTCTGTCCTGTCCTTTCCTCTCCTTCCTGGTGTCTCTGCTCAGCAAGGGGTGTTGGATCACAGCGCTCCACGTGTCCTCTGGTTTAGATGCCTCTTGGCATTGCAGCTTCTCTGGAATGAGCCCATTTTCCCCGACACTCACACAGAGAGGTTTTTGTGCCAAGGCAGAGATTTCTGGGGGATGAGGTCACACAACTTGTCCCTCACAGCACTCTGATTGTTCAACGAGCTGGCAGTGGCTGGAGGAAGCCCATTCCTGCAAAAACTGCCAACGAGATCTATGTGGCAGGAGCAGGGAGAGGAAAGCAGGAAGTAACAGCAGGAATATAATAGACAAGCATTGTGGAGGAAGGCTTCGCCAACGGCTGTTCCTCACTCCCGTGGGTTTTGACTTGCTGACCTCAACCCACTGGTGGCCTGAGGAACTTGAAGAGTTGCAGTTGCAGTTATACGTAAATGGCATTTGTGGGGAGATTCAATACTCGGCTCACACTGGTATTCCAGGGCTGGTCATCCTGGTGGTTACTGCTGGGTTCTAGGAAGCACTGGGTTAAATCTAACAGCCAGACTAGATGTACCTTTGCATTTAACATGCACTTTTTAAAAAAGGAAGCTGCCTTATACTGTCAGATAATTGGCCCACCAATCTCAGTATTAGCTCCACTGATGGGTAGTGGCTCTCCAGAGTTTCATTTGGTGTTTCTCAGCACTTTCTGGGAATGCCAGGGCTTGAACCTAGAACCCCTGCATATGAATTTTCACACTGAGCTACAGCCCTTGTAGTCAAAGGAAGGTTTGCTCCCAAGGCAAACAGCAGTTTCAAAGGATTTTTTTGTCAAGACAACAGCAAGGAAAGAAAGAGTTACTCTCCTCCACTCTGCCGGCTGTTGTCCCGGTAGTTATCAGACATACACACCACAGCTGCTAATTGCATTCTCTCTCTCTCTCTCTATATATATATATAAAACAATGAGCATGTTAAATGCAACGGCACATTTAAGAACATGACTGGTTTAGGCCTAAAGCAGGGATCACCAACTTCCCGCCCCCCCCCCCCAGCCTGTGGGCAAACCAGAGAAAAGTGTTGCTGCAAGGCACCATGCTCACACCAAAACCAAGCACACACATGGCAACTACACACACATGCAAACTCCCCCCTCTGCCAGCAATTAGACTTGGGGGGGGGGAAGTGTTGTTGCTTCCTTTTGCAACCCCAGTGGATGTAATCTTACTGGAGAGTGAGGATGGGGAGGCAAGAGTTAACCTTCCCTCCCCAAGCTCCAATAATCAGGATGATCGGTTTCCCACCACAACGATTAGGTGACTGTATTATTAATTAATTAATTAATTAATTAATTAAATGTTTATACCTCCCTTCATCAGAACACCACAGGGCGGTTTACAACATAAAAACCCATAATATAATAGTAAAAGGGGGAAAATATGAATCTTCGAAGCCTAATTGTGGTACAGCTGTGTTTGTAGCTTTTTGGTGGTGGTGGTGTCACAAACCACCACAATTAGCCTTGGGGAAAAGCATTTCCATTGGCTTAATTTCAGCAGGCAGGGAAACAGAACCTTGTGGGTGTCAGCGAATGTGTCGGTGGGTGGGTGTGGGTCCATGGGTGTCATGTTGGTAACCCATTCCCCAAGGGATTGACGGTGTGTGAAAAGCCAGTCATCCATTGGAGCTTCCATAGCTTCCTGGCCATTTTTCTATATGTTATAGGGAAGCAGAGAGGAGACCTTGTGTTGCTTGCTCTTGACAAACATCTCTCCAAGATCTTTCTGGTTTATCTGATAAGCTTCAAACCAAAGATTCCCCCCTTCTATGTATTCCTTGCACTTGTTACTGTTCTCAATATTACAATTTTTATACACATATATTATATACTGACTGGTGATGTGGTAGTCTTTTTTCCCCCCTTGAGACTGGGACAACTTTAGGGATCTAGAATAAGGGTCCTTGGTTGCAAGACCCACCCATGCACCCTACACGAACATATCACACCCATTCAGAGTTCCTCCTGCAGTTTCCTAACAACTGAAGTCTCCTTCCTTAGGCTATTAAAATGGTGATGAGACTGGGGATGAATGAATGACTAATCATTTTACCAGACTCCTAGGAAGAGTCTGATTGGACAGCGTTCTTTGGTTGTGAGTCTACATGATGCATCAGAGGTTAGTTGCCCAAATACTCAGAACCACAGAAGAAGCATTCTTCTTTCTTGCAGCAACACAGGCCCCAGAATTCTCAACCTCTTTTTGCCTTATAGCCAACCTAGTTCACAAATGTTAGCAGCCCCCTTGAAAAGCATCTTTCGCAGGCCTCTCAGCCTTTGTGTTTGTTATCCGTGAGTTTAAAAGGGAGGAGATGCATCTTAAAAGATGCATTTAAAAAGATTCACAAACACAGATAATTCAAAATCCCATTTCAGGCCCCACCACCAGCTTGGCCCAATATGTGTATTTGTAGAACGGTTCAACGGCATGTATTCAGTGCTGATTTTTTAAAACATATTATTTGGGGGGTGGGGAGAATTAAGTTTGCAGTCCTCAGAGGAACAAGTATTATGTGGGCTGGTAATGTGCAAAGATTCGCTTCTAGATGCAGAAGGCCAAACTGAAATGAATTGATGTGAAAGTGCGAGACACACTTGAGTGCCTGTAATGCTCCAGGTCACAGCAATTTCTGGGCTTCATCAGATGTTTGGTAGATGATGCCTGTGGCAGATGATTGCATGAAGGACACAACCTGTCAAGGGTTTTCATTCTGTAGCAATTCCACTCCCCCTCTCCCAGCTTGAGGAAGATAAGATATGGCAAGGCCTAGTTAATGGCTAACCTGGCTGGAATTTCCCTAGAGATAAAAAAGAAGCAAAGATAATATAAAAGGAGGACTCTCTCCCTTGATGTGATTCAAAGCACAACACCTGGGTGCCTCTTTCCCCAAACTGAAGGTGTCTGGTACCAAGATGAAGCTGTTTCTGCATCAAACCACTAAGTTTAGGCCATGGGTAGATAAACTAAGGCCTGGGGGCCGGATCTGGCCCAATCACCTTCTAAATCCAGCCCACGGATGGTCCGGAAATCAGCGTGTTTTTACATGCGTAGAATGTGTCCTTTTATTTAAAATGCACCTCTGGGTTATTTGTGGGGCATAGGAATTCATTCATTTTAAAAAAATTTCAAAATATAGTCTGGCCCCCCACAAGGTCTGAGGGACGGTGGACTGGCCCCCTGCTGAAAAACTTTGCTGACCCCAGGCTGACTGGTAGAGAAAGGCCATAGAGCTGAAGCTTGCAGGACAAGCTACACTTTTGAAATTCCCTCTTCTACACAGCTATTAAAACCTGTCCTGTTTTTCACCTGACCATACTAGTCTGAACTGGTACTGTCCGTTCTTACCACTTCATCCTGACTGATGCAGATGTTAGACCTGCACACAGTTATTTCTGTTGCTAGGTTTTAAACAGAAGAGCTAAGGCAGCGGGAACCATGGAATGGTTGGATTTGCTGCTTGGCACCAGTTGAAGGGTTACCAGTACCATGCTGTTCTGTGCCATAGGCAAAGCTAACTACTTACATCAGCCCCCATCCCATCAAAACTGCCACATTTATTTTAAATTTCAAGAATAAAAAATACAGCAGTCTTTGATTATCTTTCTCAAAGGCAAAAGAAAATGTTTTAGCAGGCAAATCATTATGAATGATTTTGTGACCTGTGAGTTCACAACATTTAAGTCTCTTAAAAGTTTCAGTTTCAGGCACATCGAAACCTCCCTTTGTGTGCCTTCTCCTTTGCAGATTTTGTCACCAATGCCTTCAGGTCAAGTGCTATTGCTTGGGCATATTCAGTTAATATAGTTGCTAAGCCAAGTAGCCTCTTTTGCAATATTGTTGAGTTATGTAACTTTTTAATAAGCTTGGGCTTTAAGAAACTGTTCACTACTTGCCACTGACACTGGAAGTATAAGCAGGATCCTTAAAGCAACAGAAACATTAGGCACATTATACAGGTGTTTTCGTTGTAGTATGAAGAGAAGTACTCATTGTGGCCACATGGACTGTGGAAATCTTCGAGTTGTAGATAGAAGTTCACAGCACAGACCTTCCGCATCAATATCATTGTTTCCATTGTGCATCAGTAATTTTTCCAAATTCTTGCAGACCTTAAGTACATTTTCAATAGATTTTTTTGTTGATACGTTATATAACATATACGAAACCAAATAGGGAATAACATTGGACTCTCTCTGCAACAGATTGTTATGGCCATGTCTATGACAGTATAGCAGAAACCTACTTTGAATTTCTGTTTTGGATCTTGTGGTGCATCTTCTTAGGCCTCACCCTCAAACTTCCATTTCTTTCTCCTTTTTCTAACTTATTCTGTCTCAAAGTTTGGTAGTATTTTTAGCTCCTTTGCAATCTCAGTAGCATCTCTCAAAACTTAGCAGGTTCACTATAATTCAAGTCAGGCACAATACCATCTTCTTATGCAGACTTCGCAGCACTCTCACTTTTCTTGACATCCTCTTTTCCCTCTGAGTGTTTTCTATAAATATCTCCCATTTGTGAAACTTCTGCCTTAGAGTTTATATCACTTGCAATAGGAGCACCACATCCAGCTCCCTCAGTGCTTGTTTTAACAGGGGTATCGTCATACTCTTGTTCTTCAATTGATTTCTGTGCACAAAGGTATTTCAGGAAGAACCCTCTTGCTTAGATTCCTCCTTAGCTTTTTCTCCCTCTCGTTTGCAGTACTGAGCTCCAGGTTGTGGATTGGTTTTCCCCAGCCATAGCTCACTAGAAAAAGGAACACATTTCCTTTCCTTTTCTTTCTACACATAGTTTTTATTAAATCTTTCTAAGGTTTTCAAACCAACTACATTGTTTCGTAAGTTGTCTTCCCACCTTCACCCCTGAAGTGTTTTTACTGAAACCTCCACAGTGTTTTTGCTCAAAGCTGCAAAAGAAAGGGAAAGTGGTCAGTAGTTGTTTTATCTTTTTAACCTCTCTCTTATCGCATAAGCACAATGTTTGATAAAAGAGAGCAGCAAGCCAGATTATGACTGCAATAATAATAATAATAATAATAATAATAATAATAATAATAATAATAATATATTTATAGCCCCCACAGTGTGATAGATATATCCATTTGCCTCTTGTTTTAGGCTTCCCTTGTCCCAGTGGGTCTCCCGTGTTAAACAAACACACAGGAAAGTAGATATGAGAAGGACTAAAATAAGACAAACTGAAGAGGACATTCCCAGGGCAACTTACTTTGTTTATTGATTTATTATTACATTTATACCCCACGTTTCCTTCAAGGAGTTCATGGTATATGCAGTTCTACGCTTTCCCTGTTTTATTCTCACAACAACCCTGTGAGGTAGGTCATCTGAGGGAGCGTAGCTGACCCAAGGTCACCCACTGAGCTTCAGGACTGAGCAGGTTTTTGAACTTTGCTTTGTTCCAGTCAACGCACCAGAAAGATCAATGGCAAAAGGGGAGCCGATAACTTCAGCTGAGTGTAGCTTGTGTCACAAAAAGACACCCTATTTCTGCATCAAGGCAATCCTAATTCTGTGCCATGAAAACCTGCTCGCTGCATCAGTCCCACCCTGACCTCTTGAGATGTCATCCTATATTTTTCACTCGTTCCAATATTTCTTTATGGCCTTAAGGAATTTTTAAAATTTGCTTGTTAAACTGTGCTTGGTACCATATCCCACCCTTGTGATCAGCTTCCACAGAATACACAACGTCTGAAAGAAACCCTATTCAAAACTTTTGCAAAAAAAGAAAAGGTCATGAATTCTTACACTGATCCCCAGGCCAAAGCAAGGAGGCAGATTGGATTGGGCTCAATTTATGCCTTCTCAACATTCAATATATATACCAGATCTGGATTTATATCACAGGGTGTTAGAAAGAAGCTTGGACCCTGACTACAAATTGTAATAATATAACATTAATAAAATTGTTTCTAATTATTTTTTTTTTAATGAGCTTGGGCTTGTTCGTTTATCTTTAAGTAGATCATCTCACACTTTGGATACCCAAGTGTGAAGTCATACGATTGACTGAATCAGAATTCGGAAACCGGTGCAATTTTTCTTATTTATTTTTGTAACAGACAGAGGAAGGAGGTTTGGAACAATTAACTTTGCAGAGGAAGATAGGTTGTTGTGATGAATGACAGAGGAACAGGAAAGGAACGAGACCAGCGATGAGTAAAGTGCCAACACTCTTTGCCTGCTGGAATCCTTCTCATTTCTAAGCATTTACCCTCCAGATACACATACTCGGCTTCTTTACTGTAAGGGAATTAGAAACTTGATTTAAAATACTATAAATAAATAAATAAACCTCATTCATGAGCTACATTTAATGCTTCATGTTTCCATGCATCCATGCATGAGCATAGCCAAGGAGGGGAGCAGAGAGGGGCAGCTGCACCCCACCTAAATCAATAAAAATACATAGCAAACTGAGCTTCTGCCCCCCCCCCCAAAATCCTGGCTACACCCATGCAGCCATGTATTCTTTTGACAATATTCATTTTGGTACAGTTGCTTTTTCTGTGGATCTTCTCAGTAGGTGCCCACATAAATATAGGGTAGGTTTGATGATGATGATGATGATGCACCCCCTCAGCTCAGTGTCCTATGCTGGAAAACCGCCCACCCCACCCTAAATCTGGTGCTACCTTAATCCTATGCAGCAGAGTTGCAGAGGTTGTCTGTAACCAGATCCCACTGAAAGCAGTAGACATTGCAACCATTTATTTATTGCATTTTTAGCCCACCTTCCACCCCAAGCAGCTCAGGTGAACATACGCCTTCCCACCCCTGTTTTATTGCCGCAACAGCATCACTGCGAGGCAGATTAAGCTGTGTGATCGTGACTGACCCAAGGTCATGCTGTTAGGCAGAGGAACAAGTTGTACGATTCAGGTACACTCTTTTTGCATAACAAGTAAAGAGAAGACTGGATGCTTTTTTTTCTTTCTTTATTAAAGATGTTAGTCTGGAATTAGATTAGACTGGGAGGAAAACTAATAGGAGCGAGAGAAGAGAGAGTTTCATGGTGAAAAAAAGATCCAGAGGAAAGAGGGTGCATGTTCTAAGTAAAAGAAATGTGGGTTTGACAAGGAGAGGAAAAAATTGATAAAAGGTTGGGGGTTAGTGAAGAGAGCAGAGAGGCGTCTCAGCAGGTTGGGGAAAATCAGATATGCAGCAGCAGCAGCATTCTGAACAGAAATCAAGAGGTGAGTGAAAGACTGTTCAGAGCAGTTTTTAGTCAGAGAAAGACAAAATTCAGGCTGAAATGGTTGGCCTGCTTTTGCTTTCAGCAGATTAGAAGAAACCAGAAGAAGCAGAAAGCTGTTCAGAGGCAACCTTGCCGACAGTGAAATTAAATTGAAACACTTGGATTTAAGCCTTAAAATTAAATGCTACGGCAATGAGGCCAAATCTGCTGTAAAAGTGCAAATCCTTTGGTTTTACTGGGTTGCATTTCAGACTAGGCTGCCTTGAAAGAAGGACTATAAGCAGAAAGAAGAAGACAGGAAAGGAATGGGATTGTAAAGATCCCATTTGCTAGATAAGGAGAAAGCAATTATTATAGACGCCTTCAACCATCCTGAAACAAACCCTAGCTAAGGAGTGCTTGCTTACCTGTATTTTAATTACCTGCTTCTCACACAAAAAAACCCAACCCAATAATTTTATTGGTTTATTTATTTGGCTCTTACATATTAGCAGTTTTTCCACCAACAGAAATCACTGCTGAAAAAAATAAACTTTGATTTTGAGAATGACTTAAAGCACACCTGAAGCACATTTCCCCACTCAAAGAATTTTGGGCACCATAGTTTACTCCTCACAATTCCTGGCAACCTTTAAACTACATTGCCCAGAATTCTTTGAGGGAGGGGAATGTGCTCTGAATGTGCTTTAAAAGCATAAGTGTATGCAACTTACTTTGCACATAACAGAGCCTCCATTGAATGTTTGCTTCCTCCTCCCATATTCCATCTTCAGATACACACAGAATGGCATCACCACTAGCCAAGCTATCTTATCCCCAAGGGTCCAGCACTGTCAAAAATTCAGTCAATTAAACTGCATATGTAAACCCTCTAGAAAGCAAAATCAGATTATTATTTTTAACCAAAAAAAGTTAAACATTAGCTATTTATTGAGCATTTATTCCCATTTGTTTGCAGTGAAGTGGCATCAAGCGTTACTGCGCACTTTCCTGTGAATTTCCTATCGGTTTCCTTAATGAAAAAAGGGAGGAAGGGACTTTGTTGCACAAGAATTCCAAATCATCTTCAATTGTGCCATCTAAATTTGCTGGTACAGTCAAACCTCGGCTTCCGAAATGTTCGACGACCGAGGCGCGGCTTCCGATTGGTTGCAAGAGCTTCCTGCACTCAAGCGGAAGCTACGGCGGATGTTCAGTATGGAGAGCCAGTATGGTGTAGTGGTTAAGAGCCGTAGTCTCGTAATCTGGGGAACCGGGTTCGCGTCTCCGCTCCTCCACATGCAGCTGCTGGGTGACCTTGGGCCAGTCACACTTCTTTGAAGTCTCTCAGCCCCACTCACCTCACAGAGTGTTTGTTGTGGGGGAGGAAGGGAAAGGAGAATGTTAGCCGCTTTGAGATTCCTTAAAGGGAGTGAAAGGCGGGATATCAAATCCAAACTCTTCTTCTTCTTCGGCTTCTGAAAAACATTTTAAAAACTGAAGCATTTACTTCTGGGTTTTCGGCGTTCGGGAGCCGAATTGTTTGAAAATGGAGCCGTTTGGGAGCCAAGGTTTGACTGTATGTCGTTGAATCCCACCAGCAAAACTGTGACAGTCTGGAAGTGCCCTTAATGTATGAGGCACAAGACAGCCTTAAAAGGGTATTGAAAGATTGTGGGACAGTGACATGTATATGGATGGTTGTCCTCTGTGGGCCTTCACTTCACGATCTAAATACTATGTGCATCGGCCCCAAGTGAAAAGGCTAAATATGAATACAATTATAGAGCAGCACATGGGACAACACTGGGTACAAACTTTCCTCATTATATAGGCCAGGTCTCCCAAGTTCCTTAATGCTCTTGTTTAAAGAGTTAGTTCAGATGTGCAAGACGCAGGAAAGTTTTTGCTTATGGTGTGCTACACAGAGGGAAAGTAATGTTTAAATGTGTGTGCCAAGCCACAAACTCCTAGAAATAAATGAATGGTAATCATAGGATGTTTTGCAAAGAATATCCATATATAGAACAGTATTTCTAGCTCCCGTAGGGCAATTAGTGGCACGCGGAGCATCCTGGAAAGAAATAATAGGAAGGGACTGTACGAAGGGTGAAAACAAATGTAATATTTTAAGTGTGCCAAAGCTGAGTTGAAACTGCTGTAATTGCTCTGAAAATGCACATATATTTTGGTGTCCAGAACCAGCCACCCTAAAAAAAGGTCAACAACTTTGGGGTTCTCCCCCCAAAATAGGGTTGACAACTATGGGGACCTGGGAGGGGCGCCCGGAGGATCTTTGCACCCCAGTGCCACATATGCTTAAGACAGCCCTGTGAGCTGATGTGCCTTTCTGCAAAATCAGCCGATTTGATCCCAGCTGTGCAGCCTCTTTCTTGGATAATGTAGGAGGGAACTGTAGTTTGGTTATGCAGATTTCGTCCTTGTTTGGTGAAACGGCAGGCAACTTAAATTCAGGTGAAATAACATGGGGAAAAACTGAAAAGCTGCGCCACTAAAGAGATGGCAGATAAATACCCACATCTGATAACTGACTGAGAGAACATCAGGCTAAGCAGAAATTCTGTTATTTAATCACGTGCCACCAAAACTCCGTGGGTAACTTGTCAAATGAGAGCACAGAAATGTTTCCGGCTAGAAAAGAATACATTTAGAAAAGCTGCAAGAGTTTGCCTGGTGAGAAGCGGCAGGGATACAGAGGGAGGAGAGAAAGGAAATACGATTGTTTCCTAGTCATCATATCTCCAACTTCAAGGTCCGGCTCTTGTGAGGCTCTGCGTGAGGGTCCCTGGAAAGCGCAACTTCAATGGGAGTCTGCAGCGCTCAGCACCTCGCGAGATCAGAGGCTTAAAATAATCGCTGCATCTGCAGGATGAAACGTCAAGCCGAAAACCATATGTTGCTATGAAATTAAATGGAACACGTTCTCTTTGATTGTCTTTGAAATTAAATGGCAAGAGTCGGGGTTGGATGGTAAGAGAGTGAAATGAAAAAGCTGCTGAAGGGGGCGGGAGGAAGGGGGGAGTGCCACACACAAAAAGGGAAAAATTGACATTCCCAAAGGAATGACTTGCTGCAGGGAAACAGGCTTCTGAAAAAGGGGACTTCATACGGCAGAAGAAGGAGCTAAGAACAGCCTGGGAGAACAGAAGGAAATCTGCCCGGGGAGAAACACTAAAAATAAAACAAACGGATGGACTCTGGCAGCAGCACACAGGGGAGAGAACGGAATCTAGGCTATGCAAGGGGTGTGGGAGAGCTAAAAGCAGAAGAGAAGCACACACAGTTTCGGATGGGGCAGCTGCATATTCTGAATCGACAACAAAAAAGGACTCCCATCTGTTTTACTTAAATTCCTCTATCAGAATAAATCACACACATTATGGGTATTTTAGGGATTAGTTCTTAGGCAATAAACACAGCTCCAGAAGTGAAACAACTTATTTCCCACCCACCCAAGGCCTTCACAGGTTGAAATTCCAAATTCTCCTTCCTTCTCACCTTGCTAGAAACAAGCACAGTGTGCAGGATATGAACATATGGAGCTGACTTATACAGATTGTTCACCCATAAAGTTTAGAGCCGGTTCAGCTTTTATTTCTTTATTATTTTAAAATTTATATGCCGCTTGATTGTAAGGAAACTTAGTGCAGTGGAGGAATTATTTTAAAAATAGATGGAGCCATTGCTGACCTGATTTCTCAATACAGTGGTACCTCGGGTTACATACACTTCAGGTTACATACGCTTCAGGTTACAGACTCTACTAACCCAGAAATAGTACCTCGGGTTAAGAACTTTGCTTCAGGATGAAAATAGAAATCGTGCTCCAGCGGTGTGGCGGCATCAAGAGGCCCCATTAGCTAAAGTGGTGCTTCAGGTTAAAAACAATTTCAGGTTAAGAACGGACCTCTGGAACGAATTAAGTACTTAACCTGAGGTACCACTGTAATCAGTTCTGCATCTGTTGGTTGCTGCCCATCTAGTGATCTCTCAGGGGTTCCTCAGCTGATTCCTCCCACTGTTCTTCTGCATCCATGACAGCTCTCTACTGTTCATCACCAGAACATTACAATATGTCCTTTGGACTGGTTCCATGGCAAAGGCATGGGTAAAGCCCCAATCCCTCCATGTCAGGGTTGCACCTACTATTTACTTATTTTTAAAAAGCAGCTACTCGGGGTCTAAAGATGAGGATAGCATAACATATTATTTGATCTTATGTTCACACCTGAAAAAGAAAATGGGTGGGGGGATACTGTCGTGCAGAGAAAAGCAAGAGCGCATGCAAAATTTCTGCAATTCCAGATGTGGTTATAAATGAATAAATAAATAAGGTGGGGCAAAACCAGAGACCATGGCCAGGGATAACCCATTTGCCCCAGAGTCATCCCAAATAGGTGTGGCCAGCAGTAGTGATCTACTCTTCTTAACACCCCATGTCTTTGAACCAATACCCAAATGGGAGCGAGCTCATCTGCAACCAACTTGGGATGCGAAGGGAACATTTTGCTCAGTGCCAGGGCATTCCCCATGCTGTAAGGCAGTCAAAGTTACTATAAATCAGGCAAGGCATGTTTTTATCATACTCAAAGCAGTGCAAAAATGTGCCATTACATGACAAAGAACACACAATCTCATCCAGCTAGGAGATCTGATAAACGCCACTGGGAAACTAGCAAAAGATAAGTTCTCTCTTTAAAAATATATATAAATATGGCTTTATCTCCTGCACTGCCAACATGAGACATGCACAGGGATTAAAGGCACTACTGTTGGGCACAGTCAGTGACGGATCTTTTTCTGCTCCAGTCTATGCACACAGACAGCCCTTGGTTGTGATACCAGCCGTTATAGTGGAGATAGGGGGCAGGGTCCCCTAGCAGGTCTCCAAAAGCCATAGGATTATGAGTGGGATTGCAGCTTGGAGCCAGGAAACTCTTGGGCCCTGCTTGCCTCACCTAGCAGCTGTAGCTTCGGGAAACTTCCCTCCCAGCTTCTGCGGACTTGCTGCCTGCGCCAAGTACCGAAAGAGAGAGACTTAATCACTGTCATTCATGCCTTGGTGGCTTCCAGATTAGACTATTGTAACACGCTCTCCGTGGGGCTGCCTTTAATGATTGTCCAGAAACTTCAATTAGTACAAAAATGCTGCTGCCTGGCACAAGTCAGTGGGAATATATTACACTAATCTTATGGCAAGTTCATTGGCTGCTAGTAGGTTTCCAGACGCAATTCAAGTCCCTGGGCGGTCTGGGTCTGGAGTTTCTCATGGTGCATTTTCTCCCACATGCCCACCCCACTCCAATGGTTTGAGATCTGGGACCCTGTACCAGTTTTGGGGATGCAAGATTAACACCCACTAGGGATCAAATTACCCATTGCCGTTGTGTAGGGATGGAATAGGGAGCAGAAGAGACAATAGCTATGCTTCTCCAGCAGCATATGGGAGCTGTGGGGTGCATGCAGCAGTTCTCAACCTGTGGGTCCCCAGATGTTGTTGGACTACAACTCCCATCATCCCTGAGCTCTGGCCTTGCTAGCTAGGGGTGATGGGAGTTGTAGTTCAACATCTGGGGACCCACAGGTTGAGAAAGGCTGGACTAGGGGGAAAGAGCTAAGCTCATCCAGTCTTATTGTTATTTTTTTTATTTAAAAAAAAGCCACAGGAAAGAGACCAAACCAACAGATGCAATAAATGCAGTCACACTTTTAATACATCGTAGGCATAGTCAAACTCAGCCCTCCGGATGTTTTGGGACTACAACTCCCATCATCTCTGACCACTGGTCCTGTTAGCTAGGGATGATGGGAGTTGTTGTCCCAAAACATCTGGAGGGCAGAGTTTGCCTATGCCTGATGTATAGTTTCTCCCTAGGAACAGGGCCTTTTCAGCTGTTGCCCCCATACTGTGGAATGCTCTCCTCCAGGAATGCAGACCCTCCAAGTATCCTTATTTTCCAGGGTCATCTCTGATTTAGAGAAGCTGTCCCAGTTTCTGATTTGATCCCAGAATGTCCCGCTTTCCCTTAGGATGTCCCTATTTTCACTGGAGAAATGTTGGAGGGTATGGGAATGTCTTACTTTACAATTCTCTTTTTTTAAGGAGTCCTGTTTGAAGGGCTGGTTGCCCAGTCCATCTGGTTAAAAATATATAGAGCCATAAGAAGGGAGGACATGGGCCTTGAACTTGTCCATCAACACAGCTACAGAGACTTGTGTTGCCAACAGGCACACAGGCAACCTGCTCACAGTCTTCCCCACTATCTTGAGATATATATTGTGCTTCTATTTAAACTTCAGCAATTATTTATTCATTTTCATCTATGCCTATAAATTTGCATCTGTAAATTCTAGGCACTTCCCCCTCTGCGTTTGGGGTCAGGGTTTTCCTCCTTTCCTCCTGCGTAAGTGGCTCCCCTGCATCAAAAGCTTATTTGGCTCTTCCATTTGCCTCTTTTCAGAGACAGTTAAAAAGCTTTTCCCGCTCCGCTTGAAACAGAAGCCCTGTTTACAAAGAGGTATTGAAAACGGATATTGCTGCTGATAGCCAAATAGCTTTTGATTACTTTGGCTTTTTGTTTCTAATGGATTGCACTTTGTTTTTTAAGGTTAGGAACAGCTTTGCAAATTAGGTAATTGAAAAGCAGTATATAAATACGTGAATCCATCAAATCAATACAGGAGCACAGCCTGCGTTGGCAGAGAAATATAGCTCTTTAAAGGAGCTGCCTGCTTAGCTCTGTTAAATTCAAATGCTGCTCCACTCCACCGGGCATAATCTGACTCTCCCTTTTCATTTTTGGCTCAAAGATACAGGAACTCTCTTCCTTTTGTAGTTGGTAAGGAGGGAAAAACGCCACCCCAGCCTGGAGATTATTAAAAGCTTGAAGGGAAAAGGAGGAGGAAAAAATCTTCAGCCTACTCCTCCAGAGCACCTTCTTCATTCTGATGTCTGGCCTTTCTAATTTCACAAGCACTGTCTGTTACTGGAGTCCAGCTTTCTGCAAGAACCTCTAATCAACCCTATTCTTAGTTGGACGGTGCAGAGCCTTCGTTGAAGTGGGAAGGGGAAGACTACACTTGCAGAAGATTCTTCAAAGGCAACATGTGGAGCAGTGCAGGTGCATGGCTCAGAAGGGGAGTGAGAAATACGGATCAGTTTCAAGGGACCAGAGAGAGTCGGTTCTTCTACTGGGCCTTATAGACCTTCAGAAGTGATGAAAAGTTTCCCCCATTCATTCATACGGGGCTCAGACTGTTAAGTTGTGGGTGAACATATCAGACGACACAGCGATTCTTCAGACAGCTCTTGTTTATTCACAGGCCAGAACAGAACTGAACTGAAGGGTTCAGCCAACCTGCTTATATAGAGATCAACTACAACGCAACAGTAACAACTTTCTGTAACTATCCAATCACTGAACGTCACTTTCAATTCCTTATTTGCATATGTGGACCTGAGTGAAAACTATCTACAGTATCCCCCTGCTGGCCCAGGGTGAGAACTTCAGTACATAACACAGACCAACTTGGATGTGTCATTGTGTGCTTTTTAAATGCATGCATGGGGGACCCTGACCAACATTGGGACTGCAGTAGTTGGAGAAGGAGAGTTTAGTCCTTCCCATCACCACCATCCTTGATCCCAAGGAAAATTCCCTCTCAAAAGCTACTTGCACCAGGAGCGAAGCCTGTTTCCTCCAGATCCAAACAGCAGCTTCAGATGGTATTATATTGTGTGTGTGATGATAAACCCTCTTGGAGGGTAAAGAATTCAGCGGCCACCAGACATGATGGTGATGCTCTGCATCTAGTGTCAATCTGATCACAGGCCTAACTGCTGGGATAGCTCAGTCAGTAGAGCATGAGACTCTTAATCTCTGGGTCGGGCGTTCGAGCCCCACAATGGGCAAGAGATTCCTGCATTGCAGGGGGTTGAACAAGATGGCCCTTGCAGTCCCTTCCAACTTCAAGAGGGAGGGAAGAGAAAGGATGCGTTGGAAGATAGAAGCATGGGCAGGGAGGATGTCATCCAGAAGGGAGCTGTTTGGCCCTACTTCAAGGGGAGGCAGAAAAGGCGACTCAGCCAAAATCCCAGGTACCTTCTACTGCAGACAGCTAACACAGGGAAATTAGCAGAGAGAACAAAAGCACTGTGGTAGATCAGTTGCTGCTGCCCTACAGCATAATGCAGAGAAGGGAGGACACCAGGGGGTGGGGGGAGAGAGAGAGAGAAAACACTCTCCTCCTGGTGTATGAAAATCTCAGGCAAGGGGGGGGGGCAGGGAACAAAAGAGACTCAAGAGCATGGAAGCCAGAATTACTGAATGAACTGTGCAGAAGCTGGGTTTAGATCATCAGGCTGTAGAGGCAGACAGGCTCAGGGGAAGATGACAACACACACCCAAGTTCCAGATGCCCAAAGCATAGCACCTGATGCAAACATCTAAAATGCAACGTTTATCGCTGCTGCTTATTCATGTCGACTGCAACTCAGTGGACCCATAAAACATTATAGCACCGAGGGACAGAGCTAACTGAGCATAGGGAATCATGATGATATTACCAGATAGTTTGATTGCACCCAAAACCTTCAGATGGACCAACTTCAGCCAAGTATGAATGCATTAGGACTACACAGCTATGTGGGTCACATTCAGGCAGGGGGAAAGGGCAAGTTAAACCTGAGTTCCACACCCAGGAAGGTTACTTATTTGTGAATTGCTGCGAGGCTTTATGCAAAAATGAAGATCCTGTGGATTTCAACCACAACTAAGCTACTTTGATCTCAGGTTCATCTGCTTGCAATGTCATTTAAACATAACCTGTGGCTCCTCTTTCGACTTTACCAATGAATTACCTCGAGACGTTGCTTTGAAGTGGACTTCTAAGCAATCACAAGGTCTAAGCAAACTTCGGTGCTGCCAGTTCTTCAACCTGCTGCCCTCCAGATGTTATTGTTTGATTGGCTCATGAGTACGCAGTCCAACCCCTCTCTATTTTCTACTCACATCCGCCATATGGAGTACATTAAGCTGGGAGAAAGTAACTGGCCAAAGGTCACCCAGTGAGCTTTGTGGCTGAGTGGGGATCCGACCCCTGGTCTCACAGTCCAGCACACTAGCCACTACACCAGACTACACTGGAGTTGATGGAAGCTATAGACCAAAACATCTGGAGAGCATCGTGGTTGGGGATGGCTGTTGTAGGCAAGTGCAACAAAAGTGCAGCACTGAAGGCTATCCTACAGTGAGTTCACGCTTCCTTTGTCTCATGCCTATTGTGGCCCAATCCATATTTTCAAATAGCAGGTCAGAAACTACCACCACCAGGTGGGTGGTTGCCAGATGGCTGATCAGTATCAGTGACTTTTAGTATGGAATAGAAGACATTAGATGGTTCCCATTGTTTATTCCTGCATAACAGAACAGGCCAAGAAGTGAGCCTTGAATAATTCCAACAAAGAATCCTAGAATCACAGAGCTGGAAGGGACCCTGGGAATCATCTGGTCCAACCCCCTGCAATGCTGGAAGATGGGGATCAAACCTGCAACCTTGGCATTACCAGCACCACACTCTAACCAGCTGAGCTATCCAGGCAGATCTCCTAAACAGAGAGTCATTGGTGTATTTAGAGAATATGTCATGCAAATGGGCAAGTTGTAGCCTGGTTTCAGCACCAATGCAGCTGTATCTGAAGCTTGAGTCAATATTTTGGATGCTTTTCTTGCTGGTGTGGTCCAATAAACAGTATTTGACATTGAATTCAAGTCCCTTTTTTGGTCATGGACTCTAGGGATGGCTTTGAGCAAACCAATATATGCCTCAGTTTTCCCCAACTTTGAAATGGGAAAAAATATTCAGCTAATGCACAGGACTGCTGTGAACAAAAAAATAATAATGGAAAAGCCCTTTGCAGATTAGGACGTGTAGTAGTGTAGCACTGAATAAAGTTCTCTGTCTCACAACCTAGCCTTTTCATAGGGTTTACTGAAGATAAAAAACATATAAGGGTCATAGAGAATGCTGAATTTTCCAATTTTCCAATTCCCAAAATGAGGGGTGCTAAAAAGTTGTTACATGACTTGGGAATTCAAAATATATTTTGGTTAAATTTATATAATTTAGTTTTGCTTGGTAAGTAAAATGTGCATAAAATTGCATAGGAATCATTAAAACGATTGCCGGGTTACATTACATAGTATTTATTTTTATTATTTAGCATTGCCTGACATTTTCTGAACGTAAAATTAAAAATCTTTGGTTTCCCGAAAGCAGTTTATGTGCTTCTCCATCAAACGTAGACTTACCAAGCCAAGTGTTGTCCAATCACAAAGAAGATTAGCATATTTGAATTCCACACACCCACAAGCATATTTTTAAGACTGAAGAAATTTGCAAGACTTGCCACCCACTCCATGAGTGGTATTCAAACTAAGCTTTACTCAGTATAGACCTACTGAAATCAATAAGCATCACTAAGTTAGGTCCATTAATTTCCACAGGTCTTCTCGGAGTAAAGCTTAGTGCACTACCACCTTATATTTGCTACTGTCCACTTTTGCCTCCAGTCTGCCCATGTAATTGCTTTGTAATCGTTTTGGGGTTCTGCCGTATGAGGAAGAGCAGGTTAAAATAGCATTTCCCTCATTTGCGGGTATAAAGCTGGTGGGACCGGATGCAAAAGGAGAATGCTCCAAGCCAAGGTGTGGGTGTTCCCTCCTAAAGAAGGAAGCATGTAATGGAAAAAGAACAGGTAATTCTGCCTTAATAGGAGCCAACAATGTTCTGTGCAATGAGCAAACAGCTTTGGCAAGAATTTCCATGGTGATTATCAATGGGATCAAAAATTTGGCAGGATTCAAACAGTTTCTATTTATTTTATCCAAACACCCCAAGCTATTGTAAGAGATGCATTAAAGCACATAGGCATTTTTGGTAGGAGCTGCCAACACTCTGGGTTTAAGCCAGCCTCAGATCTCCCTCCGAGGTCAGGTTATCACATCTTATTGCAGGGATTTCTATGTCATCTTCTTTTGAAGAATTGGTTACTTTTCCTTTTTCCTTTTGCCTGACGCCACACAAGCTGCCCACCCTAAGCTGATCTGGAGCAGCAGTGACTGATTATTAGCAGGATGGGCTGTGAATGCAATAATGTCTCACTGCAACGATGACGCATGTGAGAATTTCTCAGAACATGTTCCCTGCAAGGAGGGGGGAAACAATGTTGTCTCCTCATTGCATGGGAAGTGAGCGGCTGCGCAAACAGGTATAGAGAAATGGCACTGAAAAGGAGCAGGCACTAGTGCTGCCATTGTCTCAAATGGTGAGCTTTAGCATTTGTCTCAAAATGTAGGAGCATCCCCTGAGCCCATCATTTTGAAGACAGCAAGAACAAAGACAGAATACAGATTTAAGAGAGCTCAGCACATGCCCCTCGGCCATAAGACCCCAACCCTCTTAGCTTTACAACTGATATGATAGATGTGCACATTGGCAAATTGAACCCTGGTTTAGGAACCCTTCTTGGTCCTGCCCCCCATTGTTCTACAGACAGGCTGGCTGGCTGGCTGCTTTTTATTTTCAAAAAGTGTCGCAAAAATCTTCTGTGTTCATCCATTCATTCATTGCCTTGTCAGCTAGGAAATGAAAGTTTTACAAGTACAAAACTGCTCCAGGGATTGCAGAGGGAGATTTCTGGGTGGCACTGGGATGGAGGTGGAAAGCAGCAGCCAATCGGATTCACCACCATACCCAACTTCGAGTTTGAATCCTGCCCCTGCCACCCAGATCTTAACACTAGAGAACTTGAACACACAGTACTGTCCTCTGTCTGCCCACTTGTGATTCCCAGCAACTGGCAGTCAGAGGAATACTGCCTCCAAGAGAGGAAACAGAGCATAGCTTTATTCTTCACTGCATTTCTATCTCATATTTCCTGAAAAGACCTGTAGCTCATGGGTAGGCAAACTAAGGCCCGGGGGCCAGATCTGGCCCAATCGCCTTCTAAATCCGGCCCGCGGATGGTCCAGGAATCAGTGTGTTTTTACATGAGTAGAATGTGTTCTTTTATTTAAAATGCATCTCTGGGTTATTTGTGGGGCATAGGAATTCGTTCATTCCCCCCCCCCCCAAATATAGTCCAGCCCCCCACAAGGTCTGAGGGACAGTGGACCAGCCCCCTGCTGAAAAAGTTTGCTGACTCCTGCTGTAGCTGGTGCAGTTGTGAGTCTCTTATGCTGGCGCTGACCAGACCTAGATCTGCTTAACTTTCTCAGGTTGCTTTCTGGACCAAGCTCACTATCTCAGATGACTGTGAAGGGATGCTTCTTTTGTGACTGAACAGGCCTTAGAGATGTCAATGCTAAACGTACTGGATCTACATTCTGCTCCATCACATCTAAATAGGGGAGATACTTGGAGCCGTCCTCTCCATTAGGCTGTGTCTGTCTGCAAGTGGAGGACTCTGCGGGAGTGGAGCTGGCACCTCTTCCGAGCATTAAATTAAAAGCACTTCCCAGAGTTAACATACAATGTTCCTCCAGGACTGCTAGAGCAGAGAAAAGGAAAGCAATTTTTATTAAGTGTCATAATTACAGCCAGACTAGATTATTGAGGCTGAAGGAGAAGAAGGACAAATAGCTTATAAAATGGCTTGTTTCCCCCCCACGGGATTGTTTAACTCCCTCTACTTCGAAGGAGGAGGAACAAAAGTGCCCTACAAACTGGAAGAAAACTCAACCACTTTTTTGAGCCAGAAATGGGGAAATGGCACATTTCACGATGTGTTTGATTCATCAGTTTTCTTACTGTGACTATTCACAAAGCAGTGTTGATGACAAAACGAACTTCTTCACATTGGGAAACTTCCAGTTGAATAATACATTCCAGTTGAATAATACTTCCTACATTCCTATCTGCTGCAGCTTTCAACAAAGGACCCTTGGGATATAGCTGCATTATCTGTAAATGACTTTTGGATATCCAAGATCTTAGTACCCTCAGTCCTCCACAATACTCAGCTTCATGTCATCCTCTCTTCCTACCTTGGTTCTTATGCACATTTGCTGACTGTTGACGGGTTATCGTATTCCATTATTTCTTTCTATCATTTTAACCTTACATTGGCCTCTCCAACAACAGGCAAGAAAACACCTATTTTGAACTACATCAAACCTCCTCAACGTAATCTGTTGAGAAGCTGAGGCAAGCTCACCATCTGAACTTGTTACAGACTCATTTGGCTCAAATGATAGGGTCAGAGTCCCTTTAAGGTTGCACTAGCATCTGTGACTAAGCCCCCTGCACTTCCATTAGAAGGAGTCATTGTTATAGCCTTGCAGATGGTGTGAATGTTTTAATACCGTAATACACAAGCTCAGAGTAGCCAACTTGGCACTGCTGCCAAAGCCTTAACTTTCCAATTTCCAGCTTCTGGTTCATTTAAGGTCTCGGGCACATCATTTTCAATTACTGCAGTAAATAACACTAGCAGCATTATTATTATACTCAGAAGGAAGCAAAGAGATGCATTAGATATGATCCTAGCTGCTTGAGCTCTCGGAAACAGCAGAGAAGCCAAGAAATCATTGTACTATCAGACCAGCAGACCTCTAGCGCACCTGCCTGCCTCCAACAAATGTGTATCTTGTATTTCAGAGAAAGGGGTTGAATACTAAACAGAGAGATAGAATAGTTACTTAATTGATAACTGGAAGTGGTCTGTCAGAAACAAAGTGGCGACATGACAAAGTGATACTGTGACTGAGTACATTACTGGGCGATATCCAATGTTAATAAGCCTATGGATTTCAATGAATCTACTTCAAGTTTAACTTAGTTGAGTATCATCCATTATTTATATCTGCTTTTCTATTACAGTGGTGCCTTGCAAGACGAAATTAATCCGTTCCGCGAGTCTCTTCGTCTTGCAGTTTTTTCGTCTTGAACGGCTTAGCGGCTTAGTGGCTATTAACGGCTTAGCGGCTTTAAGAAAAAGGAAACAAACTCGCAAGAACTCGCAAGACGTTTCGTCTTGCGAAGCAAGCCCATAGGGAAATTCGTCTTGCGGAACGACTCAAAAAACGCAAAACCCTTTCATCTAGCGAGTTTTTCGTCTTGCGAGGCATTCGTCTTGCGGGGCACCACTTGTACATTTATCCAATGCAGTGATGGGGTGTTACTGGCAAGGATAGGTAACATGGCAATAAACGGGAAGCAAGATTCCTAAAATGTGGAGGCAGATATAATTCCATCTACGGTGATTTATGTTATGAAATAGGGACAGATTTGTTTCATGGGTTGCATCTGATGGCAGTGCAGTTACCTTCTGTAGTCAAGGACAGCAGTAGAGAATTTGTGGTCCTTTAGGTATTGTTGAACTCCAATTCCCATCACCCTAGCTGCATGTCTGATGGCCAGAGAAGAATGAGAGTCCAGCAACTTTTGAAGCACTGGAAGCTCTCCATCACTGAGTCTAAAAAGATTACATGAGCCCCCAGAGGAGCTGTTCTCTTGCTGAGGTTTTCCCAGTCTTAAAAACCCAATAATTGTACCTTGAATCCATTGCAGTCATTTTGCTACCCTATTCATGTCCAGCAGTGGACAAGGTGACCCTTTCCTTCTTTCCTAGAATTAAGCAATAAAAACAACATTTAAACACAAAAACCTAGAAACTATGGACAGTTCTGTGATCATTTGAAAATACATTCTGTATACTTTTTAAAGGGATACAAAAACTGAAAGCACCTCAACCTTAATATTTCTCATATTTACACTGACTGGGTCCAAATTGCATTTTTTACTAACAATGACACTTAAATGAAGAACAGCAGTTTCCGCAGGGTGGAGGGGTTGTGTTTTGCCCACTGCTGAACTTTAAATATGGGGAATAGACTAAATATTGTCCTGAACTTTTCATTAAAGATTAAAATGTATGAAATGGAGAATAAGAATGGTGTGTAACTCAAAAATCTGACATGCAATAATTTTAAAGAATATTATCTTTTCAAGCTAATCTTCCAAGGACCTTAAGATACTGCTTAACAACCCCATGTGTAATCCTATACATATCTAGTCAGATATGGGCCAGCAGGGTATCTCCATCAGTTATGAACGGAGTATCAGTTCCACTGGGTTCCTCCCTAAGCTGACAGCTCAACAGTCATTCTATTAGGCTTTAAAAAAGGAGAGAAATGGGGCTGCCAGGCCTCTCCTTCATTTCTCATCTACAGGAGTCATTTCATCAAACTGCGGGAGAAGGACATGGGACTAGCAAATTATTTCCTCGAAATATAACCATTTATGATCAAGTATTCTGTTTCAAACAAATGTGTCTGTTTTCTTTTTTCCTGTCTTATTACTGACAACTGTAGGTTGGGGGGAGAGAGAATGGGATAAATAAATTAAAGTCATATAGAGCTAACACATCATGCCAATCTTTAAATAGAGGAAAAGGCCTTTCTGCTCAACACCTTTAATTACCTTGCAAAAAATGTCAGTGACTGGAAAGTCCCCTCTTGTAAATAAATCAAAAGGCATCATAGTGCTACAATGCTCCTTTAAGTGGCATTTCACTGTTTAATTTTAAATTTTTATATATAGCTAGAAAAATCATATTGGAAGCTCTCTATTAGTTGAACAGCCAACTAAAAATGCATTTTTAAAAAAAAGCATACCCATTGTATTCAATGGGCCTCATCACTAGGGTTGCCATATTTCAAAAAGTAAAAACCAGGACACCCGAAAGTTGTTTAGCTTTGTTGAGGCTTTTTCGGACGCGAATTCCAGGTCGTGTCCTCAAAAATCAAGACGTATGGCAGCCCTACTCATCAGTCCAGGCGAATTGTGAGACCGCCTCTAAATTTAACTTGCTTGCTTTAATAAAAAATAAATAATAAATAAATAAAAATATAGAAACAATGTGTTTTCCTGGGGCCGAATCAACCGATTCAAATCACCCTGGACGCTGAGGCTGGCACTCGTGCCTCCAGTGCCACTTTGCGGATACTGGCAGGTCCCTTAAAAGAGGCCTTTGTGTTGCTTTACTGGCCAGGCGCATTTTTGCCATGAATGCGCCCCGCAAAGTTGACAGCCCAACACGGGGAGCGCCTTCTGACGTTACAGAACGGCTCCCACCCGCTCTCTCCCTTTCCCGCCGTCGACCAATCAAACCGCGCCACCATAACCCCGCCTCCGCGACAGCAACGCCCTATGGCAGCTATGCGCCCTTTCCTCTCTGTAAATTTTCAAACAAGGACACGGGACTCAGAGCGGAAGTTACTCCCTACGCCTCCCCCGCCCCGCCCTTCCCGTCTTTCTCGCGGAAGCCGTCGCGCTCCAATCAAAGCCCACCAACCACCTTGACACAAGCGGTGGCAAATCATAGACGCGCAGCTTGAGACGTTCTAGGCCCAGGCGTTATTCCTCTATGATATCCCGTCAGCGGCTTCCGTGTTGTACCATAGAGATGAAAAACCAATCTCCAATATAGGACTTGAAAACCATTGTGTTTTCCTTTCTCTCGTCTAGGACTATCCCGGCCCTTATGCCAGGCTTCCGGCTCCGGTCGTTTCCGCCGCGGCCCAGGAAGTTTACGCTACTCGTAAACTCGTCATACGGATATCAACCACGCTCGGTGCCCATTTCACTTCCGCCCTCGGGGACGTTCTAGGCCCAGCCTGTCAACCTCAGTGACTCGAAGGAGGAAGCGGCGGACGGGGTTGTTGGTTTTCCTTTGGTTCTATTTTTTTAAACCCCGCTCCCGGGGGCGCTCTAGCCCTCACTTCCGCGGCTGTCTATAGTTCCAAGAACGGCCCACTCTCTAGACTGTTCTCTGGAGCAGTTCCTTCTCTATGGCTCCGCGCCGCCGGAGCGGGAGGGCGGCAGGGACGTCGCGTCTTTAGCCGGGAGGCCGCGGCGGCGGCGGCGGCGAGGGAAGGCCGGGAGCAGATGGAGCCTGGCATGGAGGCGGAGACGTTGGAGTCGAGGATCAGTGAGTGCGGGGGGGAGGGGCCCCCTCGGGGATTTCTAGCCCCACCCGGAGCCGCAGGTGCTGGTCCTGAGGGGAATCGGTGCCCTGGGCCTAACGCTCACCGGGGAACGGAGCTCGGGAGCTCTGGGCCAGGTAGCAGCCCAGACGCCCCCCTTCTCGCTTTTGTTTCCTCGCGAATCGCCGGGATGCTTTGCTCCCCGGCCCCGACCCACACAGTTCGTAACGTGCGAATGTGCAGGCGTGTCCCAGGAATACGCACCCCAAGTAAAATGCTGTTGGATTCAGTAGGCTTGCTCTGCAGTCAAGCGCACCTAGAATTATTATTTTCCCCATTTCATTTCCAATTGGTAAACCGCCTTTTTACATTACCATACTCAAGGCGGTTTACACATGCACACAACAAAGATCACACACCTTATAACGATCTGATCCAGTGCAAAAAAAAAAAAAGTCATAATAAAAACAACTTTCAAATGTGCGCAGCCACTGAAAGAGAGGGGAAGAGACGCCTCTCCTACCACACTCTTGTCAGCTCTGGTGGTAAAGTAGCAAGAGGTGCTTAAAATACATTCAGAGACATAGGCAATACCCAGTGAAGTCATACTTGAAAGTTAAGTCCACTGATCTCCCTGGTTCTGCACTTGAGTGTGAGTAAGATTGGATATCACCCATAATTTGCACTTGAATTGACAGGGAAAGAGTCATTAGCTTGGGCTAACAATCGACCCCAAAATGAAGTGGACAGGTTTCATTTGGGGGCTATCTACTTTGAAGGTCTACATCCATTTCACACGAGAGTGAGTTCTGGTCTGTGAAAACTTCTGTCACAATATGGTTGTTGGTCTTTAAGCTGTATATCTTTTCTAGAGCTTCTTTCTGCCCCTTTTATTATCTATCCATACTGAGATCATTGTGTCATTCTGTTCTCCAAAGCGGCTTCATTAATGCTTTAAGATTAACCTAGTTGGTTGATCATTATATAAAGGCATGTTGTTCTTCTTGTGCCAGAAGATTGTTGATTAGGTATACCAAGATGAAAGCAAAATAACAAACAAACAAAACCCAGTGTAGTTATTTTGGCTATGGTGAGCATCTGGTCCTTAATGCAGCTTCATTTCACTTCATTTTTTTAACATGATACTTAATAATGTAAGCTGGTGAGAATGTGGGTATGTCATCTTCCCAAGAGCTGAGGAGCTAGACTGAACCACTCTGTCCTCCAGTCCCAGATCTCATTCATGATCATATGAAGCTATCTAGATTGAGTCATACTGTGGATGGCACTCGCAGATCTTTTCTAATCCTGCTTTGAAAGAGCTTTCCAAGCAGTGGTGCTAGGGATTGAACGTGGGACTTTTTGCGTGCAAGACATGTGCTCCTTTCCTGAGTTATGAGCTCTTTCAGTTGCCTAATTCCCACTGTATGTCGTGGCATGCTTGCAGGAAACTGTCTTTTTTTAAACTTCCCGTTATGTGGGATACCGTTGGAAAACCACTCTGGGAAACTGTTGTTCCCCTTGCAGGTAAGATCTGCTCTTGACAGAAGTTTTTCTTTTCTTTATCAATTCAGATAGAGCTACCAACCCTCTGAACAAGGACCTGGAATGGGACAGCATTAATGCTTTCTGTGACCAGCTCAATAAGGAACTAGAGGGGTTAGTATACCTAATCTGTTGCCCTACAGATTATAGATAGATTAACTGTTTTGTCTGTGGATGCCACTCAAGAAGTAGCCTGAGTCACTCCAAATAACTGGTTAAATGAGGGGCTTCTAGAAAAGCATTCAGAAGAAGCATGTGGCTGCACCAGCACCCTGTTGTTTCTGCTCTTCTGGTTTTGTGTTTTGTCATCCCCCCCCCCCCGTCATTTGTACATTGATGTCCTAAGACTTTGGTTCATTTTCTTATTTTACATGAAACTGCATTTCCTCTCATTGGGATAACATTTGTGGGGGGTGTTAGATATTAAAAATGGGAACCTACTTCTTTGTGAAGTAGTCAGGTGTTGGGGGATGATGGAATGACAAATAGAAAAAGGAATTAGTTAAAGAAGACATGGTTTATTGGATGGGTATGCACAAAATCACATCTGAAAAGGTTTGATGGCACAGTATGCATGCAGAGTTAGAGAAATACATTGTGTGGGGTAAACCTGTTTAAATGCTATGGGGATTTAGCAGATTGCAAAAAAGAATTGCTGTGCTGTGTGGGTGGGCTATAATAAACAGATAGTGTATAAGGAAATGGGAACATGGCACACCTCTCTTTGTCAGTAGTGAGTCAGGTTTCACAGTGTGGCCATTCTGGGTTACTGGAGTCTTTGACTAAGGTCTTGAATTAGGATTATGAATTCATCATGGGATAGACTATTCAGACCCCAGCCAGCATGGAAAGGGATGATGAGATTTGTAGTCCAGCATCACTTAGAGGGCACCATGTTGGCTACACCTACTCTGGAGCAACAGAAAACAAATTTGACCTATAATCTGCTCAAATTACTACTATTTCAAATTACTTCTAATGTATTTCAAATTACTGCTGCTACATATCTTCCAAACCTGAGACCTTGAAATTATGGTATGGGAAACCACAGTAAATTACATAAAGCCTTTCAGTAAAATGCCAAAACCGCTGATCTGTCAGGGGCAATTCCATTTCAGAAACCTAGGCAACCTCAGTTGCTTCAGATGCTGCTGCTGCCTGGCCTCTGGGGGCTGCCTAACAACAACTGCTAATGGGATCAGCTGAGCTAGGAGGGACAGGCAGAGACAGTGGCTGGGTGTCTTGGCTGCAAGCCCAATTCTGCTGTAGCTGGAGAGTGCTGTAAACCAAACTGCATCAAAAGTGTGCTGAAGCTGCTGGAGCTAATTGGACTGTGAAATAAAATGAACACGGGAGTAAAAGAAGGCATCCAACAGGTCCTACAAACTGCAGCACACACAGGAGTTAAAGCCAGACCATTTGCCCCAAGTGTTTTCACAACAAGATCTTTATCACAGCAGCAAGTCCTTCAGTAACCATTCCTGTGTCTTATCATTCAGCCCACCGCTTGCCACTCGACTTCTAGCCCACAAGATCCAGTCTCCACAAGAATGGGAAGCCATTCAGGCTCTTACGGTAAGAGATTGTGAACCATTTCCTGCCAGTTTTAACTAAAGCAGGCGTGTGGAACGGTTGGCCCTCCCGATGTTGATGAACCACAACTCCAGTCAGCCCTAGCAAGAATGGCCAATGGTCAGGGATGTTGTGGAGTTTTAGTTCAGCTGCAGTTGGAGGGCCAAAGGTTCCCCACACCTGGACTAAAGGCTGGAAGGAGGGAGGTGAAGTTTCTGTGTGAATATCTCAGTCTGGGGTGTTATAACTACGTTTTGGATGCAGCCTTGGGCAGGGGTTGACCAAAGCTTAACACGAATCTATTCGAAGGTGGAGGCAGTTGGCTAAGGAGGGTTGATGAGTCCCCCCACTGTATAGCAGCAGGTCAGATAGTTTTGCCAGATGCTTTTGTTTTCTCATGGGATTCTCAGTATTTCGGAAGAGGCACTCTAGTCCCATTGTTTTCAGCACTTCAAGGACATAGCTGTCAACTTTTCCCTTTTTTTATTCCGAATAGGATGTTCAGCGATGATGTGGGGAGTGTTGGCCCAGAGGAGTGGTGAAAAACTTGCTCAAGCCAACAGCCTCCATTGAAACACTTTGGCAAGTTACAACTGATTTGTGTGGTTCTAGACACAGGATCAGTATAGAATTGGGGCTTGAATGGACCTGATGATTATGTACACTATGTACATCTCAATGAAAAATCAGATAAGAGAAACAAGTGAACCAACTCTCACATTGCAGGGAAGGAAGTTTTCCCAGTCCTCCCACTACTGCCTCCAAAGAGATTAAGAACAAATAGATTTCCTAGGCTAATTTCTGATCCTCAGATGGACAAACGTAAAGATCGTGAATAAAAAATCGTTTGCTTACGCCACACATGGTTTTTTGTCTTGGCTCTTCTATCCCAGTCTTTCATACACAGCACTTCCCACGTGCTCATAAAGCCAGTGCTGTCCTATATAAAGTGGAAGAGGATCCCCCCCACCCTTACATATTATTTAGGAAGTATTCTAGCCAGTTATGTTTTCCACCCTAATGAAGGTCTTTTCATCCGTGGCGTAAGTATTCTCTTCCATTATTTTACACCATGGAACCTGACTTCAGTCTCAATTTTTTGAACTGGTATTTTCTTGACAGTGGCTCTTGGACTATTTAAGAAGTAAATAAATTGAAAACAGTGCATACAAGGGCTAGTAATGGTACTTTTCTTGGACACACATTGAAGCATTGTAGAAGAGTTGTTTTAGGTCATAGTTATTGAGATGTAAACAGTTGTCTTATGTAAATAGTTGCATGATGAAAAAGTGAATCACAGCCAATATATATTTTTTCTCCACTTCTGTGATGTCTCACAAAGCATCCCATCTTTTGAATTTTATCTTCAGTGAGTAATTCTGGCATGATGGCGAGTGAGACAAGTACTTTTTCACAAGTCCAATTATTCTAGTCCTGCTCCTCTTCATACCACCTCTTTAGAGTCATGAGCCAGCTCCTTGAAGTCATGGGATTATTTTCTTTCAAAATATCTGAGCTCCTTTGAGAAACTGCATTTCTCTTGTTGAATGCTTCTTTACAACCATGACGACTAGGAACTTGCCTTGCCTGTGGCAATTGTGCATTACGGTTATGGCATATGGGATTTGTTCCCCATCCACACAAAACAGTTGCTTTAGATGGTTAGGAACAATAAAAGTGCTTATAATTAAATGAGCGGAAATGCTAAATAAATTGCCAAACAAAAATTAGGGTACTTAGAAATATCACATTAAAAAGAAATTCATAAACTCTCAATTTAAAAACATCTGAATAAAAATGCCTCAAATGGTGTTCTATTTAAAATGAAGTTTATAGTCACAACTGGAAAATCCCTGTTATTTCTTCCAGCCCCACTCCTTACATTTGTTTTGTAACATGAATTGAGGGGACTATGACCAGGGTGCCTTCTGCTGATGTGATAGAAGCTTTCGGATTCTAGCAAGAGTAAATGCAATTGGCACATAAGAGCTTGGGAAAGAGTAAATTCTCATCTGACTATTGACATGTGAAATATGGGATCAGGTGCCTAATAAGGATACTCTTGCAGCATTCAGTGTGTCTAATGAATTCTACTCACCTGTGCACACAGCAACGGAGGAGGGCAGGATCTTTTGAGTCTCTGGGAACAGCAAACATTGATCAACACATGTCATTGACTGGTTATGTCATTATGCATGAAGGGAATGCAAGGATGATGGGAACAAACACCTGGAGGGCCGTAGGTTCCCTATGCCTGGGATAAGGAGATTCAGCCCCTACTCAGAGGTGTATCCCAGAGGTGTCAGGAAGTGGTGGCCAATTCTGCATTGAGTTCAGATGGGATTCCCTTTGATTATTTCCAGCCCTGTGAGATAGGGAAGGTAACTTGTGCAGGGAGCCACGTGGGAGCTTAAAATAGGTCTCCAAGGGACCCTATTAATAGCTGGAGTAGATTTACTGGCTGGATTCAGCCAAACATCAATGTAAAGCACAATGATGAGGTTCACTGCTGTAAGTATGGGCATCTGGAGGACAAAATGATAAACAAGGTAGTACATTTTTTAAAAAACGGGAAGAAACGTGTGATGTCTTCTGGTACGTATACTTCATAGGGTGCTGTTTGTGCCCTCTATTCCCAGCCCTCTGTTCTATTGCACCCTGAAGCAGGGAATGGGATTAGGGCCTCCTGGGGGTTAGATATCCGTGCTCACTCCCTGCTGTCTTGCCCATGCACAGGTGCTGGAGGCCTGTATGAAAAGCTGTGGCAAACGCTTCCATGACGAAGTAGGCAAGTTCCGCTTCCTTAACGAGCTCATCAAGGTGGTGTCGCCCAAGGTGAGTCCCATCAGTGGTGTGGCAGGAACAAGAGGGGTGGCGACATAGGCTTCATTAAAACAGCAAAGAAGAAACTGTTTTACGCCATGCAGACTTTTCAGCGGACTTAGATTCCAGAGCAGTAGAAGGCAATTTAGGGATATACATTGGCTTTATGGCAATAGCGTGGGAAATCCAGAGCTGCTTGACAGAATATGTCTTTTATTTGTTCCTTTGATTTGTGTCCTCACTCATGCTTACAGAAAGCCTCAGGTTGGCATTTGAATCCCCCTTCTCCCTTTGTGGGAATGCTGAAGTAGAGATCAGATTCCATTCTGCCAGCAGCTACAGATGGTTTGGTCTGGACTCCTTAACTTTCAAAATACAGCACAGGGGTAAATCCTCACTTTCCACTCCAACCAAGTACACAAAATGTCACCTTGAGCTTGTTACAAAGCTCTCTGGGACCACAGTGCATGCCTTTCTCCCAGTATAAATTCCTCCTCTAAGTCCCGTCATGTTTGATGTGGGTGTGTGCTTGTTTCCCTCAGTATCTAGGAAGCCGAACCCCAGAGAAAGTGAAATCCAAGATCTTGGAGCTGTTGTATAGTTGGACGTTGGGCCTGCCTCATGAAGTAAAGATTACAGAGGCCTATCAGATGCTGAAAAAACAAGGTGAGAGACCCTTTCTGAGCCCAGAGAATCCATGGCTTCCCCAACCCGCCCCCAGCTATGTGTTCTGATGCAGAAGAATGTAGCTTGTCAAGCTTTATTTATTTGTTTTTTACATTTTATTTCCCAACTTTGCCTCCAGGGAACTCAAGGTGGTATACCTGGTTCTCCCCCCCGCCCCATGTCACCTTCACATCAGCCCTGTGAAGTAGGTTAGGTTGAGAAATTGTGACTTGCCCAATGGCACCTAGTGAGCTTTAGGTCTGATTAGGAGTTTGAACCCTGGTCTCTCAGGGGCTAGTCCAACCCTCTCTAACCACTACACCATATTGGTTAACGTTTTGGCATTTTTAAAAAAAATCATGAACTGCACATCAGCAGCACTGGAAGGATAGTATTAAGAACTGAACATTCCCTTGTCGTCGTTATTCCATAACAAAAACCATGAGAAATGCAGAGACCTTTAAGTTGGTAAAAACTGCTGTTTGCTTGCAGGGATTGTAAAATGTGATCCCAAGTTGCCGGACGATGCCCCCTTCCCGCTGCCTCCACCCAGGCCAAAGAATGTTATCTTTGATGATGAAGAGAAGTCCAAGGTAAGCACTAAATAGATGACTTTAAACTTTTCTCATTTTTCTTGTTCATCCAAGATAGAGTTTTCCACTGGGGGAAATACTTCCAGGTGCAGAAGGAGCCTCTATCGGCCCCTTTAAATTTTCTCAGTTTCTTACCAGCTGCAGTTTGTTTCCCCTGCAGTAACAGGCAAAAGTCTCCTGCCAAAATGGTGGAATTTCCCTCTGTATTCCCTTTAAACATCTTAATTTCCTACTTTGTTGCTAAGAGACAAGAATGTTATAGCAGGCTACCAAGCTAAATGTAAGCTACCAACCATGTGTGGTGGGTTCAAGAGACCTCTTGTTTTTGCTGCCTGCCTGGAACTACCAAACTAGGGGATCCTTAGGGTTCTGGCAGGTCCCAGTATATAGTTGTTGGGCTAAGTGGTTACAAGCTGTAAGGGAGGGGTACAGAAATGCTCCCAGAGCAGCCTGTTTGCCCCTCAGGACTGCTTTCCTCTGATCTATGTGCCTTTGCAGATGCTGGCTCGCCTGCTCAAAAGCTCCCACCCTGAGGACCTCCGGGCTGCCAACAAACTTATCAAAGAGATGGTTCAGGAGGTAAGCTTTCCCCACTGAGAACAATTTCCACCTCCAGCTGTCAACCAGGTTTGTGCCATTTTGTGCCATTCTGCTCTTTTCCAAGGGATCTTAGAGCAGAGTCGTATCCCCACGGCAACCCTGTGACGTAGTTCAGGTAGTGAGTTGCATATCTGTGCAGGGATTTGAACCCGGATTCCATTCTGTGTCAAGCCCTCGTCCCTCCGTCCACATTGGGTTGAGGGGAGGAACAGTAAAATACCTGGCTGGAGCAGAGCAAGAAAATGGGTGGTGTGTTTTTACCTGTTCCTAGGTTGTCCTTTGCTGTTGTGCTGAGGGGTGGAGGGGGAAAGAGATTCTTGAGCTTCAGAAGTACAGTTTGCTGTTGTAAAAGGAGCTGTAATAGTTCTCTATAATGCAGCTGGGTAATGTCCCCCAGTGTCCAGGGTGTTGTGGCATTCTCCCAGCATGCAGCGGTGTCGGTGGTGTAAAACTGGAGGGTCTCAAATCGCTGTCCAAACCAGAGTCCCTTCCAGGTGGCATTCCAGAAAGTGGGCCACTCATTCTGAGTTTTCCAGAGGGGTAAGGAAGAAATCCCAGCTGCTCTCACCCTTCCACTTCTTCCAGGACCAAAAGCGAATGGAGAAGATCTCCAAGAGGGTGAACGCCATTGAGGAGGTGAACAACAATGTGAAGCTCCTGACCGAGATGGTGAATAACTACAGCAAAGGGGAGACGACCGAGAGCAGCGAGGACCTCATGAAAGTAAGAAAAGAGCTGTCCTAGTTGTGGGAGCTTTTTACAGTGGTACCTCGGAAGTCAAACGGAATCTGTTCTGGAAGTCTGTTCAACTTCCAAAATGTTCAGAAACCAAGGTGCGGCTTCTGGTTGGCTGCAGGAAGCTCCAGCAGCCCATCGGAAGCCATGGAAGTTGTGTTGGACATTTGAGTTCCAAAGAACGTTCACAAACCGGAACACCACCTGGGTTTGCAGTGTTCGGGAGCCAAAACGTTTGACTCGCAAGGTGTTCAGGATCCAAGGTACAACTGTAGCTCCTTCAGCTGGACTTGGTGAAATTAATGATGATTTCAAATTGACACAAACCATAAATATCATCACAGGAATTTCAGAAACCTCCCCAAATACAAAACAATTGTGTTTTTAGACTGTATATCAGGAGTGGGGAGCAGGTTCCAGCTGGAGGTCTAGATCCTGACCATCCCCCACCCTCGCAGGCCATTTTGACAAGTGGGCAGGACCTGTCAATCCTGGCGTCACAATGACATCAGGTGATCCAATGTAACAGATTTCCTTTGTGGGCATGAATTGAGTTCCACCTGCTGGGGAGGATCCTTTGCGTTGCTTGCTTGAATTCAGGTTGGCAGTGCAAAGGAATATTTGCACTGAAAGCAAGCCCTGCTTTGGATCTTGCTCTAACTGTTGATCTCAGCCGGGCTTGCTGTCCAGGGCCAGTCTGGTTCTTGCCACTGACAGCAAGTCTCCTTTGGTTCTTGCCACTGACAGCAAGCCAGAAGCATTTTTTAAGGTTCCCAGGTGTTCCTTGTGCCGTTTCTCTACCTGACCCACACGTGACATCACCTGCGATATCAGGTGTGGGCAGGTGTGTGAGACTTGGGGGGAGGGGAACGAACTTGTGAGCCAAATTGCGATCCCTGCTGTATATAACTCCAAGAGAGCATATTATGAAACCGACTCTTTCCCCATTGCAGGAGCTGTACCAGCGTTGTGAGCGCATGAGGCCCATGCTTTTTCGGCTTGCTAGTGATACAGAGGACAACGATGAGGCACTAGGTAAAAGCAGTCTGCCACCTTAGATGGTGACAAGGGCCTTCCTATTCTTACCCATACCCATTCCCATTCCCACCCCCACCCCCCAGCTTCCCTACTTCCACCTCATGCTGAGCTGTTCAGGACAGGCTACTTGGATGGGTGGGTGGAGGTCCTTGAGAAAATATTCCAAATTTCAGAACTGGATAAGCGAAGACTGTACTTTAATTGCATCAGTAGACCCACCAGGATGACAATCTAACTCTCAGTAGCCATCTACATGCTTTTAGCAATGCGGTACATTCTTCTTGTGGAAAATCGAGTTTTAGGCTTCAACATTCACACACATTCTTGTTGAATAATGGGGTGCTGGGGCACCCTGTGATCATTATCTTTGTCCTCCTGTTGCAGCGGAAATTTTGCAAGCCAATGACAACCTGACGCAAGTGATCAACCTCTACAAGCAGCTTGTGAAAGGAGAGGAGATCAATGGTGAGACTGCGGCTGGTTGTCTCCCAGGTAAGGAAGCCCAAGGAACGGACTGCCCTAAAGGGAAGGTTTTGCTTTGTCCTTTCCAAAGCAAGAACCTGACCGTGAAATTGGTTGGGCATCCAAACTTGCAATTACGGAAGTGGAAGGAGGAAGGTCTTGGCAATAGGGCTGGGTCAGCTGAGCAGAAAATATAGGAAACGGGGTTGTGGAACAAGCATCTAACTAGCATAATTGACTTGCTTGCCTCTTCTCATAGGCAGCACTTCAGCACTTCTGGATCTATCCGGACTCGACATGCCAACCACAAGCCCCTCCTACCCAGCCTTACCAAGCTTCTCAAGTGGTGGCTCAGCAACTTCTGTGCCAGAGCAGACCAGCTCCGTCTCTCTGCTGGATGACGAGCTCATGTCATTAGGTGAGTCCAGGGAAACTCTGAAGCCACCGGGAAATGGAAAGTGTCTGGCGTTCAAGGAGTACGCAGAATGGGGCTGGGGCAAAACGGGAAGATGTTTGTGATCATGAAATGTAAGGGGGAAACTGGTTAGTTTCTCCACCAAACCTGGTGGGAGTAGGGGAGGACCTCCTCCTCCAGTTTCTCTGCTGTACATATTTATTTAAAACACTACCCCTTCTGCCCTCCATAGAGCTCAACACCTTTAAAGACAAGGACAAAAACCACATATTAACAATCTAAAACAACTATTGCAGGGTAAGAGTGAAACAGGAGCAAGAAATAACAGAATACAACAGTAATCTTTAAAAACACACCTACCCACCACCACCACCATTCTGTAAGAGAGCACCTCAGAGCCCAAGGAAGGCTCTACCAGTTTGCAGAAGGCCATTAAGGAAGATGAGAGGTGGCCTTCCCTGAAAGGGTGTTCCAAAGGCAAGATACAGTTTACAAACCTCTGCCTGGTCCTACGCTCTTTGGATTCTCCATTCTGGCATCATGGGATCTCCTTTATCTTTTTCTTCTCCTCTCTAGGGCTTAATGATCCAGCAACTCCCTCAGCCCAGGGTACAGATAACAGTGGCTGGAACAATTTTCAGGTAAGGGCTTGGTTTTTAGAAAATATTAATTTCTTTTAAAGAGAATTCAGAACCCTTTTGGGATGGGAGAAGAACTGCAGCTGATGCTGCAGGTTTTTCAAGGAGGAAAGAAGGTCACCTGTAAGGCCAAACTATTCATTTTCTCCACTGAATTTGTCCTATGAAACCTGCACGTGGATGATCACAACTGAAGATTGCATGTGTGTATTTTTGCTCAGAGTGCATATTCTGAAGAACTGAAACTGACTATATTCCCACAGCATGTGTACAAGGGCTGGTGGTGGGGAAACATGCATACATACATACAATCATTAAATATGGCAATCTGTGTGTGCATGTGGTTTCTATGTAGAAGTAACGTATGAAGGAAATGCTGTAAATTCTGAGGTAGTTCTCATCATCTACTACCACTTCAGGATGTTGGCTCTTCAACTTGGAATGGGGGGAACTTTCAGTCGGACTAGAACAAAGCTCCATTGCACATGAAAACCAATCTCCCTGCTCCTAGTGGTCTTTGTGAGAGGAAGGGGAAGTCCTGCTTTCTTGGAGTGGAGAGAAAAGGATTGAAGTAGCTTGAGGCTGCAGCTTCCCTTCATCATATGAAGTCTCCAGCAAATGGAGAGTTGCCTCTTATTTTTGTGGGTGAACAGGCATTTCCCTCTATTGCTTGAGAGTGCACATTAATCTCTGACTGCTGTATTGTTGGTATGTATGGGACCTCCTTTTTAGCTCCATGCCTCAGCGCCAAACCTTGTAGTAATAACATTCCCATCATCCCCATCATTCCTTGAGTGGTGCTGTCAGTATGGGGCTTGTGCAAGTCTGCTCTGTGGAAATGTACAAACTTGCAAACCACTGCAGTCCTTCCAGCTGTGTTCTGAAGCAGGATCACAGTAGTTTGCCAGAGCTGTCATCGTGTGTCGAAGGCCATGTATTGAACTGTGTTCTTTGTACTGGGTGGTAATATTGCTGATCTCCCTGCCAAGGGGTTTTGCTTCAGTTTGCTTGCTCTTGGTTGCATTGCTGTTAGTTCTTCTCTTTCCACTGCAGTCTTCTGACAGCCCTGAACTTGGCGCGCCCCCAGTCCCACCCACCCCAGCGGGGAAAGCTGATGCTGGACCACCTGCTACGACACCTGCTGCCAGCGGCATGGATGACCTGGATCTGCTGGGCAAGACTTTGATGCAACAGTCTCTTCCCCCAGAGTCTCTGCAAGTCAGATGGTAGGAAGCAAGGTGGGGAAGGGCCGGCTGCGAGGAGGGAGAGCAGCTTCTGGCTGAAGTGGAAGCCCGTCTTCCTGCTCCTTCTCTCAACAGCTTGTGTCTCTCTTGCCCACTTTGCAGGGAGAAGCAGCCCCCGCCACGGTTGACACTGCGCGACCTCCAAAACAAGAGCACTTCCAGCCCAGCTGTGAGCACCAGCAGCGCCCTGCCTCTCTTCCCGAGCCTCTCTTCAAACCCTCCTGCCCCCTTGCCCCTGTCCTCCGAGCAGCCAGCACCTGCCGCAGTCCCTCGGGGGCCCCCAACACCTTCTGGAGCCACGCTCCCCACAGCGGGTCTCCCTGCTTCCACATCCCCCCTGGAAATCTCACTGACAAACGTCACGGTGCCTCTGGAATCCATCAAACCAAGTGAGTCTGGGCAGAGGTGGAGGGTGGCCTTACCCTGGGACAGGTGGCTTGGCTCAGCTGCTTGAGATACTTGGGGCTATTCATTCTGCAAGCACCTTTTCTCTCAGATGGGTGGAAGGGGCTTGATCTTCGCCAGGGTGGGTTGATGAAGCTTACCTCCCAGCAAGGTGTTGGACTCCAGGATGCAAGGCGGTGGCTCTCCTAGTTCTTCTCAGCTCTCTGATGGACTGGTAGGAAAGAGCACATATGCAGGAGGCCGCCATGTGTTGAAGCCCTTCTTGTAAATAAGTCTCAGCCCAAGAAGGTCTTCTGCACCTGTTGCGAAGCATCTTCACTTGCCCCGACGTTTAGAGGCTAGGTGTTAGCTGGGAGCAGGGCCGTCTTTAGCATATGTGCTGCCGGGGTGCAAAGATCTGCCCAGCGCCCCCAAATTTAGTTTAGCGAAACACCAGTCGTGTCAAAGGTGCCGCTGCACAGCAGCTCAATACAATATGGAACATAATATTTTGATGTAAGAGTTCATTCCGCATGCACGGCACTGTTGTGAATGACAAGGGCCATCGTTGAGTCTGACAAGTACCGCCGTTGTGAATGATAAGCACCGCAGCTAGCACAACGTGTCTTTAGTGAATGAGCACACAAAGTTGAAAGTCCTTTAGTGAAACGGTAGGTATACATTTCGGTAATACCTAGGTGTATATGTATTTTGTTTTTCTAGCTTGCTCAAAATTGTTTATTATTTCGTAACAGGTAAATAGTTAAGAGCTTAGGCGGCTCCAGTGGCGGGCGCCTGGTGCCCCCCAGAATTCGGCACCTGGGCGCCCTGCACCCCTTGCACCCCAGGGTAAAGACGGCCCTGGCTGGGAGGAGACTGTGGGGAAGGACTTATGGTCTGCTTTTCAGTATTGAAATTGACGTGTCTTTGCCTCTTTACAAACCTGTTGCTGCCAGCCTTTGCTGCATCTGAGAAAGGATGCACTATTAACTTAAACAGCGTTAAACAAGGAGATTGAGTTACAAGCTGTTCTCAGCCTTGTTTGGGCTCCAGAGGGCGCCTGTGGCAGCACAATGGGTCAGTGTGTCTGGCAGCTAACCAGAAGGTTGGTGGCTTGAGCCCACCCAGGGACAACTGGGCAGAATTCCTGCATTGCAGGGGGATGGACTAGAAGACCCTTGGGGTCCCTTCCAACTCTACAGTTCTATGATTCAAATGTTATAATGTCCAACATGTAATTGCGTTTAGCCAGCGAGTGAATTGTTTGCTTCTGTGGAATGAACCAATCCTCTCTTTTCTGTTTTGTGGTTCTCCTGGTATGTCTTTGCTCCAGGCAACATCCTGCCGGTGACAGTGTATGACCAGCATGGATTCCGCGTCCTTTTCCACTTTGCCAAGGACTCCCTGCCTGACCGGCCTGATGTGCTAGTAGTGGTCATCTCCATGCTCAGCACAGCCCCCTTGCCCATTAGGAACATCATCTTTCAGTCTGCCGTCCCCAAGGTATTTTATTGACTTACTTCATTCATATCCTGACTTCCTTTCGGTGCAGGATGCAAAGCAACTCACAGCATGAATTTAAAAAGATGCAACCAAAACCACAGATAAATATCACTAAAAGCAATTTAAAAAGTAACTCTTATTATAAACAGGTTCTAGTGCAACACACTAACCGCTACTCCACACTGCTTTGAGAAGGTGGAGGAAGACAGCAGGCCTGCAACCCTTCCCCGGGCCCCATGAACACTACCTGTGCAATCTTCATACATTCCTCTTGCCTCCATTTTTGATAACTTAGGAGTGGGAGGCGGTGTAGCTCTGTGGTAATAACCATGCTTTATTTTCAGAAGGTCTCAGGTTCATTCCCCTGGCATCTCCTGTTAAAAGGATCTTGAAATATCAGAGCTAAAACAGGGAAGATCCTGCCTGAGACCTTGGAGTCCTGCTGCTAGTTGAACAAAGATGTCCATGGGCTTTGTCTGCCAGTGGTCTGTTTTATACAAGACGATTTCAAATTTTGGCCCAGCGGTCATTTGCTGCCAACCCCCATGCCAGCGGTGTGGGACCAGCGTTGGGCTTCAATTCCCATCATCCTCAGCCAGCATGGCCAGTGGTCAGGAATGCGGATGGCAGGAAATTGTAGTCCAGCATCATCTCAAGGGTTGTGGGTCTGAGACCCACATTGGGCAAAAAGATTCTTTGCATTGCAGGGGGTTGTGTCTCTTGCAACTGTACAGTTCTATGATTCTATGTACTCAGTTGTATATTGGCACTTGTACTGTAAAGTTTAGCTGTATTTGGAACACCAAATGTGAGGACCCTGCCCCCTAAAACAGTCAAAGATCGGGAAAAGTATTGGTCCGGTTTACATTTCCTGCCGTCCACTGTGAAAAAGAAAGAGCCAGGTTTCTTAAATCCTGAGCCCAAAGCACCCAGATTATTGCATTAAATCAAGGTTCTGGCACTAGGGGGAGCTGTTTTCACAGCAGCGTAGATGGAGACACAACGTGGAAGACTCTAACCAGGTGACCTTTCCATCTTGGCTGCTTAGAAGCAGGTTTATGAGATTCTCCAGTTTGTGCTCTTTGACAGCTTCAGGCCAGTCACTGAATCCTCCTAATGCACTCTCGTTTCTGTAGGTGATGAAAGTGAAGCTGCAGCCACCCTCGGGGACAGAGCTCCCGGCATTCAACCCTATTGTGCCCCCCACTGCAATCACCCAGGTCCTCCTGCTTGCTAACCCACAGAAGGTAATGGCACCTCGGCAGAGGGGTAGGGTGGGCGGCATTTCTTCTCCTATCAGCGTCAAACTGCTAATGCCCTGCCAGCATTTTTTCTTCCCCCTCCCTCCTTTATTAAGAGCCCTGCGGGGTCAGGGCAGTTGTGCTTCGAGTCCGCCACCTTTTTCCCAGATGCCTTTAGGAAACCCTCAAGCACGACCCCCTGAGCGCAAGAGGCACCCCATAAGAAGGGAAACCTCACCTGTTGCTCATCTTTCCCTCTGTCCAGGAGAAAGTAAGACTACGATACAAGCTGACCTTCACCATGGCCGACCGAACCTACAATGAAATGGGCGACGTGGACCAGTTCCCCCCTCCAGAGTCATGGGGCGACCTTTAGTTGCTGCCGCCGCCGCCGCCGCTGCACTGCGTCTGGCTTCAAAGGATCCTGCCGCCTCTAGGACAAGAGCTTTCCCAGAGCTGGCTGGCCCTCAGACCAAGCTCTCAGACTGGAATGGCTGGCAGCTGGCCGTAGGCTGTGTGTGGAGGACAGTGGGCCGAGGGGAGGCCTGCTGGGGTTGGTGGGGGCAGGGCTGGTTGAGTGAGTTGTTCTCCGTTCTTCTAACTTGGTTTCTGAGCCCCCTCCTCTCACCTTGCTCTCCCAGCTCTTGCTTTTCTTCCCACGGAAGAGGGCGGTCACGATCAGCTCCGAGAAGTCCAGGGAGAGACTCCTGGGACCGTTTCTTCTCCTCTTTCCTGCTTAAGGTTATGTTGGACCTGATCCCCCTTCCCAACCTTCAGCTCTTTTCACACTCCACCCTGTCCACACACAAGCTTGATACTTGGGAGCGATGCCCCTCGCTCTGCTTCCCTGTGTCACAACACGAAGCTGGGCTGGGGTCTCAGACGGGGCAAAAGGCACCACCGTTTTGCCACCGGAGGCCTAGTTGTTGGCGCCTGTTCACGACTCTGCTGGCAAAACAGCCTTGACACAGCAGGAGGGTGTTTGGGTCTGTTTTGCTCACGAGGCCTTTCCTTCACCCTGGGCTGGATCATGGCCGTGGGCTAACGCTCCCCATGCTGAATGAGCCACCAGTGAGCCGAGTCTGACTCAGCTAATGGGATGGGCGAGGAGGAAAGCGGGTAGCGTGCCTCGTCTATTATGCCTTAAAGGGTTGGTAGTTGCGGCCTGTTGTGCAGCTGCAAGGGAGGGGTCATAGTCCACTCTCTCCTCTCCTTTCTGGGAGAGGAAGCCAACAATACCAAGAGGCTGCCTACAGGGTGAAGAGGGGCCCACTATATTGCCTGTGTGACACTGTGGAGCTCCTGCATTTCACAGCTAAATATGGCACAGGCCTGGTACTCGGGAGGAGGGCGCTGAGGAGGAAAGAGTTGCCATAACAATGTCTGGTTCCCCACAGACCTTTGCCAGCTGAAGCTGCCCCTCTTCTCCCGCCCACCAACTGGTGTGCTCACAGGATTTGGGCTAGGAAGCACCCACTCTGACTGACTTGAGTTCTCCTCAAGCCTGAGTGGGAGTGAGGCCTCAGCAAGTTACTGAACAGGCTGCTCCCCGGCAGGTGGACTTGAGCTTAACGGTTGAGAGCAGTGAGTGGGATTGTGAAGAACGATGTTTTGCCCAGGGGGCTTACGTCCCTGTTTCTGACAACAATTATCTCCTTTTGGTAGGAAAGCCTTTCTGAAGTGGGGTTCTGCTGTGACTGGATACTTTTACTTTCTGGTCTCTCTTTCAGGGTTCTCTTTGGCCCCTTTCTAGATTCGGTTTGGTTTGGTTCTTGAAACAGGCTTGTATATATATTTTTGGTGAAAATTCTGCCTATGGAAAAGGACTTTAAAATAGACTCTGTGTGAAATCTGCTGTATTAATGGGAAATAAAACAATTTCTTTCCTGAAGCGCATCAGTCAGGACTTGATTGGAAGGGCACGAGGATCCCATGCTCTGCTTATCTCTCACTTGCAGGCCTTTGTCTTTTCTCCACTTACCCTGTCTTGATCCTCACTACCTTAGACACGGTCACTACTGTGTGTACTCTGTGCTTTTAAAAAAACCCCATCAAAATACTATTTTGAGAAAAGCTGAATTCTGTGCTCTATATTATGCAAATACGGTTTTTTTTATTTGTTTTACTCTACCCCTCCTAGTTGTAAGGGCACAGAAGTTTTACTCTGCTTTGGCAGCACTGTCTGCCTAATTCTAAATGTTTTGTCTTGAGGGCTAGGAAATTGCTTTTTTAAAAAGTCGAAATTCTCAAGATACTAACATGCACGCCCAGTTCCCAGTTCTAGACTTGGATCTGTAAGCACGGAATACGCACAGCTCAGTCTGGAGTTCCACACCTGTAAATGGTCGACTTCAAGAAATACTCCGGAAGTTGTTGGAAGTAAAAATTGTGCATCACTTAGTAAACCCCCCCCCCCATATTAACCCTGTTCATCTCGGAAATGGAAAATGAGACCACTTTTTCTGTTACGTTTTGCGATCGAGGAAGTGCTGCAATAATCAGTGACTTCAGGTGCTTTAATTGTTTAGACTGGATAATTGCATATGTTCCGGTCAGGACAAATAGGTTTTAGATGCCTGCAATGACTGTGCCCTGGAACATTTGGTCATGAAACTGACTAGAGGGGATGCAACCCTTAACTTAAGGGGCACCCAAGACCTGGTGCAGGATGTAAACTTTGAACCATTTGCAAAACAAAAACCCTGCTAATATAATGTAGTTGTACAAATCTACATTCTGGTTGCCTCACCTTAAAAAGAATCCTTGTAGAGCTGGGAAGGGCAACCGAAGTCACTTGAGGGGCTGAAGCAACTCTCCTATAGGAAAGGAGATGATCTTTGGGCCTTCTTAGGTTAGAAAAAAAGGCAAGGGGACATGATAGAGGTGTATAAGACTATGCAAAGTGTGGGGAAGCGGATAAGAAGAAGTTTTTCTCCCTCTCATAATGCTCGAACTCAGGGACATCCAATGAAGCTGAATGTTGCTGAAAGATTGAAGACGGGGGGGGGGGGAAGACGCAACACATAGTTAAACTACGGCATTCGCTCCCACAAAAGGTAGTGATGGTCACCAACTGGGATGTCTTTAAAAGAGGATTAGACAAATCCATGGAGGATCAGGTTATTGATAGCCACCAGCCATGATGGCTGGAGTCCACTTACCATATTGGAGGTGCTGTTGGTAGAGCATGGGACTCTTAATCTCAGGGTCATGGGTTTGAGTCCCACATACCTGCATTGCAGGGGGTTGGATTAGATGACCCTTGTGGTCCCTTCCAACGCTAAAGTTATATGATTCTGAATACCAGTTGCTGACAATCACGGGTGGATGGAGTGCTGCTGCTGGCTTTCTACAAGCATCTGGTTGGCCACTGTGAGGTCAGAAGGCTGGATTAGAGGGGCCATTTATCTTTTTAGAGGACTCTGAGCCCCAGCAACCATTTCCAGTCATCCCGGCTTCTGTTCCTCTATCTCAATTCCTGTTTCAGTGCCAGGAACATCCATGTGACATTAAGATACAAATATGGCAACCACCGTTGGCTCCTTGTTTTTGTTAGGGTTGCGATGGTGCGATGATCTCCTCAAGAGCCAGGCTATTTCTGCATTTGTGGAGGCGTGGAATTGCTACCAAAGCTAACCAAGGCATTAAATCTGGAAAATGTCACCTCTTCCTCCTCTTCCTCCTGCCGGCAAGCTTGGTCTCAGCTCAAACTTGTGGGCTTGTCGTTTGTGGCTGCGTCTGCTGTGTGCAGAGCTCACACTTCCTCTTCTTCCCCACTTCCCACTCCTTTTGCAGAGGCCTCTGCAGCAATAATTGCTGCTGTGTGTCGCAGAGCTGGATTCAGCAGTGGTTGTGGAGGCCAGAAGGTAGCTACTTAACAGCGTGCAGCTAGATGTCTTGTTTGGGAACATAATACTGCTCCCATCTCCAGCTTAGGAGCTGTCTTGAAGATCTTGTCTTGCAAACTCTCTTTAAAAAAGAGTCCAAAATCTGCTGCAGTCTCTAGAGAGCACAAATCTCGTGTTCCATTCCTTGCAACAACCCTCTAAGCAAAATGGCACCACTATTGACAGCTTGAATCCTCTGCAGTAAGGTAGACTTCCCACACATATCTTAGTAGAAACAGGTTGGGTTACAAAAAAAGGAAGCCGGAAATTAATCATTTGTTGTAGTAGTAGTAGTAGTAATTTATTATGGTCATTCATTTTTTGCAATGTTTATTATTATTTCAACTTGCATCCCAACCTTCCTCCCAAAGGAGCCTAAAGAAATGACTTGTGTGGCTTCTCCAAGTGATGAGGAATCGTGGTGTGATGGGCTACAGCAGTGGCATTGAGGATAAGTCACTGAGCATTGATATGTCCAGATAAGAATCAGGAAGGTTGTTTCCAGCTTCCTCTCTGATAGACGTAACATATAGGCAATTCTTCTGTCTGCATTGCAGCTTCTGAGATGGTGGGCACAGTCCCGCAACAATAAATTCTGTGCTTGTTTATTTTGTTGGGGCTTAGATCCCGTTTCTGTCCTAGTGGCCTGCTCTCTCCTGAGTAGGCCAAGCTTGATCCTCCCCATGGAACCCAAAAGTGGCATCTAAATGGCATCTTCCCTCCTTATCCCACTGGATGCCCATCTGTCATGAATGCTTTGAGATTCCTGCATGACCGGGGGAGCAGGGCTTGGACTAGATGACACTCGAGGTTCCTTCCAACTCGATGATTCTATGATCTCTCTGGTCTGCAGTAGCACCTGAAGAGAAGCACACTAGGAAAAGCAGATCCTTTTTCTAATGATGTTTGATATTCATGCCCCTGAGAAGTCCTAACTAAAAGGGGTAGGGAGGGGACCTGAGATGATGATTGATGATGATAATAGGTAAAGGTAAAGGTACCCCTGCCCGTACGGGCCAGTCGTGTCCGACTCTAGGGTTGCGTGCTCATCTCGCTCTAGAGGCCGTGAGCCGGTGCCATCCGAAGACACTTCCGGGTCACGTGGCCAGCGTGACGAAGCTGCAGCTGGCGAGCCAGCACCAGCACAGCACACGGAAACGCCGTTTACCTTCCCGCTATAAAGCGGTACCTATTTATCTACTTGCACTTAAGAGTGCTTTCGAACTGCTAGGTGGGCAGGAGCTGGGACCGAAAGACGGGAGCTCACCCCGCCGCGGGGATTTGAACCGCCGACCATACGATCAGCAAGTCCTAGGCATGGAGGTTTTACCCACAGCGCCACCCGCGTCCCGATGATGATAATAAATTTTATTTATACCCCGCCCTCCCCGGCCAGGACTGGGCTCAGGGCGGCTAACATCAAGATATACAATATGTTAAAAACATAAAATCAAACAATTAAAATGCAGATTAAAATAAAAATAAAATCCAATGGTAACCCACAAATTATAACTATAGGGTTTGGGGACATTTAATGCTCACCAGGCCCAATAAGAGGGGCAAACACTTTGGAACAGCCCAGCTGCAGTTCATGGGGAGCAGGAGGAAAATTGGCTCCAGGCTCTGTCCATTACAGCCTGTTGAGTAATAAATTTAACTTCAGCAGCCCCTTTAAATCACAGGCGACACTACTTTCCATCTTGTCTCTGTGTCGAACATATCAGCTGATGCAGGCTGCATTCTATATGCACGCCTGCAATGAATCTAAAATTTGAGCGCTCAGCTGCAGCATAGGGGCTTTTGCCAAAGTATGTGCAATGAAGTGGTCATAGTAGTAGTAGTTGTTGTTTATACTTTGTGGTAGAATTGCTGCAGGAAATATATGTGACTGGAGAGAATCAAGACTAAGCCCCAGAAACTGAGTGCTGGAGGGCTACAGGCTCTCCATCCTTGCCCTTAAAGCTTAATAATAATCACAATGACTGAATAATTTAGGCCATCACATTCATGTGTGCTTGATAAAGGTAGCTAGGTAACCTCAAAGCCTGCATAGCCCCTAGTTCAACAGAAGGGTACCAGTAATCTACAAGACGAAAACAAAACACTGATAGCAGTTCTAAACTAGCCCAGCTAATAGAGAAATTTAGCAGCCGTGAGAATGCAACCTTTTTAGTAGCCGGCCTGAGGCAGTTCTTTCCTCCTTTCCTTTCTCATTTACAATTATAGAACTTTATCTCTAGATGTGCTCACCCTGACCACTTCCTCACCTTAATTTTCCCACTTCTCAGTAGCTTCATGCACTTTGTCCTCTATAATTCTTTGCCTGCCTGGGCTTTCTCTGCAACCATTGGCTTGCAAATGGCTGCAAATTGAGAGATTGCTGACAGAGTTTGGGGGGGGTGTTGGGGGTTTAGAACACAACAGTCATTTCCATCCAGGGTGTGCCTAGGAAGGTTACTGCATATTTCAGAAGGCTTAATGTCACCTCGTTGAGCACTGCTCCCAGCATCATCGCTCCAGATCTCATCACACCACATGGCTGTGGTCCAGCTCCCAAACGATCATGTAAACTGCCTCGATGAACAAAGCAATAAAGGTAAAGGTAAAGAGACCCCTGACCATCAGGTCCAGTCGTGGCCGCCTCTGGGGTTGCGGCGCTCATCTCGCTTTATTGGCCAAGGGAGCCGGCGTACAGCTTCTGGGTCATGTGGCCAGCATGACTAAGCCGCTTCTGGCAAACCAGAGCAGCGCACGGAAACGCCATTTATTTTCCCGCCGGAGCGGTACCTATTTATCCACTTGCACTTTGATGTGCTTTCGAACTGCTAGGTTGGCAGGAGCTGGGACCGAGCAACGGGAGCTCACCCCGTCACGGCGATTCAAACCGTCAACCTTCTGATTGGCAAGTCCTAGGCTCTGGTTTAATCCACAGCACCACCCGCATCCCCGAACAAAGCAATAGGTGTCCAATAATTTGGGGGGGGGGGGTTGTTTGAGGCAGTGATGTCAGGACTTTGGGGCAGATGCCCAGGACTCCACTCAGCAAAAAGGAGCAAGATGGTCCCTGAATGCATCAGGGCTGGCTTCCCACATTTTGAACGAATGCACATTACCATTTAAAGGTGTGTGCACACTCCGTGATAATAGGCATTCAACGCTGGATGCCAAGCACCTTTTCAGAGTCCTGGAAACATGGCACAATCCCCATATTGTCAATAGAGTCACTGTGGAGTATTGGTTGGAGTGTTGGACTAGGACCTGGGAAACCAGGGTTGGGATCCCAACCCAGACATGAAGCACACTGGGTGGCGCTGGGCTAGCCACTGTCTCTCAGCCTAACCTACCTCACAGGGTGGTTGTGAGGATAAAATTGTGACGGGCGAACCATTTATCCCACCTTAAGCTCCTTGGAGGGAAAGGTGGTACAGTGGTACCTTGGTTTACGAACTTAATCTGTTCTGGAAGTCTGTTCTTAAACCAAAGCATTCTTAAACCAAGGCGTGCTTTCCCATAGCAGCGGGGGACTCAATTTACAAATGGAACACACTCAACATGTTCTGCTTCCAAGGCAAAGTTCACAAACCAAAACACCTACTTCTGGGTTTGCAACGTTCTTAATCCAAGTTGTTCATAAACTAAGCTGTTCTTAAACCAAAGTACCATTGTATATACATGTAAGAAATAAAAAGAAATAAATATAAAGTGCCTTCTGCTGGAACAATTATAACCCGTTTAGTGCTAAGAATGTTCTTCTCAAGAGTTTCCTGCCTACATACATGCGCAGAGGTTTCCCAGGGCTGGGCCATTCCTCCTCACCATGCTTAAGTTGGGTATGAATGAAACAGGCAAAATAGGAAGCCGCACAGTGATTTAAGTCACCTCTGTATAACGATATAGTCATACCTTGGATCTCAAATGCCTTGGCTCCCGAAAAAATCGGCTCCCAAACAATCGAAACCCAGAAGTGAGTGTTCCGGTTTTCAAATGATTTTCAGAAGCCGAACATCTGGTGCGGCTTCCAATTGGCTGCAGGATGTTCCTGCAGCCAATCAGAAGCCACACCTTGGTTTTTCAATGGTTTCAGGAGTCAGGCAGACTCCCGAAGCACACTGTTCGAGAACCAAGGCACGACTGTAGATCTTCTGCATTCTGCGATATATATGCAGAAACACACCAGTTTTCAGCCCCTCTCTTTCGAAAACAAAATGTGCAAAACGTTTTGTTTTTTAAGGCAATGAAGCTATGGAAAGGCTGTTTGAGGGGAGGGGAATAGAGAACACTGTTGCACGTGAAAACATTCCCACTTATGGGCACAGACAACACAGATGGTAAATGAAATCATGTGAAGGTGTGTACAGTTCCAAACCACTGTGTAGTAATGTGGAAAAATGACCCTTGTGCATTCCAAAGGCTACATGTGTTATAATTCAGCAATTTCACATTGCAGTTTCCTTTGCTCCAGGAAAGGAAATTGCTCCTCTGGAAATTGATGTTGAACGTTGCACGTGTTTTATGGAAGAGCACACAGTCTTAAGAAGTTGGTCTGCAGTATTGTGAGTGCAGGATGCAATTAGATACTTCAGAGACAGGCAGGACAGAGTATTAGTATTTATAATTGCAGGTAGTAATGTATGATGCCCAGGGCTGAACTAGCAGGAGCTGTTGCACACTGCTAGCTTTGCTATCCCAAAATCCATTGTTTACTTCACCTTGCCAGTAATGCTGGTTGGGCCAACCTGAGAAAGACCCTCTCTGGGCCTCTGCTGCAAAAGCTACACCCCCACCCTCCTGAGTTCATGCAACTTTATCAGCCAACCGTCTTCCTCACCCCAAACCTCAGGCTTCATTTCAGCGTCACCCCCACGCTGTCAAGCGTAAGCTGAGCCAGAGAGAGAGAGAGAGAGAAAGTAGGAAGTGCTACAGCGCGAGCCCTTGCAGCATAAAGGCTTGTTCTGCCTTGTTGCATGTTTGCTGTAATAATATTTCCCCTTTAAGGCTTGGCTGAAGTTATTTTTATTTTTTTTCTCTTTTGGCGGGGTGGTGACAGGAACTGAGAGAGGCAGCAGCAGATCTTACCTGATCTCAGCATCTGCGAGAGGTGGTGGTGGCGGAGGCAAGAGAGAAAGAGGCAAGTTGCTGCAGAGAAAGTGTGAGAGAAATGGGAAGGACTTGAAACTTAGGGAGGAGAAGGAGGTGGAGAAACACACTGAAGATTGTGAGGGAAGGATATCGGAAGAAAGGGAAACAAGAGGAAATCAGTGAGGGTTGAGGAGGAGGAGGAGGAAGTAGAAATGGGAAGAGAAGGGTGAAGTCAGAGAGAGAGAGAGAGAGAGAATAAAATAAGACCAGAGAATGACAAGGAAGTGACAGGAATAAGCCTGCTGACAGGAGGAGGAGGAGGAGGAGGAGAGAGAATCATCGATGGCAACAAGTGCAAGTGGCTTGTGCTGAAGAGGAGGAGGGAAAGAACACCCAGCTGGTTTTTGGTCGTTGTGGTGGGACTGCGTTATCTTTCCCTCAAGATGATGAAGAGACAGTTCAATCGGATGCGGCAGCAGCTCAGTCACCCCAGCATTGGCGGAAGGTAAGGAGGACTAGCTCCTTGGCTTGATCATTGACAGGACCCACCCTTTAGGCAGTGTACAGGTTAGGCCCTCTGGACTTTGCACAAGAACCTGAGTGGGCCAGATGAAAACTCATAAGTTGGGCTCACATGGTGCCTTACTGGGCAGTAGCTGCTTCTGAAAACTTGACTGCTGGAGAGCTCTGAGTGCGTGGAGACATGCTTGCTCGTCTCTAGTCCCAGCACCACCAGGTGCTAATTCTAACTCTTACCCCCTCCTTTCCTGAATTCAGTTTATCAAGGAGTTTACTTCGCAGACTAGAGGCCACTATCTGGAACCATTGTTGGTGTGTGTGTGTGTGTGTGTGTGTGTGTGTGTGTGTGTAGAGAGAGAGAGTTCAATAACTTTTGGGTTTTTCCTTAAAAAAGCTCAACCCTACCCTTGCCTGAATCTTCCTTTGTCAGGGATGGAGAACCATCTTCTCTTAATACTATTGGGCTCCAGCTCCTACCAACCCCAGCCAGCATGGCCCAAAGGTCAGGGAACTATGGGAACTGTAGTCCAGCATCTGCGGGGAGGAGGCACAGGTTCCCTATAAGGCTGCCTACAGACTCTACCTTTAGAACTCATTCAAAGCACATGTGATTCCATCAAAAAATTCTGGGCACTGCATTTTTGGAAAGCTGGAATTCCCAGCAACCCTCAACAAACTGCAGTGCTCAGAATTCTTTGAGGCAGGGAAATGTGTTTTGAACGTGCCTTAAAGTGAGTACACAGCCAAAGTAAAGGGCCACCACTTTCACAAGCAGTGGGCCACCAGTGGCAGGATAGATGAGCATATAACTAGTGACCAGGCCACTCAACAAACTGTGCCTGTGACCACTTAAAAATCATAATGGGACTAAGGAACCAGAACATGAGAGCCCAGGTGGTGATGCCCAGGTGAGACTCCAACCCCTCACCCCAAAGCATCAAATGCTATGGAACTGAGGCCCCAGGTACGTGTTCAGGGTCAGTCAACAATCCAGCCTCTCCTGCTTTTATTCTCTGCTGCATCACCCTACCATCCACATGCACCCCTCTGGCAGGCATATTTGTCTGTATCTTCTTGCCAAGTGGTAAAGAGAACTTGACCATGGAACAGGATTATCAGGGAAATTTATGGCCCTAGACTAGTCTTCCCCACCCTGGTGTCCTCCAGATGTTCTGAACTGCCACTCCCATCCGCCCCAGCCAGCATGTGGAACAAGTGCTATGTCCCTGAGATCAGAGGGTACTGTGTGTACTCCGCAAGGTGTGCTTATTTCTGAGGCAAATGGGCGCAAGGAAGCTATGTAAGGCACTAGAGCACTGGACTTCAGCTGGGGGGTGAGATCTGAGTTCTCAGCCACATTTGCCCCTTGGGTGACCTTGGGCCACTCATACATACTCACGCCTAACCTGCTGCACAGAGAATAAAGTGAGGTAATCCACATCCATGAATGCCATGCTCAACTCACCAGAGGAAGGGTGGAGTACAAATGTGAAGAAAAATAGTAACAGCCATCTTCACTGGTGCAACTCAGCAAGCCCTCTGGGTTTTGTTTTCTTGTTTCTTGGATTTTTTTAAAGTGTTTTTTTAGATTATCCAGATACTTCTAACCCTATTTTTACATTACATGCAGCTCTAGGCTCTTTTGGTTGGGAAGAAGGGCAGGATATAAATTTAATATACAAACATATTCTTTTCAATGAAATCTGAGGTTCTCGGATGGGTTCTGCTCTTGTGTGGAATTCCAGCAATTCATATATCCCTGTCTATGAGAAAGAAGCAGAGAGCTGTAGGGATTTGCTTTTTAGCAACTCCCTCAGGCCATTAAGTACCTGGTGTCAATGGAAGGCCCGTGTCTTCCATTTTGCTTTGTGGTGTTGGATATCAAGTATATCTCGGGGTGGGGATCTGTAGATATGAAGCCTTTGGACCAGGCTGCACCAGGTAGTAACTGCTCCAACCATCCAACGTCCCATAATGATAATTTTACTATTTATACCCCACACATCTTACTAGGTTGCCCCAGCCACTCTAGCCAGCTTCCAGCATATATAAAAACAGAATAAAACATTAAACATTTAAAAACTTCCCTATACAGGATTGCCTTATGACAGCTTGCAACCTTCCAACATTTCTCCAATGAAAATAGGCACATCTTAAGGAAGAGTGTCTGCAAGCCTCGCGCGCCCGGCGGGAGGTCCCGCTGGGTGCGCGAGGCTTGGGGCGGCAGCCTGTCGCCCGAAGCACAGGGAGCCCTCCGGAGGGCTCCCCGTGCTGTGGGCGAGTGTCTGCAAGCCGTGCGCGCCCGGCGGGAGGTCCCGCCGGGTGCGCGAGGCTTGGGGCGGCAGCCTGTCGCCCGAAGCACAGGGAGCCCTCCGGAGGGCTCCCCGTGCTTTGGGCGAGTGTCTGCAAGCCTCGCGCGCCCGGTGGGAGGTCCCGCCGAGCGCGCGAGGCTTGGGGCGGCAGCCTGCAGCCTGAAACACGCGGAGCCCTCCGGAGGGTGCCCCGTGCTTTGGGCAGGTGTGCACAAGGCTTGGGGCGGCAGCCGCGGCGGGGGGGGATAATTTTTTTTTATTCATTTCCCCCCCCCAAAAAAACGAGGTGCATCCTATGGTCCGGTGCGCCCTATAGGACGAAAAATACGGTACATACATACATGCATAGCTATTGCAGATACCTTAATCAAACATGTTGAGCTTTTCATGATCTGTAAATAACATTAAAAAAAATAGTATTGGCTTGATCAGGTATGGCTAACATGTCTCCCTCCAGATGTTGCTGGACTCCCATCAGCCCCATCCAGCATGACCACAGTGATCAGGGATGATGGAAATTGTTGTTTCTAGATGATGTTAATCTAGAGGGCCACAGGTTCCCCATCCTGGAACCTGAGGCTTGACTCTTTTGTTGTGTTTTTTAGTTGCCTGACTGACCCCGCTCAGTGAGTCCATCGCTAACTTAAAATGCAGCAAGGACATTCTTTTCTCAATTCCGACTGAAGCTAGTTTGGCGGGAAACACATCAAATGCAGGATTTCACAAGAAACGAAAGGATAGATATGGATTGTGGCCAAGGTTGTGTGTACACCACTTCCCGAACCACTGGGTGGTGAGTCATTGGCAGTGTGTGCACAACCCACAGCTGGATGGGATTAGTACTCTGAAATCCCAGTCCTGAGAAAAGTATGTACTCCGCTAGTCAGTAGGGATGGGGGAGAAATTTGGTTCACTTCTCATTTAAAGGCAAACCTTCCTAATCAGAGCTTTCTGAAACAATCTAAGAACCTAAACACAGCTGTCCTTCAAAATGCACACTTCTCTGAATTTTGCAGTGCCATTCTCCAGCCAAGAAATGTGTACAAAAATGCACATACTAGCTTACAGTGTGCACAAAAATGCATCTAACATTAAAATTGCTTTGCAAAAATGTATTTGTTAGGAAGAACTACATACCAAAAAAAAAAAAAATGTATATTTGGAGAAATTCACACTAAAACACTGATGGATTTTCATGAGGACTTTGTGGGGGTTTTTGTTGTTGTTTTGTTTTAAATAATAATAATAATAATAATAAAATTTATTATTTGTACCCCGCCCATCTGGCTGGGTTTCCCCAGCCACTCTGGGCAGCTTCCATAGAAACCAAAAAACACTAAAATATCATACATTAAAAACTTCCCTGAACAGGGCTGCCTTAAGATGTCTTCTGAATGTCAGGTAGTTGTTTATCGTTTTGACATCTGATGGGAGGGCGTTCCACAGGGCGGGCGCCACTACCGAGAAGGCCCTCTGCCTGGTTCCCTGTAGCTTTGCTTCTCGCAATGAGGGAACCGCCAGAAGGCCCTCGGCACTGGACCTCAGCGTCCGGGCAGAACGATGGGGGTGGAGACGCTCCTTCAGGTATACTGGGTCGAACTGATCCAAACTGATATGAAAATTTGGAGAACTGAGCTTACGACTGGAGAAACCGAAATTGAAAGAGTTGCCCACCTTAACTAAACAGACCAAAAAATGGTTTGATGGAGGCGGGAAGTTTCTCAACGAGTACAAGATCCTTTCTCTTTATTTTTCCCCCTGATCAGGCCCAGCTTCTGCCATCCTCTGCTCTACTTTTGAAAGCACAAGGAATGACATAAGCGGCAGGGCTGGGCACTTGGGTGTTCCAGAGCTGATTTTCCCGTCTTCCCTGTCTAGCTGTTGCGATGTGAAGCTTGAATTTAGTTGTTACTCATCTCACTCCCAGCTGGGTGAGGAGGAGAATCTTTTGCAGAGCAAGTAGTTGCTCACATCAGCCAATTTCGCAAGAGAGATTTAAATACACTGCTGCATAGGGGAAAACCTACACTTACTACATTGTGCTTTCTGTTTTAACCCTCCTATTTATCAGTGTAGGAGTAAGAAGAACCCTCAGAGTGAGGACAATAGGGCAGATGCAGACTTGGATTAAATCAACAGGATTTAAGGCGTGATTACTAACTTTCCACGTTCAATTTCAGTGGAGCCTAAGCGCAACCTAGCATGTAAAACTCCACCTCCCCCTTAAACTCTGCAGCCTAAATCAATATCTCCAGAGCTTTTTAGTTTGTTTTTTTAATGTACAACTATAGTTCCTTATATCTATGCTTTAAAACGTTGGGGCCATCTGAGATCCATGACGCTATCTCTGTATACTTGTAAGAAAAAATCAGTCTAGATTGGCAACATTAAATTAGAATAATTACCAGCTACACACCTCACTGTTAAAAAACAAAAACAAATTGTGTTTTTTCATAAAGTGTACATCAATGGCTGGCTCCCTCCTACTTTCTAGCCCACTTTAAAAACATTCACTCACAAGTGCTGTATTTGAATAGATTTTGATACACTTGTATCCTGTTGATGTGTGCATATTACATATAATCCAAATAAATATACATTAACCCCCAAACAAGTGATATTGTCCTTGCTAAATTCACTGCTACAACAGTTCCTTCTGTTCCCTGGCTGCATGCATACCATACATTTAAAGCACACAGACCCCAAAATAGAATAATGGGAACTGTAGTTTGCCCTCCCTGACAGAGCTACAATTCACAACTTTCTTAACAAACTATGTTTCCCAGTATTCTTTGGAGAGAGGGAATGTACTTGAAATATATGCATGGTGCCTGTATGCACAGCTTCTGTCTCCGCCCCCGCCCCCCCATTGATGGTTTCCTGTTCTTTCACAGCAGAAAGCCTTTCAAGGCCTGCTCCACGCTTCACATCCTCTGGTGCGCTTGGGTCCTTCAGCTAAAGCTGGATCTGCTCTGCAGTTGCTTAACATTAAGGGTTTATCTACACACCACAGACAACACTGGTTTAACAGTCACTCCTCCTCAGAACAGCTGGGTAGGAGATTCAGTGAGAGATTTCTAAATTCCTAGATTTCTAGCTGGGTCTTATTATATGAGAGAAGGGGGGGCGGGAATACACCTCTGCTTGCTTTCCCGACACTATGCAGAATTTTATCAACCTTGATCATGTCCCTTTTTCCTTACTGCCCCCCTCCCCAAATTTAAAATCCCCAGATGGATTAAATTCTCCTCATAGACGAGTTGCTCCAGCCCACTGATCAGTTGGATGCCAAGTTCTGCCCCTTCCCAGCTCTACAACATCCTTTTTGATTTGTGGCAACCAGAATGTGAACACACCAAACATATAAAGTATCTGTATAATAGGGTTGCCATATTTCAAAATGTGACACAATAGTTATTTTAGGGTTCGTTTGTTTTTTTAGTTTTGGCCAAAGTTGTTGAGCTTCTTTGGCAAATTCTCAACAAAAAAATATTTTTTTCTGTTAGTGAATAGTAGAATGGGATGTGAAGGGAGAAAATCAAACTGCAGAGGAATTCCTAGGTTAGCCTATGCAAAACGATCTGGCCACGCTGGGGCCAATAAGAAACAACACAAGGCCATTTGAAGAACGGTCTTTCCCCCCCGTCCTGTGGTGTGAACAGAGACAGGAGATTTGGAAGGTTGCCACGGTAACTGTGTGATGTCACAGGAAGAGTTGGGGGCCTTTGGCACAACTAAGAAAATGGCAAAACAATATTGGCTGGCTGGCTGAAGGCAGGTGGGGAGAGACGCTGCACTTCTGTGGGGAACAAGTCCCTCTTGAGATGACCATGCTGTAAGATCTGTACTCCCTCTCCATAAATTAAGGGTGTAAATATGTGTCATTAAACCATATTTCTAAAGGCACGCCAGTGTTGGGTCACTTTTCTAATAATCACTAGCATGGAATTCACCTTTTCAGCAGCTGCTGCACCCAGGGTTGACATTTGCATTTCTGTTCTTAGCTCTCTATCAAAACCCCAAGTCCTCTTACCACCAGCTGAGTCTTCATTAGCACGTGCGTGATGTTAGGAATTTTTGCTCCTATGTACATCATGTAAGTGCTTCTAGACAGAGGTTTATGGTGCAATTGGTGTTCCTTACATATGCAAGCTTCTGAAGTTTCCACATGAAATTCAATATTGATATTTTTTGTCCATTTCATCCAGATTTACCCTGCCTGGGACTAATCCAATAAGAAATCATCATCATCATCATTATCAAACAAACCAAACCAGCAGCGCTGTTGCCAATGGCCTGATTACAATATCAATCCCCTTTTTATAAACACCCTTATTTATCTCCCTGTCTCCATATTTGAAGCAACAGGTTTTCAACAAGCCTTCATTTAATATGAGGAATAGGATGCAAATGAAGTGTTTTAGATCTGTAATTGTCTCAGAAGTGGAAAGTGAGGTGGTTAAGAGAGCAGGTTTAATGTTAAGTTACAAACCGCAGGAATTATTTCCTCTGCTGCAAATGCAGGATTCCCATGGTGGGAAGGAAGGGCCTTGTAAACATTTAAATCCTGGGAGCTTTTGTCTCCTTATCACCCTTTCCGCTGCCTCAGCAGCTTCTTCAGCAATGTCATAATAATAATAATAATTTGTCTTTTGTACCCCACCCATCTGACTGGCTTGCCCCAGCCATTCTCTTTAACTTTATCCTGGAGTCTCTATGCAAACCCTCTTTGAACTGTGTCACACACCTCAGTATTGCTGAGAGTTCCTCTTCCCCTACCTTTCATTCTGGGTGCAGCCTTGTTCCTGAAAGGAGAAGAACCTGAAATGCATATTTTTTTCCCTGTGTGAGTGTAACCCTATGACAGACTTAAGTAGTAGGAGGTAAAGGCGGAGCTACATGTCTGAGATTTCCTCTGTTGGCAATAATTTGCCCTTGGAGACAACTGATTTATAGTTCCTCTGTTTCTAGGCTGCAGTGCTTTCTAGGGTCTAAGAATGGGTGACAACCACACCATACGTTTAAAACATTCTGCTTAAACAGTCGTGGAGAATCCCGGGGACTGTAGCTCATTGAGGGTGCTGGGAATTGTAGCTCTGTGAGGTCAGCACAGTTGACAAACTACATGATTCTCAGGATTCTTTGGGGGAAGCCATGATTGTTAAAATGGTACAATAGCGTTTAAGGGTATGGATGTGGTTCTCATCTCAAGGCAAGTTCAAAGGTATACTAGCCACTGGGAATACCCAACCTTTAGCATGAAGGATTCAGCTGACAGTCTGAAGGAAGGCAGGAAAGCAAGCCATACTAGAGTGGCAACATATGCATTGCCAAAAGAGAGGACATAGATTTGCTTGCAATTTTGCATGTGCTAACGTATACATATAGAAATAAAGTTAGAACTAATTACTACAATTTAAATAGAAATACAGTATATTTCACCATAATGAGAAAGATGGGATAATCCCCATCCATCTCCATTCAGTCTGTCATACATATGTCTCAGCAGCAGTCTAGATTTCTTGCCTTGAAAAACATAGTCATTCAGAAGTATGTGCCAGTGTTTTCATACATTCAAGTTGCAGGGGATGGAGAAAACCTGAAATACATACAGAAACATTGGAATTACCATATTTTTTGTGTATAAGACTAGGTTTTTTTCCTAAAAAATAATGACCAAAATTGGAGGGCATCTTATACACGGATAGATCTTCCCCCACTTTCTTAAATTGGAGTCCCCAAAAACAGGGGCGTCTTATACATGGGTGCGTCTTATAGACGGAAAGTACTTTTCATCTGGATCACTGCAATCCTCCTTAATTAGGACAATCCCCTCCCCCCCCCCAGCATCTCCTAATTATTTTCTTTACTTTTTCTACCAATTGATGACAATTTAGAGTAAACAATTTCCTTAATTTTTGGAGTATAAACACCCCCAAGTACTTAAAGACTCTGGGACAGATAGGAATTTCATTAACCATAGTATATCCAATTGGTCTCACGGTTTGATATTGGGGAACAGTATACTAAACTTTTCAAAGTTAATTTTAAGGCCACCCGGGGATTCGAATGCACTGAGTTTCCTTTCCAGTACATACAGGTATTGCTGTTTCAGATTACACAACACAACTCGACATCATCCACATAAAGGTTCAGCATATGCGCTTTTCCCTCTACCCAGAAACCTTCAATGTCCTGTCAAGCTAGGGAGTGGAGAGGCAGGGAAGACAGTCTGAACTGATTACACCTTGATCTTGATTTGTACGCAGAGGGGTTTTTTTGTATCTGTCTGTCAGTCTTTCTATCCATCCATCCCATCTTTTATGCCAATGGCCTATCAAGGTAGCTAACAGCGATTGCAATTTGAAAGCATTAAGAGCAGCTCATGTAAATAATGAAAATAAAATAAAACTAGCAAGAGGGAGAAGAAGCTCCGCCCAACAATTAAGGGAGAGAAATCCCTTCTTCGGGGCTTTTGGCTGCCTTCCAAAATCAACATGGGCCTTCACCTGTCACCAGACTATCAGCAGCAAATGAACGGAATGAAATTCCCCTGGCAGGGTGTGCCAGAGCTTTGGTGCCACTGTGGGAAAGGCCCTGTCCTGGGTGATCCCCCATCATGCTTCAGACAGCAGGGTAATTAAGAGCAGGGCCTATGAATAACCTATTAACAATTGGGTAGGTACATACAGTAGGAGAGTTGCATAGGCTGAGGGTCCAGGTGGAACTCTTTGGTGTCTTTTGTAACCTGCAGTATTTCTCTTTGGCCACAAAGGAAGCAGTGTGCAGCCAGTAGCTCCCTCTTTGGGCAAACTGGTATGGCACTGGCATAGGGAGTCAAATGCCTGGGTCTGGCAGCCACCTAGTACCTGGTTCAGGACCCCTGCTGCATTAGGGTCATCCAGTCTAACATTTTGTAGCATTATAATCTTCCATTTCGTTTTATGAGTGTTTTGGGTCAGGGGTTTTGTACTAAATGCTCCGATTTTTTTTCAGGGATACTTTCCCTTGTTATACGCAACCAACAACAGAAATAATAATCCAACATGCCCTTCTATCGTTCTGAAACTCCTGGGCAGGCAAAGGCAGCAACATTATAGCAGAAATCAGACTCCTTTTCTTGAAGTGTATGGTATGAAAAAGACAAGAAGATTAAATGTGAGAGACAGAATAATAAGGCTAAGGGCTGTAGTCCGTAAAGTAGTTGTTAGCACTGCACGGCCAGTGAAACTTTCCTCCTCTCTTTTCTTCACGTGTGTCCCCTAAAGCCCATTCTCAAGGTTACCCCAGTTCTCCAGAGCAGATTTGGGTGGTTGCATGGGGAGAAAAGAGGAAGGAAAAGTTTCATTGTGCAAGCAGAAATCTTTGTGCCAACGGAATCACTTCATGGAGCGCTGTCCTATGTTCAATCATGTAAAAATAATTCTGGACGTTCTAAGCAGGTAGTTGATAGAGTTGATGGATTTGGAAATAGAAGCCCTACTCAGTCGTGAAGTTCACCAGAGGACCTTAGGCCACCCATTCTCTCTTTTCCAGAGAAGGATTAAATGGGATCTCCAACATATATGCTGCTCACAACTCCTCAATAAAATGACCTGGTACAAAGGTGATAAATAACGCAACAGAGATGCAGACAAGCTCTTCCTACTGTCCAACACTGATGTGTTTGAAAATGTCAAAATATAAAAGCCCAGTGCTTTTTTTTCCTAAAAGAAAAATTGTTTAGGGGTATTCTCATTTTCCTACTCATACAGAAATCCTGCCCCTCAATGAGGCCAAACTTAGATTCACAAAATGTTTACCCCTGCGTCCTTTCAGAAAAAAACACTGTAAAAGCCTAATAAACACAGTATTTCTTTTAGCCAGAGTGTTCTGCCTTATTGTACAAAACAGGCAGCAGATAAAATAAGTGAGTCCTGATATCGAAGACAAGTTTGCCAGTATTTATTACTCTGAAAGAACTTTCTTCTGATTTCTCCCTCTGCAGACACAAATGAAGAAGGTGCTAAAACATATAGCATTAATGTATAGTTTGTCTCTTTGACTCTTGTTTTTTGCTGCCTCTTCCTAGAGCCCAAGAAACAGCAGAATACTTGACAGAAGACTTGCTCCAGGTGAGGCGTGGGTCTGATCAGTGGGCATGTGCTTACCTGTACCTGCAGGCATGGAGAGAAAGAGTCCCTTGTCTTCATGTGTAATTTATTTGCTCTCTGCTTATGCCTGAGTCACAGGATAGTTTTGCTCTGGGTTTTTACCCACTCCCTGAAGAATGATCCAGATGTTCCAGTGGGAGAGATGACTTTTAAGCTTCAAAGAGCAACAAACATTACTGTTAGAGTGGGTCCCAGGAGATCTCAACAACTCAGAGCAAGGGGCAGATTTGAAAGCCGCTAGGGCAACTAATTTGCAAAAGAATGGTTTCATGTACACACAGGCACACACACACCCCTATTCTGTACCACAAAATCTGCACTTCTGTGATATTTCTAATGTCTGTAGTACTAAGCCTATGAGATAAAAGCAGGCTGCTAATAGACAGTAAGTTATGTAGAAGAAAGTATTCCACAGCAAACTATTCTTGCCTATTTGTGCTTCAATTTATTCATGGGGGTGCATTCTGCAGCAGGATGCCATAACTAACCCAGGGTTGCAGAAGTTATTAGTATCCCTGGCCAGGAGCAGGAGAGTAAAGTAGTAAAGTAGAGTGAAACCAGGTCATGGAATCTGATTGCATCTCTTTCCATAGAATGTTAAGAGTTGCAAAGAGCCCTCATGGCAGAATCATGTGGCCTTGACAGGTGCCGACCCATCCATCCTCTCCTTAAAGATCTCAAGCAAATGAGAGCCCACCACCAGTTAATCTAATATTTGAGGAGTCACATAATTCAGAGTTCCCAGGAGCTGCCTTATACTGAGTCAGGCCTTTAGTCCATCTAGATGAGTACTGTCTACCCTGACTGCCGGAGGCTCTCCAGGGATTCAGGCAGGAGCTTTTCCCAGCCCTGCTGGGAGACACCCAGGATAGAACCTTGGACCTTCTGCATGCAAGGCAGATACTCTATGACTGTGCCACTGTCCTTCTCCAGGCATAATCGACAAGGTGTGTTATAGAAGACTAGAGATGGACAACTGAGAGGCAGAAGAGCTGAATAGACAGGAATGGATGAAAGAATGGTGTGGTGCAGAACAACTCAGCTCTTTAAGTCCATTGGCAAACATTCACCCTTAATCTGAAGATCTAAACACATCATTTACTTGGGCACTTAAGCTTCCTCTTTCATTCTTGATCTGCGCACATGTTCCTATAAATGTGTGTATAGATTGTGTCTGTTTACTTAAATTAATTGTATAGTCTTTATGGGCTGCAAAACCTCTGTGACTTTGACAGTTCACCTGCAAGCAACCTCAGGGTGGGGTGCATACCATTGACAGGTCAGTGGGTGGTAGCCAACCAATTTTTACTCAGAGCAGACTGTTAACATTAGTTCCATTCATTTCAGTGTGTCTACCCTGCCTAAAAGCCGGTTGAATACCACCCTTTCTGTTTTCAAATATCTTTACTTTGTTGAGAGCCAGAAAAACTGAGAAATCAGAAACTCAAATGTTGTCCCTAATGCCAGAATCTGCATGGAATCTTGTGGAAGGTGAACAGAACAAGACACTTCCCTCTGCGGTGTTGCAGGAGATCTTGGAAGGAGAGAAACACTCTCAAACAGGGACAGATGCAGTGAGGGAATCTTTCCCCTCATTTTCTTTCACTCTCCTTTTTCCCAGATTGAACAGAGGATTGAACCAGCCAAGCGTGCTGCTCACAATGTCCAGAAGAGGCTCCTGGCTTGTCTCCAAGGCCAATATGGGGCAGACATGGACAAACGGGTGGTAAGAGCGTTTGCCTCTCTTCTTTCAGCGTCAAGTAAACCAATGGTTATATGGGAGTTCAGTGGTTGGCATACTTTTCTTCTTCCTTAAAAGTGACTTAGGGTCATAGCACAGAGGAAGAGGGTCTAACCCAGGAATAGGCAACCTGGTGCCCTTCAGGTGTCCTGGACTACAACTCCCATTAACCCCAGTTTGGCCACAAGGGTCAGGGATGGTGGAAGCTGCAGTCCAGCAACATTTGGAAGGCATCAGGTTGTCTTCCCTTGGTCTCTGGGTTGTGTTCACATTATTGCCTCCAAGCAGTGAAGTCCGCCCCCCCCAGCCCCCGTGCATTTCACAGCTCTTCACATCAGCACAACTTCATTAGTGTCAGATTCATTTCTGTTTGTGTACACACCAGGGGTCGTTTTGGATAACGTTGTGTGAACACAGATTTAAAACCCCGCAGTGGAAACTCAGTGAATGCACAGTAAAGAGGGTGTGTGAACACAGCCCTTAATCTTTGCCCTGGGCCAGTTCCCCAATACAAATTCCTCTTTCTGCAGCTCATAGCTGCTTTGAATGATGGAGATTTTGGAATATGACTGCAGCACAGGGGCAAAGGGTAAGATCCTCCTGTCCACAGTACTACTGCCCCTGCCCTGACCCTAATTTCTACCTTACCTTCTATGGCTGTTTTATATGAAAAAGAAAGAAAGACATTGAGATTTCTAATCACAGATCTCCAAGTTTATTTAGACCTAGCAGTCTCTCTTGGGAATCCCCCAAAGATTCATTCTGCTATCTTGATTCAAAATGGTATCCAGTTGTACCCAAACAGAGACGAAAACCTGCCCTTGATCTCAGGAACTATCTAACAGAAATTGGTTGCCGTGTCTTAAGAGGTGTTTGAATGCATAGTGAATGGACAGGCAACTTTCCAATATATATATTTATATAGGCTGTGTCCACACACTAGGGCCTGAATGCACACGTGGGTTGATTTTAAAAACCCCTGCAGATCTAATTCAGCCAGCTCTGTAAGATTTTGTCTTTCATAGGAGGGGATGTAAACAGGCTTCCTTGATCTGTTCCAGGGCTGGGCATAAAATTTAATCTCTACAGGTATATCCAGATTGTTGGATGTTGTGTAACTTTCTGTTGATAACTGGCACTAAGTAACAACACATCCTATGATCTGTCATCTTTGGCTAGTGTTCCCTTTGTGGGTTTCGTAACATGTGTGCTTGTGCTCAGATATTTTTGTGGGGGTGGGGGGGTGGGGGCAGAGGGGTAGCAGCTCAGGCAAGACAACCCTGTTCTTCCTTTCCACAATCATCTGCTTGCTTGCTTTTGCCTCTGGACTAAATCCCTAGTACAGTGGTACCTTTTTCTCGAACTTAATCCATTCTGGGAATCTGTTTGACTCCCTAAACCATTTGAAAACCAAGGTGCAGTTTCCAGTTGGCTGCAGGAGCTTCCTGCACTCAGACACTCGGCTTCCGGAAAACGTTCGCAAACCGGAACACTTACTTTCGGGTTTGCAGCATTTGGGAGCTGATTCATTCAGCATCTAAGCCATTTGGGAACCAAGGTACCACTGTACAACCCTCCGGAAATGAACATGCAGATGTATGAGCAGGCAGTGACAGCTGCTGTTCCTTCAGCCCTTCCTTGCTGAGTTTTAGGCCTTGGCAAGTGCCTGGCACTGCCAACAACTGACACTAAACCTGTCTGTATCTCATCAAAGTAGTAGACATACATAGGATTACCCTATTTCAAGAAGTGAAAATCTGGACACAAAACTTTCTGAGTTTTTCCAGCTATTTTTATTGAAATTTGCCAAAATTCGCAATTTGCGTCTGGACACTGTTTCTGATGTCCAGTATTGGTTCTGCTGCTGCTCCCCAGTTACTGGAGCTTTTAAAATTTTGTTCCAAATTGGCATCATAGTACCACTGTGCCCACATTGATAATAGGCAACTTGCTATTTCCCCCCTCCTAATTGCTTTCACTTGGCATTAAAGCAAGTTACTTAGCATCCTAAGTTTTCTCCACCTTAAAAACAATATAGTGCACCCAATATTTGAACGTTCCACTAAAGCAGTTTGTATTTTTTTTATTAATTGATTTTTAGTTAGGTAAATAATGTGTTCTACCTGCTCCCATACCTGCATTTCAAGAATATTTTCATATTTTGTTTAAACTCTGTTTTCCTTTAAATTGGTCTGCTTCCTGTTTCCATCACTTCCAAGTACATTTTTCTTGACAACGAAATGGACCAGGCTGCAAACTACTTGATCTGGTCTAGCTAATTTCACCACCCCATTTACTTGTATGGGACATGGGGTAACTGCTGCAATTATGAATTATGAATTATACATTGGCAGGTGTTGGAGAGCTTCACTCTGTTTCAGAAAAAGGCTGTGGATTTATCTTGTTTGCTCATTGCATCTTCTCACTTTCCAATTCTTTCTGCAGAAAAAATTGCCTTTGATGGCGCTATCGATGACCATGGCAGAAAGCTTCAAGGAGCTAGACACTGATTCCAGCCTTGGGTAAGAATCAGTGTGTTTTATAGATTAAGGTGCACACAAACTGTTGATCTGTAGAACATAAGCAAGCAACATATATCCCAAGTTGCTCACAGGAAAGATTATTATTATTATTATTATTATTTTATTTATTATTATTTATACCCCCACCCATCTGGCTGAGCTCCCCCGTCACTCTGGGTGGCTTCCAATCAAGTGTTAAAAACAATACAGCATTAAATATTAAAAACTTCCCTAAACAGGGCTGCCTTCAGATGTCTTTTAAAGAGAAGATAGCTGCTTATTTCCTTCACCATTATTGGATGCCATTATTTTGTCATGATGGTATGAAAAATCACCACCAAATCTAAATCAGGGATCTTCTTTGCAAGATAGAACTGTGTGGTTTTTTAAATGCAGTGTATTTCTTATAAGGCAATACCCTTTCTACTTAAAATATGGCTGACATTGATTTAGGAACCTTTCTGCAGAAGTAGAACAGCAAACTGAGGGGCTCCTGCATTGGTGTTATATCACGGACTGTGTTTGCACTGTCTGTTTACCATGCCTTGCTTTGGGTTATGGCTGTGTGCTTTCAGGTGCTTCTCAGGTAATAAATCTGCATTACACACCATTCAGCTGCTGGGCAATACCTCTGCACAGAAAATAGGGGTCAGCTTCAGTAAGGAACCCTGTCCTATGCCACATTTCCCCCCCCCCCCCCCCTGTTTAACAGGCAAGATATGTTATGCTGTTATCCCTTCCTTCTTCAGCTGTGCAACACTATAGACAGAATGGATGGCAGCTATCTTTGGGAACTGTGGTATTAAACCCAAGTGGAGGGCAGGAGGGCACCTCATAGAAAAGGCACCAGGAAGAATGAGGGTCACTAGGTTATTCTAGATGACCTGCTTATTGAGCATCCATCCTGATTTGCTTGCCCAAAGCTTCTGTGAAGGTTAGGCAATGTAGAGTCTTTGCTGAGCATCCGTTCTGATCTGTTTGCAAGGAGGTTATATTGACAATGAGCATTCATCCCGATTAGTTTGCATGGTGGTTATATGTCTTCTCAGTTAGAACCATTCCTCCTACATCTTTCAGTCCGTTTCCGTTACTTTCCTAACTGCAAGAAGTCCACTTTTTTCCTAATTGAAATTGTTTGCGCTTTAACCTGGTCTGCGCCTCGATTCCTCCCGCAAAATATTGACAGTCTGGAGGCAACCACTGACTGATATTGTGCCACACAGGCTGATCTCCTGCTAGATCCATTTGATCTACCTTTCATCAGATAGGTGCAGCGTCAGCACTGAACACAAACCATGACAATCTGCAATGTGTGTTTTTGGGAAGGGCCATGGATCAGGCCCTGGTGCTCAGATTAAAGCCTGGATAAGTTCTATAACCCCCAAGTACAATTATTCAGAACTGGGGCCAAACTAGATGGAATGGTAACTGGTTGCTTTTTTGTTTAGTAAATAGCTGCTGGGTATATAAAATGGCACCACAGTGGAGGGGGAAGAGAGGTTTTAACCCACTTTTTTTTTACTGCTAGTATATTGATGTTTTCACATACACAATAACATTTCCCTCCCACACCCTGCAAACTCCTTTACAGTGATGGTTTAGTTCTGCCAGATGGAGCCCCAGAGAGAGAAAGAGAGAGAGAGCTCACTGAGGACTCATACTCCTCATTTTTCAGGCCGTTGGAGAGATATTGGCTCTGGTTATATACACTACTGTAACTCTTCTTCCTTCTTGGCTTACAGGAAAGCTCTAGAAATGAGTTGCTTCATTCAGACTATGCTAGCCAGGATCCTTGCTGAGTTTGAAATGGCCCTTGAGCGAGACGTCCTACAACCCCTCAATAAACTGAGCGAGGTATCCATCTCCCTCTGTTCTCATCTTCTGTTTTCCCTCTTTTCTGCCTGGTCTTCTGGTTGTTCCTTCTCTCCTCCCCCCTTACTGCTGCATGTAAAAAGCTGCCTCCAGATGGGTGTCTCCTGGCACTGACCAATCATTGCTCTTACACTGTAAGCCACAAGAAGAACTGCAATCCACTTTCCACATGCTTGGGAAGCTCAAGCTTTTTCTATGTGTACATTCTACCGTGTTGTTCTGTCCAAACCAAGGGGAGTGATATAGCTGCTGGGAGTGAGGAAAGCAAAGATCCAGTTCCCCTTAATTGCCCATTTGAAGCTAAACACCATATTCGCTACAACCTTTACAGTGGTGACTGACATTTTTACTACCCATCAATTTTGAATAAATACTAAAATGCTTTAAAAAGAAATTTGCATAGTGGAATGTAGGGATGAACAAATCTGCCAGTTTTGGTTTTTCACGTTTTCTCGATTTTCCATTTTTAAGTTCAGTTTTTCACATTTCCACTTTGTGGTTTGTTTGTTTTTTAAAAGCCCTCATGAACATCCATGAGCATTTTACTGTGACTTTCTCCTATTGTACACATTTTCTATGCCATTTCCCCTAATATACACATTTTTGCAGACCAATTTCCTTGTAATACTGCATTTATGTACATTATTTTCTAAATTATTTGCATTTTGATACCCTTTTATATGTAATAATGCTATTTTTTTAAAGTCATGAAGGGGAGGAATCCTTTTCAGACCTGCAGTTTTAGCAAGATGTTTAAAAGTTTCTGTCATATTTATTTCTTCATCTGTTAAAGATGAGCATGGTAGAGTATGAGCTCTATGGAATACTCTTTTATCTATTTAAGGAATTGTTATCATCCTCTTCAGCCAAAAAAAAACTGGCATAGAAACTTAGGGTGGCTCCAGAGAATGTCAGTATTTTTCAAGTTTATGCTTTAGGTTTGTGCATTTAAAAAGTGGATTAAAGCACTGTGTTGCCCAAGCACAACAAATCCACTTAAAACAAAACAAAAAAAACCACGGCATTTTTCCGGTGACTTCTGGTGTTTAGTGATAACCTGTGCGGCAAGGGGTGCCATTTTATTGTAAATGCATGCTGACTTGTGATAGTGACATATTGCGCAGGTGAGCCTAGCACAAGCTGACACACATTTACAAAAGTGACATATTGTGCAAGTGTGCCGTGTTGTGGTCGGCTCACCTGCACTATGTGTCACTACCCACATCAAAGCCCTGCTTTGCATCTACACCTGTGGAGATTGCACTGCTCTTCCGTTCTGTAAAAAAGTCAGGCTTTTTTTGCAATCTGGGAAAAGTTGGAGGAACAACAGGGGAAAACACAGGATGGCTATGATTGGCGATGTAGATGCACTTAGCACTAAAGGTTCTAAGGTGGAGTGTGGCTGGTGGGGGAAATGGAAGTGAATGAAGCACAGTGATTCCACATGTATGGAAGGGCTTCACCTCAGGGAAAGAGCACCTGCTTTTCATACAGAAGGTTCAAGGTTCAATCCCTTGCATCTTCAGGTAGGACCAGGAAGGATGCCCGTTTGAAACCCTGGAGAGCTGTGGGCAATACTGAGCTAGATAGATGAACGATCTGACTTGGTATAATGCAGCTTCCTTTGTTCACAGTAAAAACCTAGTGTGGAAGGACTGGTGGTAATTCCTAACCAACGGGCAAGTGCTACTGGTGTGTGACTCATCCTTCCCCATCCTCATCTCTTCCAGGAAGAGCTGCCCACCATCCTGAAGCACAAAAAGAACCTTCAGAAACATATTTCAGACTGGAATGCCATCAAGAGCCGGTACTGAGAGGGGGAGGGAAGGGGAGAGATGGCGCGGGAAAGCTTGACGAATTTGGCAAAAGAGATCTATTGGGATCTAGCTGCTTTTGCCCAAGAGCAGAAACAGGACTAAGTCCTTGGAATGTGGCCCTTCCTCAGCCACGGGTCCATCATAATGTTTGGGAAGTCATTTTCTGTTACATCAGCTCTGCTTTAAACATTCTCTGTGCTCTTCAAAGGCAGTGAAATAACTGAGTAACTTATTTGTAAAGGGGATTGTAGGCTGACACAGATGGTTCTGCACAGGGCCAGCTGATGAAGCTTCTGACTCTACTTTAGTCATCATCCTTTTTCTAAAACAACCAAACCAAAAAAGGAAAAAGCTGGGGAAGATGGGGACATGGGGGTGGCAGAAGCATCAATCTTTCATTGTTAGATCAACATGGACACTGAATTGATATACACCCTATCCACTGAGCCTCTTGGGATTGCCAATCGGAAGGTCGGCAGTTCGAATCCTCACGACGAGGTGAGCTCCCATTGCTTGGTCCCAGCTCCTGCCAACCTAGCAGTTTGAAAGCATACCAGCGCAAGTAGATAAATAGGTACCGCTGTGGCAGGAAGGTAAACAGTGTTTCCGTGCATTCTGGCTTCCGTCACAATCCTCTGTGCACCAGTAGTGATTTAATCATCTTCGCCACATGACCTGGAAAGCTGTCTGTGGACAAGCGCTAGTTCCCTCGGCCTGAAACGAGATGAGCACTGCACCCCATAGTCGCCTTTGACTGGACTTAACCATCCAGGTGTCCTGAGAGCCAGTGTGGTGTAGTGGTAAAGAGCGGTAGACTCGTAATCTGGCGAACTGGGTTCACTTCCCTGCTCCTCCACATGCAGCTGCTGGGTGACCTTGGGCTAGTCACACTTCTCTGAAGTCTCTCAGCCTCACTCGCCTCACAGAGTGTTTGTTGTGGGGGAGGAAGGGAAAGGAGATTGTTAGCCGCTTTGAGACTCCTTCGGGTAGTGATAAAGCGGGATATCAAATCCAAACTCCTCTTCTTCTTCTTTACCTTTTACCTTTTCCTACCCTAGCCATGTCTCTAATGGCTATCTCCACCTCTTTGCCCATTTAGCTGTGTGTTAACAAGTTAGTCTCCCCTCTGATGGGAGCCTGCACCACAGCACACACTCTGTTTTCCTTGCTGGTCTGTATAAAAACACACATACGCAAAGACTCTGATCACATGCAGTGATACATACCTTTTTAGTTGTAAATGTTTTTATTTTCACATTCAGCAGCAAAGTACTTCATTGTGACTTCACTAAGGATTAAGCCAGAAGGAGAGTCACTGTGCTAGTTCTCTGGCTGTTGACTCACTGCTGCTAACCATTAGAGAGAGGGGAAGGGGTGTTGTAGTGTGGGGCAAGTCAGGTCAGTGTGAACGCACCAGCAGAGAACATCCAGCATTCCTGCTGGTGCGTTTACATCACACTGACCTCCCCGCTGCTTCACCCCTTTCCTTCCCAGTAAACAACAGTGACCCACCTGCCGGGAAGCTAACACAACAGTTTCTTGATTAGCATGCTGTTTGAAACTGGGCTCACAGTTAAGCCTTCTCCTCATCAACCTTGAGCAGATGCCTACAACTTGAGGTTAGCTGCACGCATCAGACAGGTCATCAGTCTCTATGTCTAACACATTGTCGTATAATTTTTGAATGCCATCAACTCAACTCTTGCCTCTGGCTCTTCTTTGGGAATCTGAAGTCTGAACCAAGCTGCCAAGAACTCCAGCAATAATACCAGTGGTGCCGCTGGCCCAGGCCCATCATCTGCTGCCATCAAACTAGAAAATCTGAAGGAAGAGGAAGAAGAGATGAAGAGGAGGGTTGAACAGAGTAAGGTAGGTGTGAAATGTGGCTGGGGAGCTGGGGATTGACATTCTCCTTCTCAGTTAGAAGGAAGCATGTTTGTATAGGAAATGCCCAAAGATGAGGGGTGGAGAGAGAAATATGACAAGAGTGTTGGTGCAGACATGACCATGCAGAACTCCCATTGATTGCGCTACACTGTGCTGTGGGTCATTGTTTAGATCCCACAAAGGAGATCCAAATGGCAAACTAGAGCAGTTGTTGATATTGGTGGAGGAGAAATTTGATTTGGTTCACATTTAAAAGCGAACCTCCCCAATTTACACTTTCTGAAACAATGCACAAACTGAAACACTGCCATTTTTTCAAATTTTGCCTTTCTCTGAATTTTGCAGTGCCGTTCTCCAATCAAGCAATGTATATAAAAATGCATGTACTCAAGTAAAGTGTTCATAAAAATGTTCATGTTCATGAAAATGGAAAACAAAAATGCATTATAGTAAGGAAATTTGTTCTGCAAAAATGTGTCTGTTCAGTGAAATAGCATATGAAAATGTATATATTTGAGACATTTGCACCAAAATGTTGAAGAGGATGTTTCTTTTAAAAATCACAAACTGATGTGGAAAATGCAGAGGACCAAAGTTAAGCATGGAAAAATGAGAAGCCAAGAGAAACCGAAACTGACAGATTCACCTATCCCTAGTTATTGATGTGATTATTATCCCAGAAGCTGCATGAGATTTAGAATGGAGTCAGTGTGTGCCAAGTCACATTGCGTCATATTCTTCCTACTTAATAAGGTATTCAGGACCTTGCAATATTTACCAGGTTGGAGTAGGAGGTATAGACACACAGCCTAATGATTTCTTAGATCCCATTTGTAGATTTTTTTGTTTCCTGATATATATTTATGCTGTGTATCCTGGAAACAGGCCACCACTAGGGAAGAGGGAGAAAGCCATTTTAGTTCACATGTTAATATGAATCCACCTAATGCACACTTCCTGAAATTATTTGTGAACCAAAACACAGCTATCCTTTGAAAACCACACTTCTCAAATTTTTGCAATGCAGTCCTCCAACCAGATAACATTTCCAACTAGGCATATATTAGGGGGAAGTGTCCATTAAAATGCATATGCTGGTGAAAGGAACTTACAATAATGTCTTATATTACATAGATTTGCCTGCTAAATTGTGTATATAAGACAAAAATGCATATGTAAAATGTTGAATAATAATAATAATAATAATAAATTTATTTATTTGTACCCCGTCCATCTGGCTGGGTTTCCCCAGCCACTCTGGGTGGCTTCCAAAAAGATTAAAAATACACGAAGACTTTCTGCAAAACGAGGCAGAAATGTAGAGAACCGAGAATGGAAAAATGAGAAACTGACAGTCACTGAACTGACAGATTCATAGATCTCTAGTCACCATCTAACTGTGTCACGGTGAGGATATTGCAGGCAGCTGGGATGGTGCAGTTAACAGGAAAGGAGGCTGATATATTTCTGTGGTTTGCTCTTTGTGAAGGGAACAAAGTACAGTGCTTCCCCCATCTCATTTTCTAGGATGAGTACATGGCAGACCTATATCACTTTTCAACCAAGGAAGACAGCTATGCTAAGTACTTTATCAAAGTAAGTCAGTTCCCTTATCTCTCTTTTTCCTTTGCTCCATCCTTCATTGTAAGATGGTTTTGCATACCTTTGGATAACTCTCAAAGTCTAAAGAGGCATTTTGTTGGAGTTCTTTAATTGCACCTCTCAATTTTCTTCTTCCTGTTTTGTGAATGTATATTTTCCTTCCACAACTACTTCCCTTTGCTCTGTTTCCCCAAATCCAAATCAGGGACTTCTGCAACTATCAGAAGACAAAAATTATGCTGGGGAAGGATGCTGTTTTCTGAGACCCCTCAAATGTCTAGCTTGGTCTTCCCTTAAGACCTATCCCCCACAGTCATCTCTGCATCTCTCTAAAGAAACCCACCATCATTATCATAGAATCATAGAGTTGGAATAGACCACAAGGACCATCGAGTCCAACCCCCTGGCAAGCAGGAAACACCATCAGAGCACTCCTGACATATGGTTGTCAAGCCTCTGCTTAAAGACCTCCAAAGAAGGAGACTCCACCACACTCCTTGGCAGCAAATTCCACTGTCGAACAGCTCTTACTGTCAGGAAGTTCTTCCTAATGTTTAGGTGGAATCTTCTTTCTTGTAGTTTGGATCCATTGCTCCGTGTCCGCTTCTCTGGAGCAGCAGAAAACAACCTTTCTCCCTCCTCTATGTGACATCCTTTTATATATTTGAACATGGCTATCATATCACCCCTTAACCTCCTCTTCTCCAGGCTAAACATGCCCAGCTCCCTTAGCTGTTCCTCATAAGGCATCGTTTCCAGGCCTTTGACCATTTTGGTTGCCCTCCTCTGGACACGTTCCAGTTTGTCAGTGTCCTTCTTGAACTGTGGTGCCCAGAACTGGACACAGTACTCCAGGTGAGGTCTGACCAGAGCAGACTACAGTGGCACTATTACTTCCCTTGATCTAGATGCTATACTCCTATTGATGCAGCCCAGAATTGCATTGGCTTTTTTAGCTGCCGCGTCACACTGTTGGCTCATGTCAAGTTTGTGGTCAACCAAGACTCCTAGATCCTTTTCACATGTACTGCTCTCATCACCTCCCTAATTCCTCTTTACTCTTTCCAGGACAGGGATGGGAATTCTGTAGCCCTCCAGATGTTGCTGAGCTTCCATCAGCCCCAGCCAACATGGCCATTGGTCAGAGATGATGGGAGTTGAAGTCCAGCAACATCTGGAGGGCTACAGAATTTCCTGTGCCAATGCTACAGGTTTAATAGGACTTGCAGAAGAAAAACACCATTCAGGGAAAAAATACATGTGCATTTATTTTTCTGTCTGACAGTTGATGGAAATTCAAGCAGAGTATCACCGGAAGTCCCTGGAATCTCTGGATACTACTTTGGCAGAGGTGAAAGAGACTCACAACCAGCCAGGTATTAGTTGAGCTGTGTCTTTTTATTTGCCGCACTGGAGATAAGTTTGTTCATTCTGGGTCACCTAGAGCTTGGGGGATGCAGTTTATTGTTGCTGTCTTGTTGGTGGTTCCCCCTGTATGTACATCATTGTATTTTATTGTGTTCCCAAATGTCTACACGTAGTGTAGCTTCCCAGTGTGACACTACGTACATAGCTCTTTGCAAGTGGGGCCCCTGCTATTGCTTACTGAGAGATACATTCATTAGTCATTTTCAGGGCAGCTTTAGTGATGTTAGCCAGCGATATGGGAAAGACAACAGGTAACATGCAAAGCACAAATTCTAAAGCGCCTCTGACGCTACAGTGCTGCTATTTTTGTAGCTGGACAGTGAGATTGGTACTTTTTCAAATTTATTTTGTATTGCATGTTGCTGTATTTCTTATACACCACTCTGAAAACGTCAGTTGAAAGCTGGCCTAAAAAGATAGACAACAAACAAAGAGTCTCTGAGACTCACTAGGACCGAAAGAGTTGATTCTGCAGAGCAGTGTGTCTATATTTGTCCCTGAAATAGATTTTTTAAAACCCCACTTCCTGTGAGGGAAAATGACACACCAAGAAGAGGGTTAGGCAAAAAATTCTGCTGCTTGCGTAGACCAGAGCTGAGAAGCAGGGCCGGCCCAACAATTAGACAGAGTGAGGTGACGGTGTCAGGCAGTTGTGGGTGTCGTGAAAGCAGAGCAAAGTGTTAATTATTTCATTTACTGTATTTTTACCACCAGGGAGATTTTCTGCTTTAGACACCCAAAGAACTTGGTTGGCTGTGAGTTCTAATATGTAACTTGGCTTGGGTGTGTGGAGACAGAACATCATTTGCTGCTTGCCTCAGGCAGCAAAATGCCTTTGCTCTACCTGGGGTCCTCAGGAGCTTTTGGTATGGAGCACTGCTGGGCTGAGTTGGCTCCTGAAAACCAGGCTCAGCAGTTGGATGGTGATGAACTTTGGAAACTTCCCATCCCATATGCACAGTGGGCTTTATTCTCTCCCTCTCCCTTCCTTCCTGCTGTTTTTCAGACTCCCCATTCCCAAGAGATGCAGCTGTGGTGGGGGTGTATGGGATGCCGCTAGAGACTCACCTGAAGGCTTCTGGGCGGGAGATTGCCGTCCCCATTGAAGCTTGTGTCATGATGCTGCTGGCATCGGGGATGAAGGAAGAGGTAGGTGTCACTCACTTGCCCAGCCCTTCTTTTGCCACCAATTTCCTTGCCTCACCTTTCTTCCACTCTGCAGGGGCTCTTCCGGTTGGCAGCTGGAGCATCTGTGCTGAAGAAGTTAAAGTACAGCCTTGCCTGTGGCTCAGGTGTCCTGGGTGAATTCTATGCAGATCCTCATGCTGTGGCAGGTAGGATATTAAATTAATGCAGGGCTGGGGAACCTGTGGCCCTCCAGATCTTGTTGGACGCCATCTTCTGTTAGTCCTAGCTAGTACCACCCAGTCAGGGGTTTCATTAGGAGTTGGAGTGCAACAACATCTAGAGGTCCACAGATTTCCCCAGCCCTAATTAGAGGTATCAGATAATTAAGCAGCAGGGAGTATCATGATCCGGGAGAGAGGGAGAGGCATGTTCTACCTCTAAAACAGCATCTCTTTGCTTCCATCTCAGGTGCACTGAAATGTTACCTGCGAGAGCTGCCCCAGCCCTTGATGACCTTTGAACTCTATGATGATTGGCTTAAAACTGCAAGGTACATTGGGACTAGGAAGATGGGCTGCCTTCTTACAGCTCACACAGTTTGTTATTTCACCTCAATGCTAAGATTAGGTTAACTTGACTAGCAATGGAAATTGCTTGTATTATTGCCTACTCTGGGAATGACTGAAACCTGTTGCAAATACTACTAGAAATTAAAATTGCATGTGTCAGGGTGCACACAGAGTTGAAGAGGGTCTCATTACAAAACTAGCAAGGTAGGGGGGAGTTAAGAAGGATGGCCCGTTCCAGCTGGGTTTTTAAAAAACACCATGAAAAGTGTTATGATTAGTAACATACTCGGCTTAAGGCAGAGTTAGCCAACATGGAACCCTGTGGATGTTTCTGGCCCGGATTTCCCACAATCCCTGACTATAGGGTTTGCTACTCCTGGCTCGAGTGCACAATCACCTCAGCATAAATCCCTTTGGAAAAAGTGAGACTTAGTTCTAGGGCCAAAGTAGATGAAATGTAGAAGATCTGCCACTGGCTGTCCCAGAAAATCAAGTTCAGAGCATTGGCACTGGGGTGAAGTCTCTAAAAGCTATTTTCCCCATCTCAATTCCCACCTAAAGCTGTTGTCTGCTTCAATGAAGTAAACTACATGTTCTTTTTCCCCAGAGGAGAAAACAGCAGCTTGAGGTTGGGGATGGGGGATTTAATTTAGTTGATATGAAAGGAAAGTGGGTTTAGCACTGTCCTCCAGCCCCACAGCTCCCATCAAATTTGGAGTTCTCAGCCACTCTGCCTTAAAATAAAAATACAAATGTCAGGAAATGCTTGTGCTGATCTTCTGCATCTTAAATAGTTTGGTCCCAAGTAAATACTCATTGGGTATTATGTCTCTCAGGAACTAGGGGAAATGAGTTCTTTCCCCCAACAAGTGATGTTGGACTGCCAGCTGAAATACCAGGTGGCGTAATAGTTAGAATGATGGCCTTTAACACCCAAAGCACATTACTTCCCCCAAAGAATTCTGGGAACTGTAGTTTCCCCAACGAAAGAGCTACAGTTCCAGCAGCTTTAACAAACTGCAGCTCCTACGATTCTTTGGAGGCAGTCATGTGCTTTAAAAGTGCTTGAAATGGATGGTGTAGATCTGCCCTTGATCTGGGAAACTTTAGCTCTGATCCCTGATCAAGCCATAAGGCTAGCTGCAGGACCTTCGACCTGTTGCTATCACTCACACCCTAACCTACAATACAGGGCTGTTGTGAATTTAAACAGAGTAGTCCCATCCAGGGTTGCCACTCTGAGCTGATAGGAAGAAGGATAGGATTTACACATGTGGAGCTGCAGCAGCAGACTGGCAGCCAGACAGTGATTGAAATGCCCCTGGACATGAGAAAATAAAGATAAGACTCCATATAAGCAATGATCATAGTAGATGGGTCCCTTTGCTTTTGAAGCTTGTTGTAGCCCTCCTCACCTCTCCCTTTCAGTATCAAAGAGCCAGAGAATCGACTGGAGCATCTTCGGGACACTTGCAGCCGTCTCCCCAAGGACAACTACAACAACATGAGGTGTGGCACACCTGTTAGTATTTAGGGGCTTTAAGATGGAGCTTGGTAGGTGGCGCTTATACCATCAGTGTCTCTCGGTGCTGGAAAAGCCTGCTGCATTTCTGTTGTTACTCAACAGACAGGCAAAAGAGCCCCACCTGAAATGTCAAGACAGTGGTTTTCCTGGTTTTCACTACAGTACTTGCCTTTTCCCAACAGGTATCTGATTCGTTTTTTAGCCAAGCTGGCTGAACAGCAGGAAGTGAATAAGATGACCCCCAGCAACATTGCCATTGTCCTAGGGCCCAACCTGTTGTGGCCCCAACAGACTGAAGGGTAACTGTATAAAACTGCCAGAATACATTCTCCGCTGGGGTATAGGGGAGGGGAAGTGAGGGGCAGATGGGGTTCGTCAACCAGGGAAGGTAGCCCATCTAGGAGAAGGAAAACTCTGATCCTAAACCTCCGCTGCCTTGCGGGACATCTTCGGGAGAAGAAAAGGCTGAGGAGTAAACCCAACACAAATCCAGACTGGAGTCCCCAAGGCAGTTGGATGGCGCCTTGTAGGCCTCTCCGGCAACACCTGCAGCCAAGCTCATGCCAAACATATTGCTCTGCTTTCCTTTGGACCGCATCAGTGAGTCCAGGGTGTGTGTGTGTGTGTGTGTGTGTGTGCGTGTGTTATTGTCTGGGTAACCCAGGACCTCCATACACATTGCCCAGGCTTGCACTCTGGGGAGGTCACTTTGGCAGCAGTTTTACTTCAACCCTGGAGGCACACTCCATTGTCTCTTGTGACAGACAGATGCCAACAACATCATTCTCCACTTTTTGGTTTAGCATGTATTCACTAATTGAACTCTTTAGACATATACATGTATCAGTTGTAATTGAGAATGGTGCTGTGTACACCCACCAGAGCCTTATCGTACCAAGAATTCCAGAGGCCATCCAAGGCAGCTTATCCAAAACTTGAAAATGTCTAGAATACATGTGGAGAACTGCTGACCCTCAGGTCTAATTAGGCCCCACAGGCTTTCCCATTTGGTCCATGGTGCTGTTTTTACTAAGCCCAGCCTACCTGCCCCATGCCAGAAGTCACACCTGTCCCCAGTTATGGGACAGTAAAAAGACGTGGCAAAGTGGGGTTTGCAGACACTGCCAATCAGCTGACCAGCAGTGCCTGCAAACTCCTGCCTGACAGCACGCCTTCAAAGTCTGTTTGCAGACTATGTTTCAAATCACATATGCAAAGAGACATTTTCCCTCCCTGTTTGCAAGACTGGTTTGAATGCAAACAGGTCCTTTGATGGTTAGCTGTCAGTGTCAATCACTAGGTTGGCTCTAAGAGTGAGCTCCTTTTAAGCTGTCCCCTGGCATTATTATGTATAGACCTCAGGTGATTAACCAGTAGATGGACTTGTGGGAGAGGGGGGAGGTAAGGATCCCTTCCATCAGCCAGATCCAGTTTCTCCCCTGTGATCTCAAAGGTGACATTTACCTTGTCACTACAACAGACTGATAGGAGAAGTCCAACCTGTGGAATGTCTGCTTTCCTCTGAGGTTCTGGGAAAAACTGAAGACTTGTCCCAGATAGGATGTGGCAAGCCTAGAAGTAACTTTCAGTTATGTTATGTCCTTTCCTTCTCCTCAAATGGAGGAAAAAACAGGTTGTGATGCCCTAACAGAAGGGAAAACACTCTGTCTGGTTCCTCCGTGAATTTTAAAGAGCTAATATCTTAATTAAAACAGTCCTAGATTTGTCACCTCTAGCCTTTAAAAAGCCTTGTATAACTTTTATGAGCTGCACGGAAAGAGGAATTTCACTGACTTCACTCTCTCCCATCAGAAACTGTAGAGGAAAAGTTAGGATAAACAGCCTTTGCTTAACATAGATCTTGTTGCTGTCTCCCCCAGGTGCCAGGTGCAACTAGATATGGCTTCTGTATCCTCCATCCAAGTTGTGGGAGTTGTGGAACCCCTGATACAAAATGCTGACATCCTCTTCCCAGGAGGTAGTCCATCATCTGTTGGCCTGAATTTTTCTTTACCCTGGTGAGGAGCTGCATTACAGCTTCCATCATCCCTGACCACTGGCTGACCATGATGGTGGGAGCTGGAGTCCAGCAACATCCAGAGGGTCACGGGTTCCTTGTCCCTGCCCTCATAGAACTGGCCAAGTCTAGGAATACAATTATATGATCTTAACCCCTTCATGCATTAACTTGCCCTCAGCTTGGTGGTTATGTTTGACTGCAATCCCACCAAAAATACATAAATAACCACCTAGTTATAAGGAACTCTTGGCCAGGGCATCTCCTGTTGTCTATGAGCGAACCGCATCTCCTGGATCATAAAGATCATGAGCCATAAGAGATGGAAGATAGCAAAAATTGAAATTCCTCCTGCAAGGGAAGACTACAACATTTCATAATGGGTATGATTCAGTACTTCAGATCGTCTCAATAACTTTGTCTTTCTCCCTTTTTTTAAAGATATTGACTTTGATGTATCTGGCCTGTTCACTCCCCCATCAGACATTAAAGATAGAGATGTCTCCGCAGCAGAAGAACCCGCATCTTTGCTTCTCTCTGCTGAACCAGCTTCACCACGGCCCGGAGAAAGGCAAGTAGTATAAGCATATGTTTTGTCACAGTTTTTCCTGGAACTGTGAGATACGTTTGTTTATATAGAGCCACCCAGGCACAAAGTGCTTTACAAAGATCTGGCAGGTCTCTACTTCAAGGAGCTACAATTCTATGATATAGAAGCAGCTTTAGTAACACAACGAAGCATTAATCATGCTCTGGCTCCAACCTGTCAATGCCCTACCCTCTGCTAGATTTAGTAAGCCAGGAGGGACAGGGGTCAAGAAGGCATGCGGTTGGGCATATAGCTCTTGAAACACACAGCCCATCTAGCCTGGTGCTAGACTGAGTACCCAGGTGGACACAGCTGAGTTTGGTTGGAGCCATTCAGCTCACCCAACCAAGTCTTAATAATACATGCCAACCCCTTCATTCATGATCAAGCTGTAGATGAGCATCGTCTTATTATGGATTGACATGGCATCCAGTAACAGCACCACCAAACTAGAGGGCTCAACATAAAGAGAAGCCTATAGTGGGAGAGTTTGCTCAGCTGCTCAAATCCGTTTGAGAAATCCAGCCTACACACACACACTCGTGTCTTTTTTAGCCAAGAGATCAGACTACAAACAGCTTACAAGCCTTTTACCAACTGACAGGAAAAATTTTGAGGCGACCCCTGGAACAGTACTCTCAAAGGTGACCCAACCTTCTACTGAAGCTGCAGTCTCTTTGCCTACTCCTGTTCCTGCTGAGGATGCTTCGAGGAAGTGTAAGTCTTGTTCTTATGGGTGCTTCTGTAGGAACTGTTTGCTCCAGAATAAGCTCTGTCAGCCTGTGCAGCTCTTCTGGGGAATCCAGATGACATTGCTCTCAAACTGTATTTGTGTGCTCTCCCCCTGCCAGGCCCCCACACACACTTGGCATCAAATGTGATTGCAGCACTATCCTTACACTAGTGGAGCTCCTTTTTGCAGGAGAATATTCTGTGAAACAAGTAGTATCATTGCCTGGGGACTGGGTGCTTCCAGGTGGGTGGTGATTTAGGAATGGGCACTGCTCATGCATTCTAGGGTGCTTCCAGACAGGGGTTTAATTTGCAGGCACACCATTGGCAACAAGCTTTTTTACTTATTGGGTTTTCCCTGGAAAGGGTAAATTTGATTCCCGGTGGTGCTAATGATGTCATGTGGACCCACTGCAAAAAAAACCTTGCATGCATGAAGAGACTCCATCGCCTAATAAACCCACATCTGGAAGCAATCTGATTTTTTTTAACATAGTCCACACAACAGTTGTAGGAATAAAAAATGCCAGTTCATATTTCCCCCCATTAAATCCAAATTGCCCTTTCCCAGGAAAAATCTGTGATTTGTGATCTCTGATTGACCCATTTGCAATATTGACCACCCCCACTTGAAGCACCCAGTCTCTTCTTCCACACCTTACTTTTTCCACACCTTAACACATTGCATTGCTTGTTAGCATATCTGTCATTTGCTTTCCTGCAACATGGTCCCTTCCACCATTAACATTTTCCCACTTTTTTTCCTTTGGCACAGAAGAGCAATAGCTCTTCAAAACATATAAATCATAATGTTTTATTATGAATGTGTTAAACAATGATTGAAAATCTGCACAGCTTACAAAGCCTTTTCCCTACTGTCAGGAAACTTGTGATTCTAGATGACAAACTTTTGCAACAGTGATTAATTGTTGTAGCTCTTTTTGTCAACGTGGTTGGAAACAATGGCTGCTTACATCACAAGTTTGTAGTGCAGTTGGGGATAGCCGGACATAATAAGTTTCAATAAACTTTTCAGGTTGTAGTTATGCTTTGCACCATTTTAATCTACTTCTTTTTCATAATCATCACCATTATTGTGAAGAGCTACATTGTGCAGTGGAACTCTTGTGCATGGCTTGCTCCTGTAGCAATGTACCAGAGTTGAGATCCAGCCACCAGTGTTGTGCCTTTTGTTTATGCCAGGGATGGGGAAGGTATTGGACTCCCATCAGCCACAGCCAGCCTCACCAATAGCCAGGGACAATGGGAGATGGAGAGCCACAGCTTCTCCCATTGCCAAATTATGCATTTGTGATGTGGATGGGAATGCTGTTAGTGGAGGAAATAACTCACCGTGTGGATCCACAGTTTCCACATTCAGGCGACCAGAGAAAAGCATTATTTGTGCAATGTTGCAAGGCCGTAGTGTGGAAGCAGGCTGTGCCTCTGGATTTCTGTTGCCTGCACAAGTGGTTTGGGGGCTAGGGACTTGATCTACGGCCTGCTTGTAAGGAAATCATAGCTTTTCAGAGGAATTGGAGAGAATCCTTAGAAGGGAATCTTAATTCCAAACTTGCAAAAATACACTTGAGGACAAGCACTGGTAGGAGAAGAAATGTGGAGGGGTGTGAGGTGCAGAGCTGCTGTGCAGAGAGACCATATAGATAACAGGTGACATCCGCAAGGCAAAAATTCTCAGAACCTGGATTTTGTTTCATTGTTTTGCTTTGCAGCAAAGCGAGTTGCTCCACCCCGACCCACGGTGCCTCCGCCCATAGCCCAGCCTCGAACCCCACCTCCTGTGCAGCTTCAGACCCAGCCTCCTGCACCAGACTCTCCTTCTCTCCCTAAAGCAATGCCTCGAAGAACCGTCGGAGGAAGCGTGCGAGCTCCCTCTGTCCCTCCACCACTTCCACCCCAGCCAGTCAGGCGTCAGAGTCGCAATGCGTCCCCATCCCCGAAGCCTCCTTCAGAAAGCAGGACCAACGAGGCAGATGAAGCACCTCTTTCTCTTCCTGGCGACAGCAGCATAGAAACATCCAAGGAATCCCTCCCTGTGACAATGGGGCCCAGTGAACCCCCACCTGTAGAAAGAAGCAGCTCTCCATCTGCACCGGATCTGGAGGTTGATGCTCAGGAAAATAATGAAGAAGGAGCTGCAGCGTAAGGAAGGAAAAGGTGCATGATCAGGTGTGACCCTGGGCACATCACACAAAGCTCTTGTGGGGACATAGAGGTGCCATATTGACATCTGTCATTATTGTGGCTTGGAAACCAGCACTCGCGTCTGCAACCTCAAAAGCAATCTCTCTTCTTCCATGTGCCTCTGCTTCTTGCTGCCTTTTCCACTATTCATGAATGGCTCTTTTCCTACTTTGTATTATTTTGAACTCTCCTCCTGGTACTCCTCTGACCTTTCCCAAGCAGCATTCAGATGCAAAGCCAGAGACATTTAAAAAAAAATCCTTCCAGCATGTAGTTAAGTTGCACTGTATAACCTTGTTCTTGATGCAATAGTTCATTCCAAGCTGAGAGCATTCAAACATATGATTCACTTCCCCCCACTGCTGTGTGATGTGGTACCGTCCAGAATTCTTCCTTTCCGTCTAATGCTCCATTCTGTATAATGTGCAGATCTGCTTTTTTGTGCTTCTAATGTCTTTGCTTTTTTTCCCCCCTTGAAGAGAATTCAGAACCTCAACAAATCCTAACAGGGTGTGTCCACTTGATTCCAGTTGCCCTACATCCCACCTTAGCTCAGTCTCAGGGATTATTCTGTCCTTTTACAGTGATTGCTAGGGATGTGATTGGTAGAGAGGGTGGGCCATTTGAAAATCAACCCTATGTATATCCAGGTTATGTGCGATATTTTTAGTTATTTTTTATAAGGGCAGCAGGTGCAGCACAATAAAAATCAAAAGTGCAGGCCAAAACACAATTGTCAGCTGTGGACTCCAAAAAGGATCTTGGACCTTGAAGAACTAATGGAACTAATTTTACGTGCAGCTTTTCGCATCATAGAACTGTAGTAACGCTAGAAGCTGTCACCAATAGACTCCTCCTTTTGGCCGCTCTTTAAAGGTAGAGGCTTGATCCTAGTTACAGTCAGTGTATGTATTCTCACTGTGGAGAGCCTAGATTCAGGGCTTGTTCACGTATGCACGCACATCGCTTTGTTTCTCTATGCAATTATTGGCAGATAAATGTGTGAGCACCATAACTAACGCCCATTTTGTTTGAGCTGATCTGAAAATTTGTCTGGACTTTGCCACACAATACCACAATCGCACATGCAAGTATTCAAGTGCAAATGTGTATTTGAACCACTCCTGAGTTTGAAGATGGATGAGTGAAGGATAGTGGACTTCCCACCTTATATTCTGGATGAGCTTTTTGCTGCAGGCACACCTGCCCTGCAACCTTTAACCTTGGCTTCTCCAAGAAAGTGTATAGCAGTAGTTATGTAATAAGACTTTGAAAGAGATGTGTAGTACCCCATTTAAGGAACTACAGTTCTCAGGATCTTTTGGGAGAGGACAATTAAGCTCATTTACATTTGCAATGCAGACATGACCTAATAAACTCTTCACATGGGTTTCCTTAGTGACCACTTATTTTTATACATAGCTGGTAAATTATTTTTTAACTGTACGGTCATATTTATGGCTGAGAGAAGGAGCACGTTCCTTCATTTTTTAAAGAATGTGTCTGCTTTGCTTGTGTCAGAGATAAACTGAACTCCTGGATAGTTCTTGAGAAAATCCTGCAAAATGACAAGAGTGCTCTGTGGCATCTTAAGGTTTTAATAAATATATTGCAGCATGCATTTTCATGGTCCAGAGTCCTATTCACCAGATGCAATTTATTAAATACAGTATTTTTATTGCTTTTTGTCTTTAGAGATTTGCAGCTCTTTCTCTTGCCTTCACACAAAAGAGTTTTGTTTGTATCATCAAATACTGTAGAGTCTCTTACTATTGTCGTGTGTTGCTTTAAATGTATACGGCATAAGCTTTCGTGGGATAAAGTCAACTTCATAAGATGCTTCTCATGGAGTAGACTTCAGCTTTGGGGATGATTGCCATACTTTTTAGCCTTCAAGGTGACCACAAGTCTCTTCATAGTTTTTTCTACAGCAAGCTGACGGAGGTACTAACCCTCTGCAAATTCCCACAATAGCATTACTTCTGTTGTGCAAAAAACCAGGAATATTTGCCTTCTTTGATGGTGCAATTCCCCATTATTTCTCTGAAATTTAAAAACACTGAATCTTCTACAATGCAAATCATATTGGCACTTGTGGGAGAGGTATCCCCCCCCCCATATTCACTGAGCAGAGATGTGTCACCTTTCTGCAGAGAAGAGAGCACCAGAGTCTTACAATGATGACTCCGTTAAAATAAATTTATTTATAAATTGATAGGACAAAAAGGACACACACCACTGCAGGTGTTGCTAGTTGCAGAACCCAGCAAACCACGAGCAAGCACACAGCTGTTTCTGTGTATAAATAATCCAGTCAGCTCACTCACCAAGCTGCAGTCATGTGCACGCTTTTCCAGAAAATCACTTTGCATTCTGTCACACGATAAAGGCAAACAGGGTGAAGGGCATTCTGCACAAAATTATTGTCCACATGATCAATCTGAATGGATCTCAGGGGTGCAGGGGGAGGGGAGGGACAGGGACAAGGAAGCAGTTCCCACACTGCATGCATTCAAGATTTAACTTTGTGCTATGTTGTTTAGATATACGGGAAGATCAGCTAAGATTTGGATTTTTTGAGAGTCCAGATGAAACCAGTGGTTAATAACAGAATTTGTAAATCAAGCTGCAATCTTATACGGCAAGGATAGGAAAACTCCAGGGCCAAGGCTGACTATGGTCCTTGGGGACACGCCCCAAAAGACACCCCCACCAACCCTCTTTAATGCTTTCGCCTAGCTGGAATGTATAGTTGAAATGTGAATAATGCATCTTTTCTGTCTGTATGAAAGGTGTGTGTGTGTGTGTGTGTGTGTGTGTGTGTGTGTGTGTGTAGCTAGGAATTGCTGGCTTTTGTGTGGCTAGAACCCGTGGCATGTGATTCTCCTAAGGGACTGCAGCCCTCTGGCTGAAAAAAAGTTCACCACCCCAGCTATACTCTCTTACCTAGTAGTAAGTCTCATTTAATTCAAGAAGTTAAGTACTTCAGACATGAATATGATTGTATTCTCAATGTTGCTAACTTCTCTTTAGTGCTCCGAACAGACAAGATCTATTGTGCTTGGTTTTCATTAAATCTCCATAAATTACAGACCCAAGAGTGGTTGGCCAGGATCATGTTTTATTTATCCTTAATGCTGCTACTTTAGATATAGTCATGCTTATTCAATTGCAGCTGGATAAAATTCAGATGCCCTCTTAATAGGAGCAGTGAATCTGTTTTATGGTGGAGGCTTCATTTCCCGATATCTCAATTTGTGGTGGGACCACTTGTCAGCCATAGGCAGGGTGAGTAGATGGATCAATTCCTTTTCTTCCACCCAGCTGCTAGTGAAAAGCCATTTATTTGTCTTTTGCTTATAGAGGGCGAAAGCCAGGTAGGCATCCACAGGACTTCAGTTCTGCCAGGAGAAGGACGAAGGGGAAGTTCTGAAGGACCTCGCAGCCACCCCTCGACTTGAGCCCATGCCACACTTCTCAGGCACATTCCTGAAGTGTAGGCAGGTTCCCACAAGGCAAGACGCAGTGATGACAGCAAGAACCTTTATTGAACTACATAACTGGGGAACAGGGGTAAAGCAGCTGCTTATATACATTCCTGAAAGTCTGGGCCACTCCCACTCACAACATGATTGGCCGTCTAAACTTCCAAGCTGCGAATCATGACTCAAGAGTTCAAGGACCAATGGCAGAGGCCCAAATCCTGAAGTGGACATCATGTATTGAATCAGAACACAGGAGCTCAGATTCCTCTGTCCAGACTCAAGCTCAGGCAAACACAGACCACAGAATACATAACAGTTCCATTTCCCTATAACCCTGAGAACTGTAGTTCATTAAATCTACTGGGAATTGGCACTCTGTGAAGGGTAAACTACAGTTCCCGGGGTTATTTGGTGCCAGTTGCTGTAAAAGACCGCTGTAAAACAGTGTGTAAGCAAGCGTCCACAAGGCCTTTCCAAGACAGTCATTGGCTGGCCTTTTTTTTTGCTCCGCCTTCTTTTTTCATTCTGAAACCGCCAATTGGCGTCAACACCCGCCTCTCATTCTTTCCCCGCCCACCCAGGTTTGTTTACCATCTGATATATATTTTTTTTAATAGTCTACTTCCTTTTTCTTTTTTAGTCCCGCCTCCACTCTTTAATTACGATAGGTAGATAAGGCTGTGACGCCCACTTTTCGCTAACGCTGTTGTTTCCGTTCGCCGTATTTTATAGGCTACTAACCTCTATTCTTCTACCTGATAGGCTTACAGCGGCTGTCACTTTGCTCCGGGCCTCCATACCGCTTTTTTCCCATAGGCTACGGCGGGAGGGGGCGGGCTTTTCAAGTCCTCGGTTCCATCCTTTCCCCCCCGCCCACTCTGGATCCGCTTCCCTTCCCAAAAACTGTAACGGGTTGCCATGGCAACACAGTCCCCGTCCTCCCCGCCCCGCCCCTATCACCATGGCTGGTAACATCCGCCTCGCCCCTCGGACCTGCCAGTCACGGGTCTTCCTGCAACGCGGTTGGCCGCTGAGCCGAGGCCCGCTTCTGTTTCGCCCGACGCGCCTGGTCGCCGAGCCCCTCGATTGGTACTCTTCCGCCGCCGCCTCCCCTCCGTCCGTCATGGCGGCGCCGCGCTCCTGATTGGCCCGGGCGGGAGCAGAGGAGGCGGAGGAAGAGGCGGTGCGGGGGTGGCGGTGGCGGCGGTGAGAGCGGCCGGTCCCAGCATGGCGGGCTGCAGGCGGCTGAGCGGCTCGTGCCTGCGCGAGGTGCTGGGCGAGGCGCAGGGCGTCCTCTTCGACTGCGACGGGGTCCTGTGGACAGGCGAGCGGGCGGTGCCCGGCGCCCCGGAGCTGCTGGAGCGCCTCAGCCGCAACGGCAAGGCCGCCCTCTTCGTCTCCAACAACAGCCGCCGCTCGGTGCCCGAGCTGGAGCGCCGCTTCTCCCGCCTGGGCTTCCGCGGCGTCCGCGCCGAGCAGGTCTTCAGCTCCGCGCTCTGCTCCGCGCTCTACCTCCGGCAGCGCCTGCTGGGCGGCGAGAGCGGCTCCGGAGACTCGCCCCCCACCGGCTGCGTCTTCGTGCTGGGCGGGGAAGGGCTGCGCGGGGAGCTGCGGGACGCCGGGCTGCGCCTGGCGGGCGAAGGAGGCGGCGGAGACGACGACGAGGAGGACCCGGCCGGCCACGAGAGGCTCCCGGTGCGCGCCGTCGTCGTCGGCTACGACGACCAGTTCACGTTCGCCAAGCTGACCGAGGCCTGCGCCTACCTGCGAGACCCGCAGTGCCTGCTGGTGGCCACCGACCCGGACCCTTGGCACCCGCTGAGCAGCGGGCAGCGCACCCCGGGTGAGTGACGGGGAGCGGGGCTCCAACACGGAGCCTCTGCGGCGCCTGGTGGTAGCAGGAGGGATGGGTTCCTGAGCATGAGCAGAGCTCCCTTTCCCGTCATGGCCGAGGGACGGTAGTTTGCCCTGTTCCCTCCCCTCCGCCCGCGCTTTCCTTAGCTTTGGAGTGGGATTTCCAAACCGACAGGACAAGGAGCCCAGGGTTTTTTAAGTAAGGTCTGGAACCTCAGCTGGCGAACTTTAGGGTGTGCCCTGGGTTCAGATGGCAAGCACTTGTGACTGGTAAGGGACGCCTCAAAAATCTTAGAATTGAGGTAGTGCTTCTTAAGCCTTATGGGGCTTGTTCCCATGTTGCTGTGGTTCAAACGGAACAATACGCTGTCTCACTTGTAGTATTTTTACCATAGATGCTAAAGCTGAGGCTGAACTCTTATGGCTTACTTAGACACCTCGTGAGTTGAGCTAGGGTTTGAATCTAAGTCCATAGACCACCCTTCTTGGGTCAAGGGTTAAGGATGGTTCTCCAAAAGGGTCAGGTGTCCTTTTTCCTAAAATACCAGTTAAAGGAACACTACCCTTGTGTCCCACTGCTGGCATCTGTGGAGCCTCTTAGGAGCATCCTGGACTAAGGATAGTATTCCCTTCTGGGTCTGGGAGGAACTCCTGGCCGTGTATTATGTCGTCAGTGGTCAAGCACTATTAGTCTGAGAGCCCATTCCTGTATCCTGCTCATCGGATGGTAAAATACAATGTCTGCCAAGTATGGGGTCCTGTAAAGCTATGTGATACGTGGCACATCCCAGGTACCTATATTCTTGGTAGGCTGTTTGGGTTGCTAGCTAGATCTGCAGTATTATGGTGCCTTACATTAATCAGTATTGTGAGTTAGCCATGCAGTTTCTCAAACCATCATGAGTAGCCATCCACTTTCCTTCACCTGTGCATCAGGCTCTGTGTGACAGTGCAGGCCGTCTTTTCTCAGGTCTTTTCTGTATCTTGGGGAATCCCAAACCTAGAATCTATTAAGCATTGTAAGGGAACTAAAAAAAAAAGTGCTACAATTCCATTAGTTGGCTTCAGGTTCCTGATTTTATTTCCCCAGACTTCCTAGTGCCACACTTGTGAGGCAGCTGACATGTCTGTTCATTCTTTATTTGGAAATATTCACTGTTAACTTCAACAGTATCCCAAATGTGACCAGTTTACATCCCACTTTGTGCCAGTGCTAATCAATCAAAGGAGAAGCTTACTGGTAGTCATACAGGACAATGTGGAAGTTACATGACACAATGAAAGGAAATTCAAATATCTAGCCTAATGCTAGAAATGTGTTCTTTCCATGAACTAACACACCAGCAGGGGGTGGAGTAGAATTTCTTTTCATCAAGGCCTTGGAGCCAGCTCTCTCATCCTGGATAGAGTTTGTGCTTTTATCCTTGGACTAGGATTTAAGTTCTCGGACTAGGGTTTAAGATGTGCAGCAGCCTTGTAATAAGCCCACAAAAGTTACTATCCTGCTGAAGACTCTCAAAGGAGAGATAAAGAGCTCTGTCCTTCCTCCACCAGCTCACTGCATTTCTATCCTGGGGATGGAGGTGGGACCTTCCCTTGTCTTGCAGTCTGCTTGGTTTTTATGTCTGGCACATAGGAGGGATGGAGTGCTATGCCTCTCCTTCACCTTTCTGCTAGATCACATGCATTCAATTCCTTGTTGCATTTGGCTACCAAGCAAGTGCTTATCTCCAACACTGAGGCTGAGGTCATAGTGTGTTGGGCTGCACAGGTTGACTGCAGGTGGGGACTGCATGGTTGAATTCTCCTCCATGCAATTGGAGGAGCATTCAGTGATGCATGTCCCCGTCTCCTAAAGGGTATTATCAGTTGCAGAGTTACCACCTCATTGAGACAACTATGCCTGTTCAGTCTCACCATTTGGAGGCTTAAAAAGTTGCTCTTTTGCACATCCTTTGTCAACCCAATCTAGCTTGATTGCATAAATATGTAGGCTATGCTTAAGTTGCTTAATGAATTGGAGACCAATCTTTTCACATGAGGGTGTCTTATTGTCTTTTCTCTCTCAGGAACAGGGAGCCTCACTGCTGCAGTTGAAACAGCATCTGGGCGCAAGGCAATGGTAATTGGGAAGCCCAACACGTATATGTTTGAGTGCATTGTGGAGCGCTTTGGTGTGGATCCGTCCCGCATGCTCATGGTGGGTGACCGGCTGGAGACAGATATCCTGTTTGGCAAGAACTGTGGCCTTGAAACGGTCTTGACCCTGACGGGCGTCTCAAACCTAGAGGAGGCACAGGCATACATGGCCAGCGACAGCCCTGCTGCAAAGGACCTGGTGCCTCATTATTATGTGGACAGTATTGCAGACTTAATACCCGGCCTGGATGAGTAAGGGGAGATGTGGGTGGGCAGAGTTCCTAGTCCCATTCCTGATTGCCGCCCGTTCCTACTTCTGCTCCCTCTCTCCTTGATTCTGGGCTCATCACATTCCAGTGTTTCTTCAAGAATGAAGAGAGGGGTGTTAGTTCATTATTTGAGGTCCTTTTGTTTTACTTTAGCCAGCTATAAGGGAACAGAGAATCTTATGTGAAAGTGGGTTATTTATAGGCCGAACCATTATTTATTTATTTCCCCCTCCTCTTGGCATGAAGTAGTTATTTATTTAAATTATCTTGGTTTTACTGTTGCCACTAGTGGCCTTCTTACTGTTGTCCTCAGCTTTTTTTTCTTTTCTTTGAAGCACAGCAATGTGCTTGCTGTAATGTTTGCTGTTCCCAAGCTTGAATGAAGCAACGTTTGTACCGGTACTATTTATCTCTCTTCTATAGCCACTGTCATTCCATGCTAGTGTTGGGGTAGCGGGGTTTATCCCAGAACTCTTGCTGTGAAAAGGGGAGCATTCAAAATCCAGTTCAGAAGTAACACAGTGCTTCTACAGAACAGCTCTTCGGGGGAAATAATTCCTGTGGGTGTATATACAAGCTTATCATAACACTACAACTTGCTCTGAAGTGATAAGGGCTGAGGGTAGGTTTCTGATGGATGTTACATGTTTGATCCACTCAAACTTTGTCTGGCATTTTCATCCACAGGAATTACTCCAAAAGGGCTGTGTTGTGCAGGTGCCAGCTAGCTCAGTCAGAAAGCACATGTGTGGTAAATCTGGAATATGTAAAACTCTTTTAACTGTGAATTAAATATGAAAGTGGTTTTTTTTCTGTCTTGAGAGTTTTCTCAGGTGACAGAATTTTTATCACTCCAGTTTAATTTTGGGATTGCTGCTGTAAGGAATGAAATGCACAGAACAATTTTTTGTGCCCATGAAGTTCTGAATTGGCTGTCACTTCGTCTTGGTAATCCTTCAGTAATAACAGCCTCCAGATATTCCTGCCTGTATTGAGGTAGGAACCCAATGTGTTTTCCCCCACCCCCTTCTCTCTGACTGGGTGGACCAATGAAACATGTCAGTAAATTAATTCACTCCTGTCTGTGCCTGATAGGATTCACCACTCTCCTGGGTGGGGGGTGAACCTTGGTCCGCCCTCTGACCTGCTGTGGTGTTCTTTGATTTGTGGGATAGCGTTGGCATTTCCAGTGCTGTCAATGTGCCACAGCATCCCAAAATAAGTCCTTGCTTGTCTTTTTATGGTTTATTATGTATTTATTAAAGTGTTTGTATAAATTATGCTGATGAGTTGTGCCAAAGTGGGTATGTAGCCTCTGGGCCCACTCACTTACCTGTACCTCCATGTTGTTGTGGTTCTCTGACATTCGCTGTCATTCTGCACATAATAAAATGCAGGCACAAGATGGAATCTGGCTTTTTCCCCCATTAATCTACTCAGTGGGCATGCTGGAAATATCTCAAATCAGGGATAGCTGTGTATAATGACTGAATAAATTAGTTGATTATCTTAATACACATTATCTTTTCAAACTGGGGGAGGGGGGAGAAGGTGCTGAAATTGGACACAACTTCTTACCAAGCAAGGGTGTACTTGCTGATGAGCCCTGTTTCATTTTAGAAATGCAAATAATCTGCCTGACATAATATCTGAGAAGCTGAATTGAGGCAAATACAAAACATCACTCAAGTTTTAGAGTCAGTGTGAACTGGAAGGTGGTTTGTTTGTTCTTTGGTAGTGAAGCCCTTCCAAGACTTGCTGTGACTTTGCTTAGATTCTTGATGTGTGTTAACTTACAGCTCTTCCTGATTTCTAATTAAAATTCCTTCCAGACAATATCCAAATGTTAAGAAATGAAGTCTGGGCCAAGTGAACTTGGTGACAAAGTGCAACTCTGGAGAGCGCATTCAGTCCCGTTCAGTTGCTTGAAAGTGTCCTGCATGGGTGTTTACCAGAAAAAATGGAAGAAGAATTGAACTCTTCAGCTTTGAAAGCTTTAGGAGAAACAGTAATTCTACAGAGGTTTATCCCTAATCAATGGAGCAAATCTGCTATATTTCATGAGAGGATACACATTTTTTAAAACCTTAATCATGAAGCCAAAGGGTACCTTGTAATACACAAAAATCCATTACTTGATACTTCATGAGACTCATTAAAAGCCAGACCAAACTAGGTCATAAAAATATTTTGTTTTGAGTCTGATCCAAGAACTATATAATTGTTGAGCAGCTACTGAGTTCATATGTAGAAGAAAGTGCCAAAGAGGAAGGTGAGCAGAGAAGTTGTGTCAGATGAACTGAAAGATCGCTTGGCAATCTTTCAGTTCATCTGAAAGCCATTCAGTTCAAGCCTAAGCTCTGAAATTCAGGCTTGCGTCACAACAGTTATGGATCTATTTTCCCAATCACTGAGATCATTGAGGTGTGCTGTTCCACTGTGTTAGATGCTTCAGTTCTGAAAAAGCCCTTGACTGATGGGGAGAAAGAGAGGTCTCCCCGTCTGAGCTTGGGGCTTGGGCAGGTTCAGAGAACAGGTGATTCAGTACATCTTTCTGTACACTGCTGTTGTGGGTGTTTGCAGCCTCTTTTTGCATCCCTGGTCCACAAACACTACCATCCTTTTACCCCGATGTTGCTGGATTCTGACTCCCACGATCCCTGCCCATTGGCCAGGCTTGCTGGAGCTGATGGGAGTTGGAGGCCAGCAACATCTGGAGGGACACAGGTGCCCCATTCCTGCTTTGCTCTTATTTGCAAAACAAAACCCACCTATGGGATACCTCTTTCAACTCAAGTCTAAATATCACCAGAGCAAGCTTGTTTGCTCTTATTAAATTCATCTTTCATATGTCCTTTCACGATGGGGAAACAGGATGAAGACTTGACCTTTTAGTTCAGCTCTTTTGAGGTACTACAGAGCCTGTAGCTAATTTTGTCAGAGCTGGGAGATGCTGCATTTAAGCCAGTCCCAAGGGCAATGAGTAAGTTAGCTGCTGCTCTTGCCCAGCTGTTCTGGTCATGCTTTAGAGATATAGCACACATTGTTTCACCACAACAGCCTTGAAAAGTGAGGAGTGGTGCGCAGAAAACAGGAGGGCATGGTATGTTACAGGTGATTATTCATTTTCCTTGGACTTCACTGTACATATAACATGATGAGCCTGGCAACACAGCTGTGGCTCCCTTGCCCCTCAAGACAGCATAATCTGACTAGGATGATGGGAACTGTAGTCTTTCATGGGTTCCCCATCCCAGCCCTACAAGAGTCAAGCGGACGGACGTTCCTGGTCCGAATGAAATTCCCTTGGTAACAAAATGGTATGTATTATCCTGTGTGTTTGCTGTGCAAAACTATAGTTGTGCTGTAACGTGCTGCATTTTTTAAAATGTTGCTCTAATTGTGGTTATAAACATAGGGTGATGAATAGGCAAGAAGCTGTCATTATCTGGCTTCTGTGGGTGGATGTAGAGTGATCTTCAGTGGAATATTTGTCTTACTATCCAGGGTTACGAAATAAAGAAGTCCAAGTAACAATGAGATAATAAGAGAGAGATTAAACTCAACTATGGATAATAAGGCATTGCAGGTTTATTCACACAATCAGATTAAAGCATCCATCCCTGCATGTTGCATTGCGGGAACTTACCTGCTTCAGAAGTGAAAGCCTGGTAAATGTGGAAGTAAAGTACTGTAATGGATTGGAGGGTAGTTTTGTTCTGAGAGGGTTGCTGCTGAAAACCTGTCCCTTTCTTAATACCTGATGAATGGTGGTGCATTCTAGCTTATACATGGGCAGGGGAGAATCCTGGTAGCTATAGGGGAAAATGCATTTCCCCTGTTAGGTTTTGGGATATCTCCATTTCCTTGAAATGGAAGCACTTGAAGGGAGACAGTTTGATTCCCCACAACATTTGTTACACTTTAAAACTGTCAAGCTTGCCCAGTCCTGAAAGTCGTCGCAAGTACCAAACCTTTGAAATCAACATTTCATCCAGCAGAGGGCTCCCGAGTGCAGCAGCTGATGCAACGAACATTCGGCTTAAGGTGTCAGAATAGTTTGTTGTAAGATGTGCTGATTCCTTCCGTATGAAGCAAGTATATTCATTCAATAGATTCTATATTCCTACAATAAAAGTTAGCAACCAGTTGCCTTCTGTGGGGCATGAATTAAACTCTTCCCTTTCTCAGCCTTCTGAATTTCACAGGATTAGAGGGCAATGACATGGCCTCTTCTCTCATCCCATAATCTGCCCCACCCTGCCCTGGACACATACACCCAAGGCAGCAAGCGCTGGGCTGCCCCTTCCTCCTGTTCCCCACTAAGTGGTCTACTTGCCAAGTGAGAGTCCTAAAATAATCAAAACATGTACTGGCCACCAAAATGCAAACGGATGAGCAGGTCTATGCCTATTTAAACATTTACAAAGAACTCCTAAGGTACCAATTAAAGGGAGAAACAGAAAAGCTAACCATAGGAAAGCTTGGGGCTCAGCTTGAACCACAAGAAAGCAGAAGGAATAAGTGAGAGTCCTAAGTTCTGATTCACATACTCAAATAACATAGCTTTTACTACTGTAACTCTTTGGCTGCTAGTTAGCATAAGCTACTCCCATTCATTCTTTCCATGGAGTGATTCAGCTGTCTTCTCCAGGATCGGTGTATGCCCTTCAAGCACAAATTATGTTTGATCAAACTGGGATTCTATTTCTGCCCTTGCTAGTGTATTGTTATGAGCTTCTGGTTGGTGCCCTGAGTCCTTTCCCATTCTTGGGATCCTGTAGGGGTAGAATGTATGAGAGCAAGCTTGCCCAACCAGTCCCTTCGTCTAGGACTAGGTAAATTGCTTTGGGTGGCTAGCTAAGCACCACCATTAGCATAACCAAAGAAGTTGCTCTGTGCCATTGAACAAATTGGTGGACCTTCCCACACCTAGCTGCTAGGTATGAGAAGAGTAGCCAGAGTTGTGTGTGAGAGCTGGAAGCAGGCTGGAATCTGGAGATGCAGAGACATGCTTACTCTGTGCTGGATTGAAAGCTGCAATGAATGGAGGAGCAAGATCTTTTGGGGTGTTAATGCTGTGAGCACCTCCATCCTAAAGACACCAGGGTGCCTAGAACACCTGGAGTCTTTGATGCAAAACCTCAAGAAGTCTATACTTCCCAACTTTGCAACCTTTTAAAAGGAGGGCTTGATACTGTTTCTTTGTGAAGCATGGAGGCATTGGCAGTATTTTTCACTGGAATCCAGCAGTCTTGAGGTATTCTCCGCTGTACCTCACTATTGTTTTGTATTGTCTCCATGCCTAGGATGTGAGAACTTTTGCTCATTCTCTCACACAAAAATATCTCAACTGTATTGTTATTAATTCCATTTCTATACGGCTTTATATTTTTAAGGGGGGGGTCTCAAAGCAGTTTACAACACATTAAAACACAAAATAAAATAAGCCAGAATAAAACATTACAGAAGAATGTCAAAGTATACATTAAAAACATCTTAATTAACAGGAAACTAAAATATTATTTTAAAGATTTCAAAGTAGAATCATGTGAGAGAATCCACAATAATCTAGAAAGAGCTGATGATACATAGATGGATTTCCTAATTCCAATCCCCACCTCCCCAAAGCAGCCATGTAACATCAGCAGTCAGCAGAAAAAAGCGAGTGTTGTCATATGAACTGGTAACCAGTTTAAAAAGCAGAAGCAGAGTATATAAATAAACAGCTTTTCCAGGGGAGGGAAGTAAGCAGTGGGGTCCTCCAAGGATCAGTATTGGAACAACACTGAGCAGCTTGTCTTGGAACTGGGAGTAAGCAGTGTTGCCATTGGTATGCCTTGCTCGGCCTTATCTTTTCCATTGACTAGGTGTAGCTGGTCCAAAGGAAAGCAGAGCAATATGTTTGGCACCAGCTTGGCTGCAGGAATTGCTGGAAGGAGCTGCACAAGGTGCCATCCAACCATCTGGATTTGTGTAGAGTTTACCCCTTAGCCTTTTCTTCCCCCAAAGATGTCCTTCAAGGGAAATTGATTGGGGGAGGGAGAGGAAGGAAAATGCCACAGGCCAAGTCCTAAATATGAGCATCTGGTGCTCTGACGTATTGTGTGCAGCACTCATAAAACATTGAGCTAGTTTTGTTTCTAGTCCACCCTGGCAGGGAGTGGGCACCACAAGCCAAACTGTACCATAGACAGGCACTGGGGACATTGGGGCCCTCCAGCTCAGGTACACAAGAAACTCCCATTGGCTGTGCCACTTGTGATTCCTGTTGACACCTAGGTGGCAATCCCACAAGCTTTGGGGGAAAGCGTTACCCGTGTGAAGAAGGTGGTCAGGCAGACTTGATCCCAAGGCTGCCCTGCAAGAGAAGAGCAGCATGTGCTCCTGCATATTGGATCAAAAAATGTTCCAGAAACCATAGTCGGACACACAAGATATACTAGTTTCTGAAGAGGTGCAGGTGCAGCGATGCAATTTTTCTCAAGAAAACGTGGGTGTTGATTTATACTAGTCTTGCTCCATTCATTCAAACCACAAAGAGTTTCTCCCCTCCGCTCCGCTAGATTGCTGGCAAGCAATCTTATCTAGACCCATATGGATCCTTTTTTATTTATTGCTCTCTGCACCCAAATTAAGATGCTGGTGTGTGACAATAAAAAGGGTGTGACAGTAAAAGTTTCCCACGCTCCACAGCCAACATCATGCCAGAGCCCTCTTATATTTAAAAAAGGCATATTTAGGGAGAAGTAATAGATTATGGCTGATAAGACCCAACAGACACCAGCCGTGCTTCTTGATTAAATGCAGTGATGGGGGAGAACGACCCATCTT